AAGGAGAAAGAAGGAGAAAGAAGGAGAAAGAAGGAGAAAGAAGGAGAGAGGGACGTACTCGACGGGAACGACGTGGCCTTGCGAGTCGTAGACTGTTAGTTGAACGATGAGTGGAGCGTTGAGAGCCGGGAAGCCCTACACAGATGTCAGATAATGTCGGCATAGACAACAAAGACGTACGCGAGGCTGAGCTTGAAGACCGAGAGCTTTCCCTCTCGAAGGACTTTGAAGTATATCAACAGCATACGACCTATTTCCATCACCCGAATCCAAACAAGCCCAAAAAAAAACAAAAAAAAGCAAACTCACCAGTCCTCAGCATCCGAAAAGTCCCCAAACACCCCATCATCCCACAACTCTCTCGGTACCCGATGCGGCCGTAGTATAATATAGGCCTCTGCCGGCGGCGGAAACACCTCCCCCACATCATCCCCATCGAGCCCATCGAGCCCGACCCCTGGCTTGACCACCACCTTCCGTCTCCCCACCAGCACCTTCCTCACCCCCGACCCTTCATCCTTCTCGTCTTCTTCTACCACCACCCTCGGCCGGCGGACGGCGCGCCCTGCTTCCACGCGAGGATAGTCGACTTGGAAGCCTGATAGATACGTCTCGCCTGGGTTGTTGTTTGATACCGGACCGGCCGGAGGGGGGGGCGGTTGGGCAGCGTTGAGGCTTGTCGAGAACATGCTCGTCGATATCACGGGGTACGTCGGCGTCTCCTCTCTCGGCGGTTCCAGCGGTACCGGCGGGCCCTGAGGCCTATTCCGATCATGCCGCGGAGGATGTATCGCGCCCTGCTGTCCTTGATACTGGGGCGGGTACGGAACCTGATACGGATGATACGCCGGCTGGGGGTACGCCCCATAGATATCTTGCGGGTCGTATATCGGCACACGCCCCTGCGGTGGGGGGTGGATGTGGGGGAAGGGGTTCGTGGACGAGTTGGACGGGGTGGCCCGGGTGATCTGGGACTTGCTGCGGCGCGAGTTGTTGATCATTTGGGGGGGAAGATGGAGATGCGGATGGGGATGAGATGTGAATTGGACAAGAGAAGAGTCACCACCGCACGGGCCGTCGGGGTGTCGTGGGGGACCCAACCTTTTTTCTGGGTGCACCGTCCGTTCGAGTGTATGTTGGGTGATCGCGCCCCTCTCCTCTTCCATCGCCCCTCTCCCCTCTCCCTTCTCCTTCTCTACCTGCATGCCCATCCTCCACTCAATCCCCCGGAATACCTGTGATCAGCGCGCAAAAGCAAACAAAAAGAAGCACCGACACGAACCGTGCGTCGCTGCTCAAAGGGAGGCGCCCAGGCACGGGATGCCCCTCGAAACCGGAACCAGCGCCGTGTTGCCGGACCAGAGTGCGTGTTTGTTTATCATTCGCATGGCCGTTTGCAGGGTGTATGCGTGTGCTGCTTATCGAGGTGCGAGATGTACAGCAGCATACCCTCGTCTCTCGTTATATTATGGTGCTTGACTCAAGCTCGCTGCACCGCCACAGATGAAAAACCACAGTTAGCAGCCCATCACCCACCCCATCCATCACTCAACACACCCCTACCCTTGATCCCTGAGCTACCACCTCACACACCAAAACACTTACAGTAACACAGCGGGGGGCGGTCCAGGTCAACGGTCAACGGCACGGCCAACGGTGAAAGGTTGTTCGAGCCGTTTTGTCCGCGTGGGCTGGAGGCAATCTCGAAGGGATGATCCAAGGAGAGCGAGGAGAGCGAGGTAGAATGAAAACGGGGTAGTTGGTTGACGCGTAGCTTGAGTGAAATATGAGTGAAATATCATGATCTTCGATGATGGGGCTGAATGCCTGGACCAGGACATGTCGTGGCCCGTGTGGGGAGATGTCGCTTCCTCGGTTGAATTGGTTGGAGGGAGTGACTCTTTTTCAACAACACAATCCAACCCGTGTGATGATCGTCTACACACTATACGAGCAATCTGCTCTTGCTACCTTTCACTCGACAAAATACTCCCCCTCACTCGCTCGCTCGCGAGAAGATGAACGGATCGAACGCGACCTTTGAAAACACCTTCCCAAACGAATTGTCGTTTAACAGAACAAGCGTGAATGCCCCATCCACAGAACCAGAGTCCACAAGCTGTCCTAAAACTTTCTGTCATAACGTCTCGTTCCCAGTACTGCATCGGCTCCTTCGCTCTTGGTTGATTGGCTTGTCTGGACAAGCGGCTTTCCAACGTAACTAACGTAAAGCATGTGTATCGGAAGTATGATACTGCAGGGCCAGAGGGAGGGGAGACAGGCTACGAGATGAGGAAGAATAGGATAAAGCAGATCGAGCGGGTTGCAAGGAGACTGAAGAGGTGCGTTTGATTTCTCTGCCGGAGTAAAGGGTCGAGAGCTGATGCATCATGTTCATAGCTAGGACCGCCCATCACTTTGGACTGATACTGCCGAGCCTAAAGAGATTTAGATATCGCGTTTGAAGATTGGAAAGAGTACAAGTAGTGTTTGTCTAGCGGGTGTTTGGGAAGGTGCGAGGAGTGATGGTCCATTATCTTCTCAAGGTATGGAACAAGGTCTTCTGTATAGTTTCGTAGTGGGCGTATGCGATGATACTTTATGTATGTGTATGATCAATCATGCAGATCCCCTAATAGAGACTTCGTGCAGGTGTACACAGTCCTTGGCAAGACGCCGCCGTGTCGTCTCTCATCAATTCCAACGATATCCCTCGAGTACTCGTACGGTACTCGTACTCGATGCCCCGTCAAGCCTAAGCATACATTGCAGTCGAACGCTTGCAGTCTTCACAGAGCACTTGGCCCCTAGCCACATTCCTGCTATAAGTCTATCCCGAGTTCCCGACCACAACGACGAGAACAAGCGGAGACGCGTTGACTATTGTAGATTTCTTACACGCAACAAGCACGCGAGCACCGTACCATACTCGTAGTTGTCGTACTCTAATCATTCTATTCCGCGTGGCAAACATTCAGTCGTGACTCGTGCCGCCTCATCTTCTCCCTTCATCTCAAAGCCCACAGAAAGACGACTCTCGGACCATGGTCATGGTCATCAGAAGTTCAGAACAACCATTATCGTCCTGGCTACAGCTTTCTTCGTCGCATTCGACCTCTTTGTGGTATATTGCAAGGCACTCTACGCCGTCGGGCGCTTCCTTCTGAGGTTTTCAGTCCGGATGGCGGCAATATCTATAGATTCATAGATCTGGCGCTTCTCCCCGTCATGATGGTCCTTTGTACGGCATTGCTGGGCTCTGCTTTAGCATTGATCGCCGTGTTTACAGTGTGGCTGATCAGTATGCATGATGCACATATGAGGACCTGTGAGTGATTCATTCTGCCCACTGAATGCTTATAGCCTGCACCCCATTATTTCCCCACTCGACGTTGCCAACATGGCGCTGTTCTCCGCGTCGCGTCGGGCATCAGCGATCATCGACGCGTCAATTTCTTCATCCTCGCATTTTCGCCTCTCAACTTCTCCAACGTCTGCCCCCCCCCCCAACATCGCAATGCAGCGACCCGACGCACCTCTCCATCGCCTCCCTCTCCCTCCCGAGCTCGCTCTCGAAATCTTTGACACCTACACCGCCATCACCCTCCCCGGCACACCCGAGTTCCTCACGCTCCTCACGCTTTCCCGATATCACTATGCCCTCAACATTCGCAGACTTTACTGGGACGTCAAACTCAAGGAGAGCATGGCAGATCGGTTTGTGGATATGTGGAGGAGATGGGCTTTCCATGGGGTGCGGCTCGTCTTGGCTGCTCAAAGGCGCAGCATGGGGAACTTGGATGAGGACGAGATTCTCAAAAACCTCCTTTGCCCCATCAAATGCAATTCAACAGACTTCAACATTAACACCCTCACATTTGAGAACGCCATCTGCTTCGCCAAGATCTCAGAGCTCTTCAAAAACCCCGGGCCTGACTCCTGGTACACGTGGGATCGCCATCCTTCCTTGCCTTATTCTCTCCGGCTCTTAGCCGAAGCCAAGACAGTTGTGTTTGAAGAGCAGACGCTTGGAGGAGGGGAAGTGAAGGTGGGCGTGAGGTATGGGCCGAGTAATGGGTATAACCGTTATGGGGCGGAGAGGCTGGTGATCGTCATGCCGTCGAGGCCTTTTCATTGTATCTCACCTCTGGCACTGAACTGGCTCGCGGAGCTTGGCGAGAGGCTGCTGCGAGATGTAAAGCATGTAACGTTGGAGTATAAGACAGCGGTGGTAGGGGAGGGAGCTACACTTTTCAAGAAGAGGAAGCATAGGATGGAGCAGATTGATCAGGTGGAGAGCAAGATCAAGAGGTGCGTCTTGAATTGAAGAGTCAAGAAGAAGGATGGGCGGCTGACGAGTCATGTCTGACAGCTGGGATGACCCGTCACTTCAAATTACTGTCGTTGAGCCTAGCGAGTCATGATGTTTGAGCTACAGGGATAAGCAGGGTACGAATGGAGGTGTATGTTAGGGCCTCCATGTGAGAGCAAGAAAATGTCGGTTGAGTAACATGGCATTATCCTGTGAAAACTCGGTCTATGAGCTGTGGTATGTACTGTACATTTGATGGAGTCTCTCCAATGATGTACAACCAGACAGTACTCACGCGTTGCGGGACCGTCCCTCCCTCGCATCGGCCCGTCAACGTGTGGCGCTGTGTGGACAAAATGGTAGGGATATATGGGACCTCTCCTGGACGGAGAAGAGTGGGCCCCGCCTCCCCAGCTGCATGACCAACTGGAGTGCACTATCAGGACCGCTGCATCCTCAGCGGTCAAAGTCGAGACTCTCGCATTCCATGACGTCCCCTCCTTCCACAAGGCCGCCGTTTCTGGTCTCTTCAACACCCGGGCACATGAGTGCAACTGGCGGGTATACGACTGCCACCTGGTATGGGATCGATACCCCCAAATTCCCCATCCTTTTCGCCTTTTGCACTGCGTAAAGGCGATCGTTTTTGGGGAAGGAGTTTTTGGAAGGAGTGATGAGATGGTGGGGACCTATATGCTGGAAGACCTCGCTTGGGGCTGTGGACCGGCATTATGCGATGGAACGTCTTGTTGTTGTCATGCCGTCTCGTTCCCTGTGCTACATCGGCTCCTCTGCTCTTGGTTGGCTGGCTCTTCGAGACAAGCGGCCTCCTAACGTAAAGCATGCGTATCTGAATTATGATACTGCAGCGCCAGAGCGAGGGTAGATAGGCTACGAGATAAGAAAGAATAGGATAAAGCGGATCGAGCTGGCTGCAAGCAGACTGAAAAAGTGCATTCGATTCCTCTGCCGGAGTAAAGGGTGGAGAGCTGATGCATCATGTTCATAGCTGGGACCGCCCATCACTTTGGATTGATATTGCCGAGTCTAAAGAGTTATGAATATCGCGTTTGAAGATGGAAAAGAGTACAAGTAGTGTTTGTCCAGGCGGGTGTTTGGGAAGGTGCGAGGAGTGATGGTTCAGCGTCTTCTCGGGGTACTCTATGAAACAAACGACAAAAATTGGCCGTGGTGGAGTGAATTGAAAAGAGTGAATGAAACGTATGCGTCCAACATACGTATAACGCGTAGATGGAGTCGCGTTATCTCGTTCTGATCACAGCAACTCTCAATCAAGCCAGCGTTGCGTTGCATGACAAGAGTTCGAGTACGCCGAAAAGACAACAAGCGTCAGCTTTGATCCCGACTTGCGAGTATCGAACCACGAAAACTCAGCCTTGCTACTCGTCTCTTCCATCTCTCCATTTCGCCCTCATTATCTCCCGCAGCTCCATGATCCCAACCTTCCATCTTCCATCAAAGCCAACATCACACCCACAACCGATCTCAAGGACGAAACGGCATGCAGCTCGACGAGCGGGATTCATACATAAGCATAAGATAGCCTTCCACGGACGTAGAAAGTTGGTTTTCCAAGACTGCCCCCCCCCCCCGGATATAAAATCATGAATTCGTCGTTTCATATCACTCTATACAAGTTATCCAAGATATCCATCTCAACGCTGAACGCCCAACGCTGAACGCCCAACGCCCAACGCCAAAACGCCAAAACGCTAACGTACATCCTCCCCAGCTCTCTCTCTCTCTCTCTCTTTCATCAACCCCGAATCACAACAACTGCACTTTTTACGCCCTACGCCCAAGAACCCCCAACCCCCCAAAAGGCCAAAGGCCAAAGGTCGGAATAGATCGACGATTACTCAAGAAAAGTCAAACAAGTCGAGGAACAGAGTCGAGTGGGGACTAATAGGGAAAGAGATCCAGAGAAATGTACAGTAGTGGATGTGGGGGTGGATTTATATATTTTTATTTGCCAAGACTAGCATCCCAATGCTGATTATACATCTTGGTCGCACTAAGCAGCCAAGGTCAGCTTTCCTAGCCCCTTCTCAAGATCAAGACAATGCGCTGAAAAAAAAAAGGAGACGGAAGGCAGAAGAAGGGGAAGATTACACATTTGGGCTCGTTCCGAACCCCAAAGGGTGACTGAATCGAATGGAAGAAAGAGAAAGAACGAAAGAATGAAAAAAAAGGACGAAAGAAGGAGAGAACGAGATAAGAAGTGATAGGAGAGAGAAGGGACATACCTGATAAACCCAGAAGTCAACCCCGCCACGCACTGCATCGGTTCCCCAATCAACGGAAAATTGAGATTCAACACATCATACGCTAACATGTCACCCATCAGCCCCCTCTTCTTTTACCTTCTCCAATCCCAACCACCAGCAAAAGATGGAGGAAAGATCGTCGTCGTCGGAGGAGGAGGAGGAGGAGGAGGAGGAAGGAGGAGGAGGAGGAGGAAGGAGCTCACAAACAAAACACAAATCCGCCACCAACTTTCTCCCCGTCCACCTCGCATCGCCCCGCTCTTTCTCCCTCTTCCTCTCCTCTTCCCTCTGGTTTGCAATGTCTTGCGGGGAGAGCAATCTTTCAGGAACGGCGGGTGCTGATTTTGATTTTGGCACGGGTGGGAGAGGGAGGGGGAGGGGGAGGGGGAGGGGGAGGGCGGGGATGGTTTGAGTGTGGAGTTTGTATAGGCCGATGAGGGTTGTCAGGAACCAGATCCGGCTTATCATCTTTGTCAGTCTTCTTGAACCATTTCCCAAAACACAAACCCAAAAAAAAAAAGAGAACGACAACAAGAACGAGCAAAAAATGAAAGAAAAGAAGAATGAAGATCCAGAAAACTCACTCTGCCCACCGCCCCCCAACCTCCCCCTTCCCCCGGCCCAAAACCCCCAACTTGCTCAAACAAAACACATCATCCGCCACCGCCCCCGCCAGATCCACCAAATGCAGCAACAGCGTACGCGCCGAGACTGGGGCGGGGGACAAGAGGTCGGATAGGGGGTGGAGGGGTGTTAGGAGGAGGAGACATTTTCTGCGCTTTCGAATCAGCTTGCAGTTTTTCAAGTTTGGGGTCAAAAGACAAGAAAGGCAAAGAGGGGAAAGGGGATGAAGGGGATGGGGATGGGGGACATACCGGGTGAGGGAAAGACCGGATACAGCGATAGCCATCCGTTTTCGATTCGCCCTGAACCACGGCGAGAGCGGTCGGACTCTTACAAACAAGCTCATCAAATACAAATACGTTTTGAGCGTGTACTGTATACACTTCTATACTCTTTTCCATCAACTTCCATCCTTGTCATTTTGTGGATAGAGAGGGGCAGAGGAGGGAGGGACGTACGAGCACTTTATCACGACCTTTGCTACTATCCATCATCCGCGCCAGGACTTGTATAGCCAACAACTCTCGGCTTTCATCCTTGGCCATCGATTGGGAGATACCTTTGCTACCCTCCAGATCTACCCTTCCCAGGCAATCCCCATCGTCCCCCGTCTCATCCACCCCTAAACCCTTCTTCTCTTGCTCCTTTCCCAGAATGACCGGCGCCTCCTCACCCCGTCCAATAGCCGTACTCTCCCTCTGCGCCTGCGGCGCCCCATCCCTCCACGACCCCTCCAGCGCACTGACGCTCCCAATACTCAGGTTCATCCCCTTCTTCCCAAACACCGAATGAAAACTCGACGACGCAGACCAAGCTTCCTGCGCGTGCTTTGCTGCTTCTTCTTCCCTCTCTTGTCTGCGTCTTGATGCTGAACTTGATGTGGATGAGCTGGAGGAGGATGAGGAAGTGGAGGAGGTGGGTGGGGAGTGGGGCGTTGTGGAGGGGGGTGTTGGGAGGTGGGACATGGGTATAGATGGGGTGGAATAAGAGCAAAAACAAACAATGACAAAATGGATCTTGGTGGGATGAATTTGACTCCGTTCGACGCGTCGCAGAGTCACAACAACTAACCTCTCTCCCCTTTATTACTCTCTATCCTCCCCCATACTTTTCCATGCCCGGCTCAAGACTCAACGGCGCACTCTCCCCGCCCCTCCACGGCCCCCGCAGTGCAACTCCCAGACCAAGGTATGCTCCCCCCTCTCCTTTCCTATCTCCTCGTTCTCTGCCATCTCGGGACCAACTCGGGACAGGTATCATTCGCAAGAAGAGGTGTATGCTGACGACATGCTAATAGGTTCCCAGTGGACAGTCTGCGATCGTGGACCAAGAACGTACATCCTTCTCTTCTTCTTCCAATCACTCAAGTCGCATGCAAGCTAACGACCCTATTCCATCTGCTCGTCCTCTATCTCTCTTCCCCTCTCCTCTCCTTCAAACCCACACTGGACCCATACCACCCTCTCCTCAAATAATATGCTGGTCATTATATATAGCTCCTAGCATCAAGTCTCACAAATACATCATGGGACCCCGACAACAAAACCAAGATGCGAGAAGTCGGAAAAGGTTTATCGGATGTACGTCCCCCCATTCCTCTTGGCGTCTGTCTTTTGTATTTGCCAAAAGCGATCTGCCGCCGCAGGAGAAAGCCGGAGGAAGAAGAGCAAGGGATAAATGAGGTTGACAAGTGCGAGAGTAGAAGATAAAATCCCGGATGGTCGAGCTCGAACCGAATGGTTTCAAGTATATCGTACGTCCCCCTTCTCCCTTCTCCCTTCTCCCCTCTCCCCTCTTCCCTCTTCCCTCTTCCCTATTTTCCCTTATCTCCTCAATCAATCTCTGCATCTGATAACCAAGGGCTGAGGGAGGGAGGAAGTTGATCAAATCCAAAAAAAACAGCCGGCTAACAGGAAAGGAAAAAAAAATAGGTCCAATCGACGTTAACAGAGAATCTCGGACAAGGCGGTCGGTACGTCCCCCCCCCCCCCCCCCCCCCCCCCCCCCCCTCCCCTCGCGTCTCTCCCCTTCTCATTCTCCTCCTCCTCCTCCTCCTCCTCCTCCTCCTCCCTTCTGCTGAAGAAGCTGCAGCAGCTAACAAACGACCCACATCATAATAGAGGCGATATGGCCTGTCACTGGGAAGAAGGCGATCTGGCTGTGCAAGAGATGTTTAGTAACGTACGTCTCCTACCGCTCCTCCCCTCCCCCCTTCCCACCTATTCTCCTTCTCCTACTCGGCCTATTCCCCTGTGACTGACCAAATGATGGACACCTGACAAAAATCTATAGGATACACTCATCTTCTACGTCGTCGCTTACGCTATTCGATCTTCATGACCCCTCCCCCCCTCCCCCCCCTTGCCACGAGTTCACTTGATGCCTTTTCCCCTCATATCAATCGAGGCTTGGACATGGCGCAGTATAGAAAAGAAAAAGAAAAGAAACAAAAGAGGGCGTACATGTCGGGAATGTGGTGCAAGATAATAGATGGGTAGATGGGTAGATGGGGGCAGTCGTCAGAGGGACAATTGCTGGGAAGAAGGGAAGGGGCGATGATTCAGTTAATGACCTTTTCACGACATAAACACAGCATGTACTCGACATATAATACTTTTTCCACTTGCCCACCTATCAACCCTCTTCCCTACCGCACCACCCTACCTTTCCCTGTCGCCTCGCGCCCGTCGCCTGTCAACGCTCTATGGGGATGCCGTTTGAGATACAATTCATTCCAGCACACCGAGTCAAAAGAGTCGATAAAGTATGATACAGAAAAGGAGCTCAAGGACTATATACTTTCGCAGAGTGAATGTGAATTACGCCCGAACGACGGACGACGGACGAAAAGACGAGGAAGAGACTGAAGAGAACGATAGGAGAATGTAACTGGCTACAGAAAAAAGAAACAAGCGCATCAAACAGCAAAACCTCAAAACAGCATCAACCCAGCAACACACACACCCACAACCCCACCCCACCCCCACGCCATACCCCTCCCTACCACAGCACCAGAACTCGAACGTGCACTCCCCGTCGCCCCCGTCGCCGTCGTCGTCCCCGCCGCAGCCGCCACCCTACTCCCACTTCCTTGCGCGCTTGTAGCCCCAGCCCCAGCCCCAGCCCCAGTGGCGGTAGACACATTACCAATAAAAGACAGTGTCGAAGTGCTAGACGCCCCCGGGGTGAATGCGAGGGATTCACCGGATGTGATGGTTTTGGCGGATTCAGCCGCCGACGACGCTGCCGCTGAAGAGCCAGCGCCGGAGCCTGAAGCAGAAGCAGCAGCGGCGGCAGCGGAGGAAGATGGGTTGAATACGACAAGCGAGGAAAGCGTCGACCTTACCCCCAGATCAGTACATGCCCCACAACGCACCAAAAAGGAAGGAAAGGGGAGGGAGGGGGGACATACGAATCATCATTCAAACTGACAACCGAGGTCGAATCGCCCACCGCGCGCTCCCCCTCCTTCTCCAACGCCCCGTTCTCTGAGGGGGCGGCGAGGGCGAGGGTGGGGAGGAGGAGGAGGGAGATGGTGGAGAGCTTCATTCTCGGGTGGCTGTAGTAGGGAGGGGTTGACTTGGTAGGCGCGTGTATGGCCTGGGGAGAAGGGAGAGATGGGGAAGAGAACGAGCAGAATATACATGGGCGTGCACTGGTTGAGCTGCAAAAAGCATGCTACGAAAATGCTCGCGTGTTTACAAAAGACTAAACCACTCAACTGATCCTGAAACCCTCAGGCACCGAGTTTCAACCCCGTGGCGCGTTGGTGGGCCATGGGTGCATATATACGGGGGCATGCAGCGGGGGGAGATATACCTTGTGGGGTTGTATAGCTGTCTACCAGTCAGTGCATCGAAGAAGAGGAGTGACGCCGTGCATGAGTACCGCATCGTTCAACCTCTCGAGTCTCGATCACGCCTGTGCCTCACTGTCCCACTATCCGGTGACACCCTGCCGCCAATGTGTCATCTCACTGTCACCCTCAAGCGATACCCAGGTGGATCAACATTGCCAGAGCGATACATGCCTTATAGTAATCTCTTTATTTGATACAATCCAGTACTCGTACTTGCTTTCGTTATTATCAATCCTTCTTTCTTATCTTTTCACATCCCCTCCCCATGGAACAACCCCGCCGGTAAATCAAACCAGCTATACAAATCTTCCAACCCCGGCTGTACCGCCCAAGCAGGAACCATATCCAGTCCCAGATCCATACCTTCCACCCCTTGCATCCCCTGTCCTTGCCCTCCTTGTGCTTGCGCTTGACCCATCCCTCTCCCTGTCCCCGCATCGGACCCCGACCCGGACCCAGCGCCCATCGCAACATCATGCATCCCATGCCCATGCCCATGCCCATGCCCCGCTTCATACCCAGGCACAAACCCCAACCCCCCCTCCGGGCCCTCCAGGCCCTCCGGGGGCGGCGTCGTATGCGGCGTCTCTTGTATATTCGTGCCCACTGCGCCGTAAGCTGTTCGCCGAAGGTCGAGCAGGACGTGGATGGCGTCTGGCAGGGCGGACGAGTGGCCTTCGGGGCCTTCGGGGCCTTTGGGTGCGTGTTTTGAATGGGAGGTATGAGGGTAAGAGTTGGTGGTGGATGAGAAAGTGGGAGGGTGGGACTGACGGGAGTTGAGCATCTTGCGTTTGGCCCTTTCGAGTAGTTTCACATATTGTGCTATTGCCCTCGTCAGTATGCAGAGTTGAGAAACATGAAAAGGGACGTACTCGCCAAGCCCCAGTATTCTGCTTGTTCCTTCAACGCCCCCACAATCACCTCGAAATCATCATCCAGCGTCTTTTGATTATTCAAAAACGCATGCACTAAAACCCCCACCTCATCAGCTTCTTCTTCCCTCTTACCTTCCCCCTTCCCCTTACCCATCCACCACAGAAAAGAGTAAGAAAAAGACATACCAAAAAGCACCCTCGCAGCCACCCAACACCCCCAAACAAACAACGCCCCTCCCCTCTCCCACCCCGCCTCCCTTCCTTCCTCCACCAACCTCGCCATCGCCCTCGCCGAGTTGAGGCACGTAGACAAGAAAGGTTCTTGTGCTGATCTTGTGGGGGGCAGGAGGGCGGGGTAGGCGTGGGAGGCGTTTAGTTTTAGGAGGGTGGCGTGGTGGATCGCTTGCTTTTTTTTAAAAACCGTTAGTCCCATCCCATTCATTCAACCATTCTAACAGGGAGTGGGAAAGGGGAAAGGGGGAAAGGGGAAAAGGGGACATACAATCATCAACCTCATCCCCACATCCCCAATCCCGGCCACATCCCTCACCTCCCACCACGCCCTCACAACCCTCGTAACACCCAACGCCATCCCCCGCCTCCCCTCCACCTCCCCCCGATCGCCGAGGTTGATCTTTTCCCCTTGCAGCGTGTGCGCGCGGCCGAGGAGGTCGAGCGCTTCGACGAGGTATGCTAGGGGTGAGACGGAGGTCAGGGGGAGGGGTGTTAGGGGATGGTGGTGGGACGAGGAGGAGATGGAGAGGGAAGAGAGGGGGGAGGCGAATGTTGGGGTTTGGTGCCATTCCTACATCTCATCAGCCCTTACCCTTCCACCCTCCATTCTCCCGATACCGATACCGAACGACAAGGAGGAGATAACTCACAGGCTGCGTCCACACCGCTTCCGGACAAGGCATCCTCCTCCCCACATCCCCATCCGGCACCGCAAACTCCCACCCCGTCGAACAACACACATACCGATCCAACACAAACACCCACCAAAACAGGCGCCTCCGAGATTCATCTTCTTGCCAGGACCCGGGCGGGGGGAGGATACTCGTCCTAGAAAGCGCGTGGGCGGTGGAAGAGGTGGAAGCGGTGGAAGAGGAGGGCGGGGGAGGGGGAGGGTCGTCTTCGCGAGAAAGACCGAGGTGGACTGCAGACCTGGTGAGGAGCGCCAGTATCCCCCAACTACTCGGCCCCTGATCGCTCCCTATCAGATCCACAGCCAACAGCGCCAACGCCTGCAACGACGCCACGCTCGTCGACTCCACCGCATGCGCCAACACATGCTGCTTTGCCTGTTGCTTGATCGCGCTCTTGGACGTCGTTATACGCGGATCGCGCGAGAAGCGGAGGGAGACGACGACGATGGCGTGGTGCACTATCCCCCAGGGGGGCTGGAAGTCGGAGGGGGAGGCAGAGAGGATGGGGCACCAGGGGTGGATGTGGGTGAAGAAGAGGGTGATGAGGTCGCGGACGATATCGTCTGGCGGGAGGATCTGTGGGTCGAGGAATGAGCCTGGGGATGCGACGCTGTTGTTCACATGGGGCGATGCTGATGACAATGCAAAGGACTGTCGGTCATATACCGGTCCTCCTGCCGAGCTTGGCGAAGGGTTGGGCGGGTAGGCGAACGGCTGGGAACTTGGCGGTAGGTTGGCAGAGATCGCATGGAGCGGCGGGGGCATTTGGCCTCTCGAGCTCATCCCTGGAGAAATGCCCGTCGTGTAGGCTTGTTCAAGTCGGTCTTGCTGATGCTGCTGGGCTTGTTGATTCGGATCGGAGAGGGGGGTGTTGTTGTCGTACGAAAAAGAGGGCCCGGCGACGGAATAGGGCATAGAGGAGAGGCGGCTTTCGTGCTCTGCCAGCTGCGAACCATAGAGCTCCATCTTTTCTTCCAACATCTCTAGCAAGACGTCAGCTGCACCCTCATGAGTCATCAAAGTGGCGGGAAGCTCACCAACACGCTTCATCATCTCCAACCCCGTTCCCGGCCTCAACCCGGGCTTCAGCTTTGCAGGATAATAACACCGCTCTGGATTCTTCAAACAATTCGTACACGTCGGCTTTATCGAATCGCACTCTATTCCCCACGCCAATGCCATCAGCCTCGGCCCTACAAGTAAGAGAAGAGGAGGCGGGACGTACTGATCTTTTTAGACCGGCAAGGGGCGCACGTAATGGAGAGAGCGGGTGGGTTGGCGATATTCAGTTTGTGGTCTGAGAAGGACTGGGAGCGGGAAGAGGGGACTTTTGGCATCGTGCAAAAGTGAGAGAAGTGATGGGGCGGGTGTTATCGGGTAGGGGTAATAGTAGGGCAAAAGATGGTCGGTCAGACAGAGGTGGTCAACTGTCTTGACGTCTAGTTTTCTCGTACTCTGAAGCCGATTTTCGTTCCGCTGGCCAATGTCTTCAGGCGCAGTACTTGTGACGAGCGTGAAGAGAAAGGTAGTCGAATATACCCCTCAAAATGCAAGGCAGATCAAAAGAAAGAGGACAATGGCGGGAGCTGTTGTTCACGTGGCCCCGTGGGCCCCATACTGTGCCCCTCAGCCGCCAGCCGGCAAATGTCGGCAAATCGGCCCGCCCCTCGATCCCTTTTTATTGAAGCCTCTTGCTTATGCTGAATCGTCGAGACATTTCTCGTGATGCTGTACGATCGGAGTTGTAATACATGCATTGCTTATCAACATCCCTATGAAGAGTACACCAGGCAATAAGAGAAACCACAGCAAGACCATATGCACAGAAGATTCCTCACTCAGAGCTCATTACGCACCCCTTCGCCTTCCACCTCTCTCGACTGCATCTCCACCTCCGTCACATATCCCTTGAACTTTCTCGGGTTCACCTTCTTCTCAAACCTACACACCTATCAGCCCTACTTCCTTCGAGATGAAGCGCAAGGGAAAAAGGGGAAGGGAAAACGACTTACATCTCATCCAGTTCAGCGGGCGTCCGTCGCGCAACTTCAGGCAAGATAAACCACCCCACAACAGTAGCCACACTCCCCGTCCCCGCAAAGCTACATCCCCCATCAGCCTCTCCTCTCCCTCTCTCTTTCTTTTCATCTCATCTGAAGCAAGAGGTACTCACAAAAACCCAGTCTTCACATTCCAATGCGCATCCCCATTCAACATCAACGGCGTACAAAAGCTAAACATGATCGCAATCATATTACTCAACGCCAATCCCCACCCTGCCGTCTGCGCTCTGAGTCGCTGGGTGGGTACTTCGGCGGCGTAGGCGTAGCCGATGGAGGAGGCGCCGGTAGTGGAGAATGTTGCGAGGCAGGCGAAGAAGATCTATCCCGGCATTAGCCGACTCGGAGGGAGGAGGGCGAAAGAAGAAGAAACGACTTGCAAGAAGAGACCCCAGCGACTTGCTCGCATAATCGAAACACCCAATAATCCCCAACGCCAACATACTCCCCACCGTCACCGCATACGGATAAACAGTCAACGGCCGGCGCCCCAGATTGTCTGTAAGAGAACAAGTAATCAACATGGACAAGAGCTGCACGCAAGAGAGGATGACGGTGACGAGGAAAGGGTTGGAGTTGCCGGCGAGTTGGAAGAAATAGGTGGCGTAGGTGTTGAATACTGTCAACCTATGCGCGAGTCAGTACGTGTGACTAGTGGGGAGGGGTGAAGGGGGAGATTGTACCCGACGAATTGTTGAATCATCTTTGGCCAAGAAGCGATGAAAAGCCTAAACAGATTACTCCCCTTAAACACCGCCCACGTCCCCTGCTGACCCGTCCTCTGCGCAATCAACTTGGACTCTTCCAGCGTCGCCGTCATGATCGCCTATCCCATTTATCAGCCGCCTTCCTCGTTATACATGGAAAAGGGGAGGAAAGTGGAAAGGGACGTACGACTTCATCAGCGACGTTGAACCCCTCCAAATGTCCTTGATATCGTTCAAGCATCTTGGCGGCTTTATCGAGTTTTCCCTTCGATGCGAGCCACCATGGCGATTCGGGTAGAAGAACAAAGATGACGCCCATAATCGCGACCATTGGCCACTATCCCATTCATCAGCCTTCATTCCTGAGGAAAGAGAAGGGGAGATGGAAGCGGAGAGAGAGGGGAGAACGTACTTGAGAGTAGATGGCGATTTTGTAGTTGTAAGGGTCCATAGCTTTGAGTTCGTTGAGCGCTACCGAGGCGAATAGTTGACCGAGACAGAACCAGCTATCCAATCGAGTCAGTACTCTCCTTCGTAGACGGGAGGAAGAGAATAACGCACAGTGAGTAAGCGTTGATGAAGAATCCTCGAACCTGCGTCGGCGAGATCCTAATCACCAGTCAATACTCGCCCTCGCACCTCAGAAATAGAGACGTACTCGCTCAGATACACAGGCATCGTAGCTTGCAGCATCCCCACTCCAATACCCGAGAACAGCTTGGCGAGTAACCAATGCCACCAATGCGACGCAAATGTCTCTGCAAAGATCGAAGCCACGAGAAAGACCCAGAGGATGTAGAGCGCCATCTTACGGCCGAGCGCTTCGGTGGCGTATTGCAGGAACTATACAAGGTCAGCTTGATACGGGCAGAGGAGTGAGGGAGACGTACTATCTGACCAAGCGTCTGGCCGGCAGATTGGACACCGCCCCAAGCCGAGACATATGAACCCTTGATGACTGTTGTCCCCGGCGACGCCATCTGCCTGATAAACCCCGCATTGGACACTATCCCACCATTCAAATTGATCTCTACACTCCGTCAGCTCTATCCACTTCCAACATACTGTTTCGAGCACTCACGATACCCATCCAAGCTAGCACTAAAAGCAGCTGCCATAGCCACCCCGCCCAACAGTTTAAACCTCTTGATAGAATCCACAAACCCCAAGTCGGCATACTTGCTCCTCATCTGCACCACCGCGCCTTTTGACAGATCATTCCGGATATCTTCGGTAGAGTGGAGGTGTTCGGGGCCGTCATGGTGGAGTGGGTGTTCGGCGTGGGTGATCTCGAGGTCTTTCTCGGCGGAGTCGAGAGTGGTATGGGGTTTCTCGAGAGGCGACATGGCAGCGGATACTGTAGTGAATGGAGTTGCAAAGAGGGAACCATGGGCAGCATATATATATGCATGTAGCAGCAGCTGGTGCGTCCTGCATCAAAGTCATTTTGTGATCAGCAGGACAGTAATCGGTACAAGTCCGGCCCCCGGGTAGATTACTCCGAACAGCGCGGGGGGCATGTTTGCGCCGGTGTCTCTTCGGGCAGGCGGACTCTATTTGCCTCTCTCTCTACTCATCACCAGGGTATCTCTCCCCGCTATGTGAATGCGGCTATGCAAGGCTTTCGGGGTTCAAATAGAGAAGGGGAAGGTTGACGTTGGGGAGTATGTCTTTCACGTCACCAAGCCCTGGATGGCTGTTTTCAACCTGACGCGTGTCCCGAGCTTATACATCGAGAATCATTCGAGCACGCATGTACGGCAGCATTGCCCCAAGACCTTGTATGCCAGTCTAATACCACCACCGGCGGCTCGATCTTCCGCCTGTTGTGTCTACTCGCTGCGCCGCTTATCGCGTCCCTTGCCTCGTCGAGGCAGCTGGGCTTATAAACACCGACTCTTCTCTACACTTTTCATTCACACATATGAGTATGAAGATACCATGCATCCTTGATATACGGTCTAATAAATACCATCCAAACCACGCGGTGAAATCATAGCTTATATTCCCCTCGCAACCAGTACTCTTAAACAGGAAAGCAATGTATGCAGTGGACGACCGACGATTTCCTACTAGTTAACGAGGTACTCTCAGTTTAAACTTCCATCGCGAATCAGGTGTTATGCTCTCTACCCTCTTCCTGTCTCTATCTTGGGTTAGCTCATCCGACGTCAAAGCTAAAGTCACTACCTGGTCCGCGCCCGACCCCATATTCAAAGTTCAAACAGATACGTTTTTCATAGGATACTCTCTTTCAAACCACTCTCTCAGATCTCAAACGGCCACTCTAAACTCTAGCTCTTTGACAATCCCATGCTCCCTTTCCACCCCCTCAATCACACTCCTAACCTTCACCGCCTTCTCCAACTCCAACCTAACAACCCTCCCCTCTCCCTCCGTCCTAAAAATCACCCTCGCCACATTCCCCTTCCCCAAACAAACCTTCGCTTCCAACCCCTCACTCAACCCCACCCTCGGCTCCCACCTTATGTCCTGACACCCCGGAGCGACCGACGTGACCCCTGCTAGCTCGGTACAAAACTCCCACACCGGCACCGCCCCCCACGCATGACAATCGCTCCTCTGCCTCACATCATCCTCCTCCCACGTCGTCAAATTGCTCCCCAGCATCTTCTTCCACGGCCCCCACACTTCCTTCCAATATCGCTCATAGCTCTCGGGGCCGGCTTGAGCGTGGGCGCGGAGGGCGTAGAAGATCATGACGTAAGAGCACTTGCTAAAGTGCCTCTTTGGGTTGTCAAAGGTACGGGAGAGAAGGGAAACGGCAGAGGAGGGAGGGCAGGTGTTGGAGAGGATGGCGAATATCTGGCAGTGCTGAGAGTATGCCAGGTCGTCCGCTATATCCGCCGTCGAGTCCGTATAAAACTCTCCGTCAAAACAATGTTGATTGACAGCCGCTCTCACCCTCTCTGCCCTTTCCTCGTACTCTCCCGCATTACCCGGCCTTCCAACGTCCCGCAAAAGCTTCGCAGCTTCTTGCAGTACATAAACATAGAGAAGGGAAAGGTAAGTGTGTCGATTAGACTGGCGGCCGGAAGTGGGTACGCCCTTATCCGGATGCTCCGCCGTAGCAGACCAAGTCGTCACCCAATCGCAATACTGCCACACATCCTCCTCTATCCCCCCCACCAACCCCCTCCCATCCACATGCCTCTCAAAATACTCCAACACCCCATCCACCTTTGGTAAAAACCCCCTAGCAAACGGCGTATCTCCAAACCAAAGATGATGGTCCGCTACTGTCAAGACCCAGTAAAGGGAGAAGGCAGCGATGACTTGGGGGACGTGGGATGGGAAGCGGGATTGGGTGAGGCCTTCGGAAGTGGTGGAGGTGGAGAAGTTGGTGATGGCTTGACGCATGAGACGGTCGTCGCCGGAGAGGAGGTAGTGGAATAGAGCGACCGAGCGAGAGTCGCCAGAATATCTGCTTCTTCATGAGTATGAATCCGAGCGAGAAGGACGGGGAGAGGGACGTACTGGAGCTGCTCATAGAACGGACAATCCGAATACCCATCAAACATACAATTCCTCAACGTCCTCTCTGAAACCTCCCACATCTTCTCCCTCTCCTTTCCTTCTATCCCGTCTTCCTTCCAGCTCGCTTTGATGTTCATAGGGTAGTTGACTTGATCAGCTTTCAATGAGAGTAAAGTGATAGGCGAGGAGGAGGTGGTAATATGGAAGCGAAGCAGCATGAACGTCCTAAACCAGAACGGTTCCCAGACCAACTCTTTCCCGGCTGACAGCTCCAGCTCTACCTCGTCATAAGGCCCGAGGAGATGCCCCGATGGGTCGAGCCTATCACCTTTGGTACGCAGCCAAGGGTATTGCCTGGGGTCGAGCTCGTACCCTTCCGAATAGTTGATCTTGAGCTTGACCTTTGTATCCTCAGGTGCGACGAGAGAGAGGCGCAAAAAAGCGGTAGAATGGACGTCCGCTTGGATATCAAGCTCGTGCTCACTCTCTCCTGGTAGCGTCAAAGACGAAGACCCGTCGAGGAAAGACGTCCATTCGGAGGACGCCTTGTTGCTGTTGCAAGCATGGATAGTTTGAACGCTGACTGGGGTTGATTCGGGAAGGGGGATGGGGCGAGGGAGGAGATGCCATGGAGGGAGTTCGCCGTTGACGAGCTTGAAGCCGTATGCCACTGGAGTTTGAGGCTCGGGAGCAGGGGGAGGTGATGTACGTTCGTTGATCTGGCCCAAAGTCAGCTCTATTCGCGTATTTTTGTTCAAAGAAAACACACGTGTAGGAAGACATCATCTACCAAACCAGTCGGAAATTCTGTCTCCTCATCGACATACCCTACCCACCCTTCTTTACTCCTAACATCCGTCCCACCGACAGAGCCGACGACGGTCAACCCGGGGAAAGCCGTGCGTTCAAACGGCATCCCACCACGCGACCCAGCAAAATACCTGATCACCCGGAACTCCAGCTCATTCTCTCCCTCTCTCACATACGGAGCAATGTCGAGGGTGTCGTAGTACCATATAGCCGCGTGCCCTTTCGTCGGTCCGACAGCAACGCGTTGGCCGTTGATGAAGAGTTTGTAGCGCGTGTCGGCGGAGAAGTGCAGGATGGCTGATGTGGGGATGGAGGTGAGGCTGAGGGAGCGGCGGAAAGAGACGAGGCGGGCGGCAGAGGTGGATGGGGGAGTGGGCGAGTCGATCCAGTTGGGGAGCCAGACCCAGTTCTGCTGGAGGGCGTTGATAGTCTGCTAGCCGGTCAGGGCAGTAATGAAGAGAGGAAGAGGCATACCTGCTGCTCTTGAGGACTGACCATGGCTCTTGCGATGCAGGGAAAGAGGAGATAGATGCAGCTTTGTACGGTGGGCGATGAAAGTGGAGGCAACGGTCCGGAGCTGGTCCGGAGGGAACGGACAAACAAAAGCCGATCGCAATTCGGCAAATCATTCTCCGGGCCGGACACGCCGAATTGTGGCCATGGTTCCATTCTTCTCTATTATTTCATCTCGACTTCAGCAGCACCATGTCCGCCCCTACTTTCCGCCGCATAGTCACCTCCCACCACCCCTCAGACACCACCGGCGACAACGTCACATACCACGACGACACCCTCCCTCTCCACCCCGTCCTCCCAGGCCTCCACATCTCTCCCCTCTACTCCTCCCCCGGCCTCCCCACCTACAACCCCCACATCGTCTCCGCAGAACACATATCCGGCGTTGTATCCAACGTCAAAGGCGTCGTCCTCCCAGGCGGTACAGACGCCCAAGTCACCCACTACGCCCCACGCGCTAGCGTACCCCTCCACCGCACATCCTCCGTCGACTACAACATCGTCGTTCAAGGCTCCATCTTTCTCATCGTCCCAGATGGACAAGGAGGGGAGAAGAGGGAAGAGGTGAAGGCGGGAGAATTGGTGGTGCAGACGGGGACATTGCATGGGTGGGAAGCAGGAGAGGAAGGGGCGAGGGTGGTTACGGTAGTGGTAGAGGCGAGGAAGGTGGAAGTGGGAGGGAAGGAGCTGGAAGATGTTGATTTCAAGTAGGCGAGTGAGTAGAGCGAGCGAGTACATATCGGGAAGGGGGTGAGACGGGGGGCGGGCGAGTCTTCAAGCGAGTGCATGTATATATCTCAGCCCTACTTATGGTACATCTCTCTCTGTCCATTCCCGGCCCAACGCATGTGGATGTCTGAGCGGACAGAAGGGGTGTTGAACAATAATGATTGAAACTCTTAGCATTCACTCCGATCAACGATCTAGCTAGTCACAGCTCAAGACATTCGCTTTCGTTTCGCCTGCCCTATGTATACATGCGAAGAATTGGTGCGCCGAAGGAAGAAGAATACGGGGACCGGGATAACAGCCCTCGCACGCTACCGGCGGTGGCATACCAGTGAAACATCGTATCAGCTAAGATACACAGCAGACGTAAGATGAACTTCACCTGAAATTCCATTCTTCAACCACGAACGGTGCTGGTGGACCCAGCACTCGCCCCGGGAAGGTCAGTACCCTTCGGCTGCGATGCCTTTTCCCCTTTCATGCTCTTCTGACCATTCTCAATCATAGCTTCCCCATCCTTGACAAGATGGCTGAAATAGTTAACGGCCAAACGGGCATGGTTTGTGATCTCCATTCCCTCTTTCATCTCTGTACGTGGCGTTAACTCCCCAGCAGCAGCCGCTAGCACAGCCGATGGCGTTTTAAAAGGTTGAACGACTATATCACGGTCAAAAAGAAGTCCAAACTTTCCATTACGGTCTGAGATTGATAGAGTGCTGTAGCTCCGGCTGGACCAGTTGTTATCGTCCCGGGCTGATGACTGTCGAGTTTGAGATCGAGGCCCCTTCTTAGCGCCAGACCCAGCGAAGACTTGTATCTGTAGAGAGACCATACGCTACGGTGTATGTCAGCGTCCGTTATGATTGGCTGGCAGCATTTGCGAGCTTGTAGCCGCTGGTGGTGGGTAAACTCACGTCATACCTCACCAAGTACTGCTTGATAACCACTTTCAGTGCTTCCACAATCTCGTGTTCCTGATAGGGGTGCTTGAATTTTGAAGTCATTATGTGTATAAGGGCGTCGACAGCTGTATTGAGTTGACTAATCGCCATCTGGTCAGCGTGCTCTTCAATCACAAGTGGGGGAGTGTCACGACCTAGCTGGGACGCAGCAGGGAAGGGACTGGAAAAGGGTTTTGAAGAGGGGAAAAGACCTTTTCGGTCTAGCTGGAACGCAGCAGGGAAGGGACTGGGAGCTCAGAAGAGAAGCTGATATACCTGATCAAACCATCCTTTGCAGACTGCACTGCCTCCCACAAGACTCACATCCCACAATTCTTCAACGCCGTCAACGATGTACCTACTGTGCTGTAAATCTATATAGTGAGACTGATTGGTCAGCGTATGCGTTGGTACATACTGAGTAGGAATTCTCTAGGAGATAGGACTCGGCTCACTAATGCGTTCGCCTCTACTTCAGATGTAAGGACTTTCCTGATCTCCATGGTCCACACAGGCGCCAGCTTTACGAGCTCGGCTACGAGATCTACGGGTACAAGCGGGCTAAAAGGTGCTGGTATGTCCGTCCTCCATTCACCGTCTGTGATCTCAAAGTGCAACACTGACAATTGCCAGATGCCATATGCGAGGATCAACCATCTTGTTCCGCGGAACGACCCACATCCGCCCACAACCTTCCCTCTTCCATACACCCCGACTACTTCCTTCAGACAGGCGATGACTTTCTGCTGGTGACCGATGACGACGTCGGCTTCTACGTCGATCGAGATTTCCGCCTGTGTCACTCTGAATGCTTTCATGATTTCGAAAAGATGGTGTCCGATATCGGCAACAAAGACGCGGTTGGCGATTGCATCAACATTAGTGTCGTACGCAGAGATATGTCCGGAGAGCTGTCAAAAGGCTATACGACAGAGGGCTTTCGATACCACCAGCCTCGTGAGAAAATCGCCCCCCGAAGGCTGCTCTTCATCACTCAACGTCGTTGATTGAAAACACATACAGACTTGACGAAGGCGTAATGTACGTACTGTGCAACAGGACGCCCACTATGTGCCGGTTCCAGCCCGACTGCGTGGTCGTCTTCCAACGGGAAGTTCCGCGTAGCAGTAGTGCGACACTTATCTATCGTTCCCGCTCGTACCATATAATATACTTTCACAGCTCTATCTATCGTTCCCGCTCGTACCATATACTTTCACACATTTGAACCATCTCTCTCTCGCTTTATTTTCGTGAACCGATCGATCTAAATATCCATCTCACTTCTCTAGCCCACCACCTTCCTCCCATCAACATATATAATCCGAAATCCTCGCAACGCGACGACATGTCAGGCGACGACGCGGAATTGACCAAGTCGCTCAATCATCTCGACCTGAAGGACGCCCAGGGTGAGAATGAACCATGTAAATGTCTTCCGGCCTTACACTGATGTTGCTGAGTAGACACCGACGCTTTGCGTACTCATGACCACGGCGATCATCGAGTACTGTCTTCTTCTTTTACCCCCGGCTCGGACGCGGCGGGTTCTGCGGGTGCGGATAGGCTCATGGGTGCGTCCATCGCGTCCATGTACGTTAGACCGCTGACGTTCATTAGAGGTCACTCGAGACGTTGTATCATCTCCCCCCACCGATCGAACCCCTGATGCTCTTCCCTCGTCCATACATCCCGATTTCTCCGTCCAGACCAGCGACGACTTTCTGTTAGTCACCGACGACGACGTTGGCTTCTATGTCAACCGAGATTTCCTCCTGGAGCACTCTGATTTCTTCCGTGACTTTGAAGAGATGGATTCAGATATCAGACAATACGACGATGCTGGGAAAGGTCGTACCCAAGCTGTGCGAAGAGATATGCCGGGGGCGCTGTCAAACGGCTTGCGGGTGGTGTTGCTCAAGGTCAAAGAGACAAAATACTGGCCTGACCGCTATGACAGGAATCAAAAAGTATTCCGCTCCCAGCGAATTTGGGAGTACGATCATGAGGACCTGGCACCTGCTTTCAGCATCTCCAACCAGTACGGCTTCACCAGATTCTCAGCCCAGGCTCGCTTGAGCATCGCCACAACGTCTGCTTGGTTCCGATACCTCTACGCCGCGTTCGAGGCCGACGAAACGGTTGCTAAAGCCATTGCAAAATCAACTCTGCTTTGGGACCTTACGGAGTCGTGTCCAGAGCCCATACTTCCCGTCCTCGACAAGCACCAAGCCTCTTATGCCGCGCTTCTGAGAGAGATACACCGGCGAAACCCATTCTCCAGGTACAAAGGCCCCTATCGCCTATCATCGTCCTCTGCAGCCAACCATGACTTCCTGAAAAAGTCACAAGCCCATTTTAAGAAAAAGAGATTAGTGGAGTGCGGTGGGGCGTGTACTTGCAAGAAATCTGGATTTTGGTGGGCGGCCGCCAGTCAGTCGGGTGGGAAGGCTCTCCGACGCAATCTCGAATTGAGGCTCGGCCGCGATGACGAAAGCCTGTGGTCTGACATCGAAGTGTCAATCCGGCTCGCTGTTGATTGTCTAGACTGCAGTGATTCGGTTATACGATCTTTCAAACCCCTGTGGGACGACTTAGCCGCTCTTTGGCAGTAATTGTTACAGTGATTGTTGCTGGGGGTTGAGATGTCATGGTTATAGGAGTCATCTGTGTAGTTCGTTCATTCAAGTAAAGTTGTCTGTTCTGCGGGCCGTGCTATCCGTATATACTTGTACACATGTCGGAGTCTTCTTTCATAGTTCTTCTTCTTTGTATGCGTCAATAACCAAAAGGGTGTTGCTCCCTATGACAAAACTCTCTTCAGCACGCCCAGGGCACACTGCCCAAGCGTGACATGAGATCCACGCAACGCAGTAGCTGTGAAAAGAATCCGCGGAGTAGCGGTTCAAGAATCGCATCATGAGAGACATAAACGTAAGCGAGATCTCTGACACCGCCAGACTGATAGCTGTACATTACTCAACATCTCCTTCACTCTCACTTCTACCCCAATTGTAAGCCACTAACATCACCGATGTCGTGTCCACACCTACCTTAACCAAACGTTCATCACACAACGTCGCGTCGCTCAGAGACAACAGAAAAAACACAATCTCATGACATGAATACTACATCACCGAATCGTTACATCTCTGTCCAGTTAGAAGTACCTGGTATACAGTCTTTAGCGCTTAACACCTGGTAAGATGAAGAAGCAGACATGTATACCAGCTATGGAAAAAAGCACCCCCACGAGTACTGAACTCCAATTCCAACACCCACACCCGGGCGGCAGTGGTGCATCAACCTGTCATCGACGAGTCTATGCTAGATGGAATAGGTTAGACCTACAGGAGCTGAGAGAGCATTACAAGTGCTGCCAGCTCGTGTATATGCGCAGTCACGCAGCGCATGAATCTCTCAATCACTTTGCTTTCTTCAAGGTGTATTTTATTTTGCCGTTTGATTCTTGCCTTTCTTGCGAGATTTAGCGTGTATATCTTCTTTGTCAAGGACATCGTCTCGGGGCGGACCTGCCCACAAGACGGGCTATGATCATCTTTGTTTTCACCCGTCTGCATTTGTCCATCAACGTACACACTTCAGAGCTTCTCAGCAACGAAAACCGAGAACCTGCTTCTTTCAGCCGAGGACGCTCGGAACCCCGAGGTAGGCATCTGTCCCTCAGCATCTCAGCCGCAACAAGTACATCGTGCATCTTCTACTATCTCATCTGTCTCAGCAGCTTGGTAATTGGTAGCAAGCTTGTCCATCGACCTGGAGATTTGGCAGACTTTAGATGTCGACTGTCACCGGTGGTTACTCACCAGTCATCATTTCCACGTTTATCAGCGGGCTTCCCTGAGATATTTCATGAGATAGCGCGAACTCAAATCGTCTGGCTCTTCTTCTTTCACTCAAGGCCCCCAAAGATAAACTTGCCCTGCATAGCCTGCATGATCATCGTCACTCTCCGCGCTCCAATGACCCATGAAAATGCTCGTGTTGCAAGCCAGTGGTGATACCGCTCACGAAGGATTTGCTCCCGGTCGGCATGTTCCGAACTCTGTATATGTGGTTCTCCCGCGCATATCAGAGTTTGCGACCATGTCGTACCTCGCGTTCGAGATTCTCGCACAGCCTTCCCAGATACTCTGAGCATGTACGCGCCGTACGCGTCGTACTCTATAGAAGAGGAGGTCTGCTGGTGACTAACTGGTGTGGAAGCGAGGGCGAAGAGAGATAAATATGGTATTTGAGCAAGCAAGAAGGGTCTCTGTTTCATCGCTTCATCTCACAAAAGTCCATTGAGGCCACGCAAACAAACACCCCTGTTTTTGGCGCTAGCACGAAAGGCAGAAACGCCCTGCTTCAATTTCGTGTTTCATCTTCCCTCTTTCATCTCTCTTCCATCTTTCCCATCCCCACTCTGTATCACATACGATTCACGAGTATAACTACTATCGCTATTGTCACCCATGATGTCAATCATGCGCAACGTCCCCCGCCGCCTGCTTGAAATGTCGATAGCCATCAACATCTTTCTCTTCATCCTCATCTTTCTCCCGCACGACTCGGCCGAAGGTGCGCTGGGACAGGATATGGAGGAAGGGCGATGGTGGAAGATACCCAAGGGCGTACTTGAGAAGCTGGGGCGGAAACCCATCGAGCCGGAGCATACATGGGAAGCGGGAGTCGAGGAGCAGGTGGTGGAGGTGGACGTTTCTACGAGCGAGAAATCGCAAGGAGGATGTAGTTTGTGTGAGATGGATCCTGCTCTGTGTCGAGAACTCGGGTAAGCTCTTTCTCTCTCTTTTCCTCATCCTTATCGAGCTCCCATGCTAACCCCTGTGATAGAAAGGAGAACCTCGAAAAGGCGCTTTCTTTCGCTGGTACAGGTATGCGCTTCAGGCGTATGCTCTCAAAGCTCAAAAGAGGCGAACGCCTCGTAGCAGGCGTCATCGGTGGTTCCGGTAAGGCTCTCCCCGTCCCTCCCTCAGCATCCTTCTTCCCTACGGTAGCTCACGCAGATCACAGTATCAAGCGGCCACGGTATAGACCTTTTACCCGGCTGGAAACCCGACCAATCCACAAACCTCCACCGCATCATATTCGACCGTATCGACCATCTCTACCCCGCCCCCAACGGAGCTGTCACTGGGAAGAACGGGCGGGAGGAGGGGAAGAATTCGTATGTGAATGGTGCTCAGGGTGCTTCTGGTCAATACTCTCTCTTCTGTCTTTCGCCTCTGCTGAGATGGCTGATGGTTTTGCAGGATCACAATACTTTTCTCTATGCTACCGCGAACATTTACCGGAAGATATGGATGTCGTGTTTGTGGAGCTAGCTATCAACGACGAAGTGTGAGCACCACTTCTCTCATATCCGTACCAAGCCGAGCACTGATGATCCACAGGCTGCTGAGCAACATGGACTCGTACGAGATCCTCATCCGAAGCCTTCTCGATCTTCCCAACAAACCCACCATCCTAACCTTGGAGTATGTCCCTTCCCCCATCTCTTCCCTCTCTCTGAGACTCAAAGCTGATTCAATCTACATAGCGTCTTCGCCCTGATGTTCAAAACAGTCGCAAACGGCGGTGATCTCGTATGTCCCATCCCTACCCGCTGTCTTACCCCACGCTAATGTATGATAACGTAGCACTCTGGTATCTCCCAATACTACGACCTCCCCACCATCTCCCTCCGCAACGCCCTCTACGAACAAGTCCTCGCCAACTCATCCATCATCCCCGAGCTATTCAGTATCGACAGGCATGGCGAGCTTGATCTGCGGCATGTACGTCTCCCTTCTCCTCTCCCTTCTTTCCCCTCTTGCCCTGTGGAGTTCTGTGTGGTTGGACGGTGCTGATGGACTGGGGTAGATCAATTTGAAAGGACATAATCTCCTTGGGAGGATGGGCGCGGCGTATGTGGATTCGCAGGTGTGTGAGATGGAACAGTATGAGGATACGTTTGATCGTGCTGAGGGTATGAGCCTCGATGAGCTGTATCCCCTCGCGCCTCTTCCTCGTGTATGTCTCCCTCTCCTCCCTCTCTCTCAGCTCCCATCTCTGGCTACGAAAGCAAAATGACCCATAGTGACAATAAACATAGCTGCGCCTCAACCAACCATACGACTCCACAACCCACCTCCCCCAAATCTCCCCCCAATGCTTCTCCACAAACGGGCTCAAACACCCCCTCCTCCCCCTCCCCTCCTCCACCCTCGGCGACAACGGCTGGCATCCCTGGGAAAGGTCCAACAAGAAATACCTCATCTCCACCACCCCCGGCGCGAGGGTGGAATTTGAGATGCACACGGGCTTGGGGAGGGTTGATTTGAATTATTTGAGATCGGAGAGCTTTGGATTGGGGAGTGTTAGGTGTTGGGTTGATGGGAGGGAGAAGGAGGGTGTGAGGTTGGATGGGTATTGGGAGAAGACGTTTAATATCGGGCAGTACGTTTTTTTCTACGCCTCGTTCTTCTTTTCACCAAAGGATACCAGCTGATGTCAGTCAATAGGACGACAACGATCAAGGATGGCCTTTCTATCGGCAAACACATTTTGACGTGCGAGCATTTGAACGAGACGAGAGATCCAAAGGGTGGGAAGGAGTTTAGGTTGATCTCGGCCATGAGGTGAGTTTGCGTTTGTCTCTTAATCTACTTCCGCCTTTTCTACCCTCGGGCCGTGATATACTGCCAGATGTTTGTGCAATGGTGCTGATTTTGGTCCACTAGCATCTGATCGGCGGTCATATTATACACGCGACGCGTTTGGTTCTTATCTCTTCCTATCCTAGGGGACTGGGTTCGCCTTGGAATGTTGTACGATATATATAACTTGTATCATAGCTGTAGAATTACATGAATACTGCTTACATTGATCACTATCTCATTGTAAATGTGCTGCGATTCCGTCACTCCGTGGAAGGTGAGAACGGCAACTCAAGTAAGGACAACAGGTTTCAGATCCGCTAGGCTTGTGTTTCAGAGTTACACTCAAACAATGCACCAACAATCGACTTTCTTTGGCACTTTGTTTCTCGAGACTGATTCGCAGCTGTCCCAATGTATTTACAGAGAGGGGAAAGGCGTTTAGGAGCATAGGTGGCTACAGTATCTACTCGCAGCACTTTCCTTTCCGCCTGCGTCAACAACGATGCGACGCACGGACGTTGTTCCTCGCACAGATCTCCCATCAACACACACACTCCGTCTTTTGTTCGGCTCCATGCGAGAAACAAAAAAGAAATGCACTCATCTCTTGCTCTTCACCTTCCACCCTCAGCAATGTCCATCATACGCAACATCCCCCGCCGCCTACTCGAGCTATCCATAGCCATCAACATCGCCCTCCTCATCTGGTTTCTCTTCTACCGCCGCGATACGCCAGACGGGGCACCGGCATACCACGTTTGGGAGAGGAGATGGGGTGTGAGGGAAGCTTATTCAAAGAAGCTTGTGTATCAACATGCCGAGAAGGAACAGTGGCAAGGGGAGCAGGAGCAGGAAGCTGGAAGCGATTTGGTCGACCGCGCGGTGGTCGGGAGTGGCTGCGAAATGTGCGCGATGGATCCTGTCTTGTGCCAAGAGCTTGGGTATGTCCTCTTCCTATCAATTCCCCAATCTAAGGTACTGACTGATGATATCTGTGGTAGAAGGAGGAATCTCGAACGCTCGCTTCTCTTCTCTGGGACCGGCACGCGTTTCCAGCGAATGCTCTCAAAACTCAAACGGGGCGAACGGCTTGTGGCCGGTGTCCTCGGGGGTTCTGGTAAGCCAACCTGTCTCAACTTCATCTCATTCTTCCCCTCGAGCTCAAGTGACTGCATAGTATCCAAGGGTCACGGCATAAACAGCTTACCATCCTACGGCCCCGACCAATCCACCAATCTCAATCGTATCGTCTTTGACCGCCTCAACTATCTTTTCCCGGCGCCGAACGGTGTAGTTAATGACAAGAGTGGTCGGGAAGAGGGGAAGAACTCGTATATCAATGGTGCTCAAGGGGGTGTTGGTGAGTACTCTTGCTATGCTGGTTGAATTTCGGCAGAGCTGACGGGCGTAAAGGATCTGATTACTTTTCTCTCTGCTACGGGGAACACATATCCGAGGACGTGGATGTTGTCTTTGTCGATCTGGCTATCAACGATGAAGCGTGAGATCCCCATCAATTTTATAATGTAGCAATGCAACACTGACGACATGCAGACTGGTCAAGAATATCGACTCATACGAGCTTCTTGTTCGGAGTCTTCTGGACCTACCGAACAAACCTGCTATCTTGAATTTGGAGTACGCTTCCTCTCTCGACTTCATCACGTATCCAGTACACAAGCTGATTAAATCTCGACAGCGTCTTTGCGCTAATGTTCAAGACAGTGACAAACGGCGGCGACATGGTACGTTCTCCTACCTTGATCATCACCGCTCCAAAGACGAAAAAGAAGAGAGTTGACGCATCGTTTATAGCACTCTGGTATCGCCCAATTCTACGACATCCCCACCGTATCTCTCCGAAACGCCCTCTACCACCAAGTCCTCGCCAACGCTTCTCTCATCCCCGAGCTGTTTATCATCAAGGAGGATGGTGAAGTTGATACACGACACGTAAGTTTCGCCATCTCCCCTCCCTCTCTATCACCCAGGTGTCTTCGAATAACACTAACGAGGAGCCACAGCTCGGCGTGAAGGGGCACAACCTCCTTGGTCGGATTGGCGCAGCATACGTCGACTCTCAAGTGTGCGAGATGGAAAAGTACGAAGCCAGCTTCCATCAGCCTGAACAATTGTCGCTGGACGAGTTGTATCCTATTGCCCCTCTTCCCCGGGTAAGCCTCTCCTCCTCACTTCTCCGCCTCGAGCAAAAAAGGCAGATGTTCAAGTGCAACACAGATGCAATTGAATCAAAAATACGACAACACCACTAACCTCCTCCAAATCACCCCCCAATGCTTCTCCGCCACCGCCCTCCACCACCCCCTCTCCCCCATCCCCTCCTCCTCAACCCTCGGCCTCAGCGGCTGGCACCCCTGGGCATGGGCAGACAAGAAATATCTCGTCTCCACCACACCAGGCGGGAGGGTTGCTTTCGAGTTGGAAACGCGCTTGGGCAGGATCGAGATGCATTATTTGCGGTCAAAGGTTTTTGGGTTGGGGAGTGTGAGGTGTTGGGTTGATGGGGATGGGGATGGGGAGGAGGGAGGGGGGGTGAGGTTGGATGGGTATTGGAATGAAAAGTTTAATATTGGACGGAACATCGCTTTCCATCCTCTTCTGCTGCGGTCTTCGAGCTGACTGTGTGGACAGGGCGACGACGATCAAAACTGGGCTCTCGCCGGGTAAACACATCTTGACGTGCGAGCATCTGAATGAGACGAAAGATCCGAAGGGTGGGAAGGAGTTTAGGTTGATATCGGTCATGAGGTGAGTCTTCCATCATTCACCTGCTTGTCTCTTATCTCCTTCCTCGGGCGCTCCGTCTGAGAGCTGTGCTGATGAGGGTACGAATAGCATTTGACCGGACAGGCCTTCACGTCGTATTTGGGCTTTGGGTTGCTTGACATGAATTACTAATTTTGCTGTGATTTACGGAATCGCCTTCTTGAGGTGTTGTAGAACGCTTTTGCATGCTTATAGGCTCAATGGATCCTACACATATCATACAGCTCTTACACAGCAGCGGCATGACTGTCAGCAGTCTGCCACGCGATACAAAGCCAGAAACAAGGGATACTCACGAGGACCTCCAAGTCGACTGCACCACAGTGATCATGACTCATCCTCTGCTGCCTCATCTTCCGAAGAAAACGACTTCAATGAGGCGTAGGAGATACCCCAGGGCTTACCGTCATACATGTCCGGTGGTAGCGTCCCCACTCGTAGAGCTCTCAACATGTCACGCATTCCTTCGGATATCAATGCCAGGATGAGCCACATCGTAAACAGGGCGATCAATGCTAAAGCAGAGCCCAGCAATGCCATGAAAAGGACCATCATGACGGGGAGAATCCGATATATACCCCCCATATGGTCCATACACAAGCCAAATGCACAGATACCAACCTTCCAGAAACGTCCAGACTTTGTGCATTACCGGAAGGACGTGACTGTCTTAACTTTACTTGTATTGTTCACCCACGAGGTGAATGTACAGTTATGCGAGCTAGTGAAGCAATTTCCGCATCCCAACATATGCAGATACTACGTACGGATGCAACGTCGGCATGGGTTCAGTCACTTCTATGCACTTTGAACCAGTGGAGCATACACTCGGACACGCAATTGACAAGGGCATATGTGTAGGTATAAGGGTAATGACTTTGTTGGAATAATGATTGATTTGTATCACATCAGACTCGATAGTATAGCATGTACATTTAGCCATACATCATACACAATGAAATGTGGAGTAATGAAGTAGTACCGAACAGTTGTGGCCGAGAAGATGTATGCTAGTGGGAGAAGATGTATGGCATTGTGGTAGTGAGTACGGCGGGGATGGATCAACAATAAGTAACTCTTAGATGTGTAACGAATCGGCGATGTAGTATTCACGACTTGATATTGTGTTTTTGCTGTTGTCTCTGAGCGACGAAACCTTGTGTGATGAACGATTGGTGGAGGTAGGTCTGGACACGGCATTGGTGATGTTAGTGGCTTGTGAATGGGGGGGGTAGAAGTGAGAGTGAAGGGGATGTTGAGTGATGAACAGCTATCAGTCTGGCGGTATCGAAGATCTCGCTTGCGTTCATGTCTCTTATGATGCGATTATTGTCGAAGACTGGTATACAGTCTTTAGCACTTCAACACCTGGTAAGATGAATGCATTACGTACCTGGTATACAGTCTTTAGCACTTCAACACCTGGTAAGATGAATGCATTACGTACCTGGTATATAGTCTTTAGCACTTCAACACCTGGTAAGATGAAGAAGCAGATCTGTACACCAGCTATGGAAGAAAGTACCGCCAGCCAACAATTTCGTCTAGAATAGTTCCGTCACCTTACGTAACCTCGCGCGTCACTCTACGTACTGAACTCCAACTCCAACAATTATGGCACCACTATTCCACGGATTCGGTTCACAACTATATTTGAATCCTAAGGACTGCGTTGCATGGATCTCAACCCCGAGCAACAATCACTGCAACAATCACTGCCAAAGAGCGGCTAATTCGTCCCACAGGGGCTTGATAGATCGTATAACGGAATCACCGCAGTCTAGACAATCGACAGAGAGCCTGATTGACTTGTCGATTTCAGACCACAGGCCATCGTCATCGTGGTCCAAAAACCGCGAAGCGAGAGTGCGTCGGAGAGCCTTCCCACCCGACCGACTGGCGATCGCCCACCAAGATCCAGATGTCTTGCAACTACACTCCTCCCCACCGCACTCCACAAATCTCTTGACCTTGTAATCAGCTTGTGACTTTTCCAGGAGGTCATGGTTGGCATCAAAGGACGGCGAGAGGAAATAAGGGTCTTTGTACCTGGAGAATGGGCTTCGCCGGTGTATCTCTCTCAAAAGCGCGGCATATGGGGCGTGGTGCTTGTCAAGGACGGGAAGTATGGGCTGCGGACACGACTCCCTAAGGTCGAAATACAGAGTTGATTTTGCAATGGCTTTAGCAGCCGTTTCGTCGGCCTCGAACGCGGCGTAGAGGTATTGGAACCAAATAGACGGTTTGGGGATGCTCAAGCGAGCCTGGGCTGAGAATCTGGTGAAGCCGTACTGGTTGGCGATCCTGAAAGCGAGCGCCAGATCCTCATGATCGTACTCCCAGATTCGCTGGGAGCGGAACACTCTTCGCTTCTTGTCATAGCGGTCAGGCCAGTATTGTGTCTCTTTGACCTTGAGCAACACCACCCTCAAGCCGTTTGACAGTGCCCCCGGCATATCTCTTCGCACGGCTTGGGTACGACCTTTCCCATCATCGTCGTCTTGTCTGATATCTGAATCCATCTCCTCAAAGTCGCGGAAGAAATCAGAGTGCTCCAGGAGGAAATCTCGGTTGACATAGAAGCCGACGTCGTCGTCGGTAACTAGCAGAAAGTCGTCGTTCGTTTGGATGGAGAAATCGGGATGGGTGAACGAGGGAAGAGCATCAGGGGTTCGATCGGTGGGGGGAGATGATACAACGTCTCGAGTGACCTCTGATGACTGTCAGCGGTCTAACGTACTTGAACGCGATGGACGCACCCGTGAGCGTATCCGCACCCGCAGAACCCGCCGCGTCCGAGCCGGGGGTAGAGGAAGAAGACAGTACTTGATCGCCGTCGTCGTGAGTACGCGAAGCGTCGGTGTCTACTTTGCAACATCAGTGTAAGGCCGGAAGACATTGACATGATTCACTCACCCTGGGGGTCCTTCCCGTCGAGATGATTGAGCGACTTGTCCAATTCTGCGACGTCACCTGACATGTCGTCGCGTTGAGAGAAATTCGGATTATATATGCTGACGGGAGGATGGTGGTGGACTAGGGAAGTGAGATGGATATCCGGATCTATCGGTTGACGAAAATACAGCTAGAGAGAGATATTCAAATGTGTGAATGTATTTTGGTACGAGCGGGAACGGTAGATAAGTGTCGCACTACTACTACGCCAAACTTCCCGTTGGAAGACGACCACTCAGTCGAGCTGGAACCCAAACATAGTGGGCGTCTGCACAGTACGTACATTACGCCTTCGTCAAGTTTGTCTGTGCTGTAAATCAACGACGTTGAGTGATGAAGAGCAGCCTTCAAGGGCGTCTTCTTTCACGAGGCTGGTGGTATCAAAGCCCTTATTCAACGAGACTCTACCACGTTCGCATTTTAAGTCGACTACGAATACATTCGAAAACTGCATACACTCAGGAAAGACCTCGTCATCTGCTACTGCCAGTGCGCTGACAAACTGTCCCACAGCGTCTTGAAAGATCGTAATACAGATTGACGGCACTCAACACACTTTACATCGATGCTGATTTCGGCTTCGATCTGGTCCCACAACAGCTCGTCTCGGCAATCCGTGCACCTGCAGGTGAGACAGTGTCAAATAACATCTCCACTCGACCTACCAGCAGTCTCCCACCAATAGCCTGGGCTTCTTTTACAAGAACACTTTACCCCGCCTAGCTCTGCTCTTTTTCAATCTTTGAAAGCGGCTTGCGCCTGCTGTAAGAAGGCGTGATTGGCAAAAGGAAGCGGCCTTGTGAAGGAAGGGGACGTCCTTGAATGTGAGAGTCTCGACCTTGACCGCTGAGGATGCAGCGGTCCTGATAGGGCACTCCAGTTGGTCATGCAGCTGGGGAGGCGGGGCCCACTCTTCTCCGCCCAGGAGAGTCCCCATATACCCCATCCATTTTGTACACACCTCCACAAACAATTCGACTGTGGTTTGCTTCAGTTTCAAGTCCTTGTAGAGCTTTGAGATATTCAGAGCATGACGATGGCGGGAGAGAGTGAGGAAAGTAAAAAATTCGGGCATGGAGGGCGTAGCGATGTCGGCGTAAGCGTCAAAGACATCGAGAATGAGCTCGGGTGGGAGAGGAAGGTGATGGAGGGAGTCGATGGGTTGTTATGGCATGACGACGGTGAAGTAAACGCTATAGCTGCTGAGAAGAGACAGCACAAAAAGTGACGATTGACGCCTAGATGATCACCGACGCGACTCACATCAACACACAGCGCCAACGTTGACGGGCAGCGACGGACAATGCGATGCGAGGTGAATACTGTCTGGTTGTACATCACTGGAGATATTCCATAAGATGTAAAGTACATACCACAGCTCATAGACCGAGTTTTTACAGCATACAGTTTCACTACATAATACCATGCAATTACTCAACAGACATTTCCTTGCTCTCACGTGGAGGCCCTAACACACACCTCCATTCGTACCCTGCCTATCCCTGTAGCTCAAACATCATCATAGGACTCGCTAGGATCAACAACAGAAACTTGAAGTGACGAGTTATCCCAGCTATCAGACATGCCTCGTCAGTCGCCCATGCTTCTTCTTGACTCTTTCATTCGAGAACGCACCTCTTGATCTTGCTCTCAACCTGATCAATCTGCTCCATCCTATGCTTCCTCTTCTTGAAACGTGTAGCTCCCTCTCCTACCACTGCTGTCATATACTCCAACGTCACATTCTTGACATCCGGCAGCCTCTTGCCAATCCCCGCGAGCCAGTTCAGTGCCAGAGGTGAGATACAGTGAAAAGGCCTCGACGGCATGACGATCACCAGCCTCTCCGCCCCATAATGCGTATACACATTCCTCCGCGCATACATCGCGTAACTCCCCATCCTCACCTCCCCTCCTCCAAGCGTCTGTTCTTCGAACACAACCGTCTTGGCGCCGTGTAAGAGCCGGTTAGAATGAGGCAAGGAAGGATGGCGATCCCACAAGTTCCACCAGTAAGACCCGGGGCTGTTGAAGAGATCTGAGATCTTGGTGAAGCAGATGGCGTTCTGAAATGTGAGGGTTTTGATGTTGAAGTCTGTTGAATTGCATTTGATGGGGCAAAGGAGGTTCCTGACCATCTCGTCCTCATCCATAACATGCCCCATGCTGGGCTCAGCAGTCAAGAGCTGATACGCTTGGGAAGACCATTTCCTCCACATATCCACAAACCGATCCGCCATGCTCTCCTTCAGTCTGACGTCCCGGTAAAGTCTGCGAATGTTGAGGGCATAGTGATATCGGGAAAGAGTGAGGAGCGTGAGGAACTCGGGTGTGCCGGGGAGGGTGATGGCGGTGTAGGTGTCAAAGATTTCGAGAGCGAGCTCGGGTGGGAGAGGGAGGCGATGGAGAGGTGCGTCGGGTCGCTGCATTGCAATGATGGAGGAGCAGGTGTTGGCGATGTTGAGAGGCGAAAGAGCGAGGATGAAGGAATTGACGCGTCGATGATCGCTGATGCCCGACGCGACGCGGTGAACAGCGGCAACGTCGAGTGGGGTGCAGGCTACAAACATTCAGTCGACACGCATATGTACATCATACATACTACCTCGCACGACGAACTTTGGCATAAAATGTTCTCCCATGTCTCTATCCTCCTCCTCCTTCCTTCGCCATGATATAAAGGACCTAACTACCAAGTAAGATCAATGAACCGGGTTCATAATGCATATGCTGGTATTTGGACTTGCTAATCACGCCCCGGGACCTTATTGTTGTACAGTCTTCAGCTCCTATCAACTGATAAGATCTATGCATTACATACCTGTTGTACAGTCTTCAGCTGCTATCACCTGGTAAGATGAAGAAGCATGAGAAAGCACAACAGGCTCCACAATACCCTGGAGGAGAGGAGCTCCGGAGGAAGAGTGGGGAGAGGGAGAGACTGCGTGGTTTGGTGATCCATTGCGGTGATGAAGTCGAATGTGGAGACCTTGATAAGATAAACTGAAGGACGAGGATGAAGAAAGTAGTTGACGCGTGATAATGGTCGCTGATGGCCGCCCGCCGGCTTGAACAACACCAATCCTACGTTGAGCGACGCTATCATCCCACAACAGCTGCCTCGTCCAAGCTCCCCCCACAGTCTCTGCCTTCATCAGCTGCAAAAGTCTTTCAACTGTCACGTCCCCCTGTTCAAACAAACCAGCCGCAGATATGAGGATCCCCGAGGAAGCGCGCCATGACTCCTCCAAGACGAACGCCGCAGACCTTCCAAAAACCTGTTACTAAACGTATACATACCACCTCTCTCTCTCCACTAGATTCCCAAACCCCAATTACAATCACTCAGCACTCTCCTCTAGAATCCTTCTCAACTCCCGCACCCTCCCCTCCGCCACCTCCCAAACTTCATTCAACACCCCTTCCCCGCCCTTCCCCTCCACACCTCCCAGCCCCTCCTGCCTAACCAAACATGCTTGGGATCCTTCGTCCAGGGCGATGGTGATCGAAGTGGGGAGGAGGGGCGTTTCGAATGATGTTGGGTCGGGGAGTATGTATTTGCTGTTATCCACTTTTAGTACTCGCTTCCTTCCCAAACAAGAGTGAAGTGAGGGGTGAGAAGGGGAATGGAAAGGGACATACGATTGGAATATCCCAAACGATGCCGACAGTGGTATCCGCCCCAAAGTCAACGGGAAAGTCTCCTCTCTCGAACAGATCGTCCGGCCAGAATCGTCGTCGTACCGAGCTTGTGGTAATCTCGCTACACCCACTATATCAGCTTCCCCTTCTCATCACAAGAGACACAAGGCAAGGGAGGGGGAGGACGTACTGTTACGAAGAGCAGCCATAACAGCCAGCACAGCAGCATCAAACGCATTCCCATCATAGTTGATACACACCACATCAATGTAGAGGACCCAAGCAGCTTTGCCGGGGGAGATGAGGAGTTTGTTTTGAGGGATTGTCTTTGATCTACAAAGCCTTATGAGCACCACCTCTGTAGTCTAGGAGCAAGGGATAGGACATACGAGACAAGAAGGTCGTTCAGCCAATTTGAGAACGTCTGTGCCTCATCGCCCGGAGGTCCTGGTTTGAAATGCGGGGAACTCAGTGCTGGTAGGTCGATATTCGGTACTATCCCCCTTATCAGCCACCATCCCTCTTTGACCTAGACATAAGGGGTGCTCACCGACAAACCCATCATTGGGCGCATTGGTCAAAGGCTCCGAGATCTCGCCTTTGATCCCACAAACCATCGTCGTATCGCCTATTCTCACCAACGCTGATCCATGTGCTGTCGATATCGATCCTTTTCATCGCTCAGCATCCCCTCTGCCCATTACCAGGAAACATATGACTCACCGACGTTGATACTAACATCCCTCCAGGCAGATACGCTTCTCCCATCGGGCCGGTATCCAGAAGCCAAAAAGCGGGACAGATATTGCGCCGGGTGGAGCCTCTTGAAGACGTCTGTAGCGTTGCCATTGACGGCGCCGGAAGTCTCTGTCGGAGGGTTTGCTGCTGTACTCATTTTGACAGATATAGATTGGGAAGAAAGGAGATGGGATACAGCAAAACGTCACTCAAAATGATTGCAGTCATAAATTCCTCTTACGTAAACACTTGAAGATGATAAAAACGCGTCGAAGAAACGCGTACAATTACTCATTACCTCTTTCATCCACGCGTTTGTCCAGCTACCATGTGCGTGCCCCCCCTGGCCCCTGCTCTGCTGACAAGCTATGCAGGTCGGCCACAGATATCCCCGACGCCCCCGCCTCCTCCGACCCCGCCGCCATCCGCGCATCCATCGACAAGCTCGTCGATGAGGGCAAGAAAGCTATCGCGCTGAGTCAATGGGAAGAAGCCGTCGAGCGGTACGGCGAGGCTCTCGAGCTCCAGTGCGTCCGCCCCCTCTCTCCCTCTCTCTCCTTGTGGGCACGACTGACTGGAGAGAAGGCAAGAACTTGTAGGCGACAAAGACCCCCAAATGGCACCTCTCCTCCTCTCCTACGGCCGCGCGCTTTACGAACTCGCATCAAGCCAAGCGGGCGTTATGGGCCGTGAAGAGCCTACTCCAGTAGCTGATGAATCCGGTACGTTTCTCCCCTCTCTCCATCCCTATTCATGCCCTTTGTGCGATAAAGGATGAGACTGACGTAGGGGTAGGTCCCTCGGGCGAGCAAAACCCCAACTTTGTCTTTTCTGCAGACCCTGCTTCGGATGATGAAGGCGACGACGCCGCTGGCCCTGGACCCGAAGCATCCGGCTCTGCCCCCGGCCCTTCTGACCCTTCGGCAGAGGCGGCAGAAGGCGAGGCTGCCGATGACATCGGCGAGCTCGAAGACGACTACAACGCCGCATGGGAAGTCCTCGACGTCGCGCGCAAGATCTACGAAGAGATCGTATCCACTCTCAAAGAAGGCGAGGGTGAGAAGGAGAGGCTTGCTTTGGCAGACTGTCATCAGACTCTTGGGGATGTCAGCTGTGAGACTGGTGAGTCCTTAAGAGAATCTTCAAGGTTGGAGCTGATGAAGGGTGGTAGAAAAATTCCCCCAAGCAGTCGAAGACTTTACAGCCGCCCTCACTATCAAATCCGCCCTCCTCCCCCCTTCTTCCCGCGCCATAGCCTCCCTCCACTACCAAATCGCCACCGCCCTCGAAAACATCCCCTCCAAACGCACCTCCGCCCTCTCCCACGTCGAAGCCGCTATCCACGCTTTCCAACTCCGCAAAGCCCAACTCTCCGGCCCCACCTCCGACCAACCCGCCGAAGTCGGCAAGTTGTCTGAAAAGGAAAAGAAGAATGAGCTGGAGGAGGTGGAGCTGTTGATAGGCGATCTGGAAGCCAAAGTGGAAGAACTCAAATCCACGCCCGAAGCCGCGCAGGAGGTGCACGAGTCAATCAATTTGTTGATGGGGCAGAGCGAAGGTGGGGGGGTGAAGGTGGACAATGGGCCGGTGAATGATTTGACGGGGATGGTGAAGAAGAAGAAGCCCAAGGCGGCGCCTGCTCGACCAGCTCCTGCTGCTGCTGCTGCGGACGCGCCGGTGGTTGGCGGTGAGAAGAGGGCGGCGGAAGGTGGTGAGGAGCCTGCTGCGAAGAAGGCCAAGCCCGACGAGGCTTAATGAACCACCTTTTCATATATATACTCCTTTCCTTCGATTTGATTCACCAAACAAACATTTGCAGACGATGCATTTTTTTCTACTCTTCTTCTCATCTATCTCAACCCTCCCTCGACTCTACCTTTAGAAGAGCAGAGAGAAGGGATATCCGCCATTCTTCATCTTGAACAACTTCATGAGCAAGCTAAAGACCACGACGAGCATGCCGAGCCAGAGGTAGACGCCGATACGCTGCTTGGCGGGGGATGATTGGGAGGGGACGAATACAGTGAGGGCGACGATAGAAAACGCAAGAAGGCCGTCTAAACCCCATATCAGCCTCGCCCTCCACTCTTCTTGGTAGACTCACAAATCCCACCAACAACCTGACTCTCCAACCCCAACTGGTTCTGATACCCCCCCGCAATCCAACTAACACCCCCACCCTTCGCCACCGCCACATACGGCGCCCCCTTGATCTTGTTCCACATGTACCCCGAAGTAAAGGTCAAGATGAGGATAATCGAGAATGTGCCCCAGACGACGCGGGATTGGATGAGGGGGATGAGGATGGGGGAGAGGGTGTAGAGGGATATGGCGGTGAAGGCGAGGGCGAGGGGGATGAGGATGAATGGCCAGGGGTTGAGGGGAACGTGGAGGTCGAACGATTGAGGAGTAAGGTTCTTGGCCCAAGAGTAGAACGGCTGTACGCTCAAACCACTACACCCCATTCATCAGCTTACATTCCCCCACTCCCATCCCAGCAAAGCAAAGAGACTCACTTCCTGTTCATATCATAATTAATCACACCCAGCTTATTGTTCCTCCTCTCCCCAGCAAGGGGCGGGTGGAACATGACGGTCGGCGCCGACGTCAGGCCGAGCTGGCTGTACACGGCCTGACCATCTGCAAAGTCGAGTTTCGCGAAAAAGTGTTGGTCCCGCGCGGATCTAGGAAGACGGGCCCAGGAGTCTGCTACTTGAGAGAATGACGGGTCGAAATTGCTATCCACCCCATCAGCCCTGCCCCTATCCCTCTCCTTCCCTCTCCCACTTGCACAAGGGGTACTTACTGGCAAGGCTGACACTTGAACTGCGCCGGCAACGCCGTCAGCAATACCGTCACACTATACTCCCTATCCAGCGCCAACAGATCCTGATAACTCTCCGAGTCGAGCTTGATGACGCCGTCGCGAGACTTGGCTGCGAGCTGGGACCATTTCTGGACGGGGTCTTGGGCTGCGAGGGCGGTGATGGCGCTGAGGGCTGTGCCGATGAGGGCGAGGGAGGGGAGGCGCATGGCGGGGGCGTCCTCTTCGGGGGTAGATGGGGAAGAAGATAGAAAGTGAAATAATAGAGAAAGAGACCTCGTCGCGTTGGCAGCAAAGCCGAAGCCGCAGCATGCCGAAGGTTACGTAAAGGACACGTCACGATATTGAGGACAAGTTGGTTGATTTTATCTGGCGTATACGTGGCTAGTGAGTTGGTTACGGCATGTGGATTACAATATTAGGAGTGCACGTCTGCATATTCCCACTTTTGCGAGATGACCAGTTGTTGCCATTAGGGGTACATAATTTCTACGTTCTATAAAAGAGCATCTCCTATATCTTCCCTCTGAGCAGATTCAAGATCATCTCCTTCCCAGTGATTCTGACCGTGTGGAACATGGTGAGAACGTCCATCGTCGAGAACACCATATCCGCAAACCCAAACGGCAGCATCAAAGGGATCCAACCTACCAATCCTTACATCAGCCTCCCATCGCCCTCCTTCCCAAAGCCGGGACGAAACGCGTACTCACCTCTCGCATATTCCAGCGCCCAAGTCTCCGGCTCCATACCATACTGCTTCACCACCCCTCTCTTCATCCAATTTACATCTCCAGGGTTGTATACTTCTCGTTCGAGCGCTCCTGCTTCGTAAGCGTGTTGACGACCGGTGAGGATGTGGAACCAATCGTCTGCGGGGTGTCGTCCGGAATGACCTTCTGTACCAATAGCAGAGCCGAATATGATCAGGTACCTGTCTCTTTTCAGCAGACACTTTGAAGAGGGTGATTGATGAGGGACGTACTCGGTAAGACTAGAATGCAACAAATACATACTCCCCATAGCCCCTCCCGCATTGTTAAAGACCCAATCATCTCTACTCTGCCAGTCCGTCCTCCACTTGATCTGCGGATGGTCCTCAGCGAGCTTGTGGACGAGGGTGTCGATGATGAGAGTGGCGTTGGAAGGGGATCCGGCGGGGGTGAGGGCGGATGCTGAGGCGAGGGCGGATTGGACGGTTTTGTTGAGTTCGGCGGGGTCTAGTCGGTAGAAAATGTGCTACAAGTAGATGAGATATGTCACTTCTAGTATACGGGGGACGGACATACGTTGTACGAACAGGCAACCGAGTACAAAACCCAACCCAGCGCTAGAATAAGCCCGCGTCGACCCCATTTGAGAACGCATGCTTGTGCCGGTGATGGAGCCGGAGCACCGCTATTGGATCTCTGAGCGGAAACCATATTCTGTCACGCAATGAAGAAGTAAAGAGGAGATGCGCGAGAATGATTGTAGGGATGCCAAGATATATATGAACAGTCGCGTCGTATCGTACGACCCATTCTTTGTTGACTTTTCGGCCTCGGGATCGACCAGGCACTTACAAGCGATGATACTATGCATATTGAAAAGTCGTACTCGGCGATGTTCTAATGTGTACATGGTTTCCATGCCAATAAGGCAGTCATCATAGAAAGATGGCTGATGGATGAACGAAAGAGGATGTTGGCTAAAAGTCTCGCGGCGCGCTCCGTAGCCGTTGAAATGAATGATGTCGTGCATTGCTGTTTGTGGCAGACTGAGACCAGATCGTATGGATGCAGGATAGCCTCCATATGGCATGGTGGCGGAGGACCTCACAGGTCTCTTGTATAGAGCCTAAAAGTACCATACCATCACGACGACTGGATCAAGGTGTTTGACGATGTCGTCGGAGTAAGGGCGCCATGGTTGACATGAACACAAGTGATTGCAGTCGAATATGTCTGATAATGACTCTATAAATTTATGAGAACTCACTCCCCTGCTCATCGCCAAGCCAATCACATCATACCGTCCCCCACCCCCTCTCAACACGAACCAAGCCATATCCTCCCAGAAACAAAGTCCCCTGCCGCAGTATCACACTTCCTCGCCTTCTTGTTCTGCTTCATAGCAAGATCAGGCCTCCAGGTGTATTTTCCAGTCAACTTGAGACCGAGCTTGTCGAGCTTTTTCCACTATACTCGAGTACGCGTTTTGGATTGAGAAAATATCTTAAACCACCAACTTTTCACTTTGAAATATCTAGAAACCGCCAACAAAAATATGAATATATCTAAAACCGCCAACTTGCCTCTTTGGGGCATTCGGTTTTGGATTCGTGAGCGGCCGCTTGTCCTTCTTTGTTGTTCATTCAGCGCCAAAGCTATTTGAAGCAGGCGTACTGTGATAGGCAAGAGATATCCTGTTTACCTGCACTATCTTTTCCTCTTGTGACATGATGAGTGTGACCCAAGGCGGGGTACGTAAGCCAATCACGGGGTCGGCTCAAATCCAGCAAGAAACATCTGGAGGACTCACTCGGGATATCGTATAACAGCAAATGCCACACAGGCCCGTTGCCTCTCAGCAACAAAATCATCCTCGCCACGTCTGCAGGGATCATCATTACCAGCTCCACCAGCTCTGCAGTCGAAATATCTCTCGGCAAAGAGCACACGCATCTTCCCTTGACAAAGGCTAACGACTTCCTCCGTCGTCGCGCCAAGCTCGCCAAAGTTTGTCGTGCGAGGTAATATGCTTGATGTACATATGCAAACTTGTCAGTGATTTATGCTGTTCACTGAACGCTTATAGCCTGCACCCCACTCGACGTTGTCAGTCAACGCGGCGCTATCCACCGCGTCGCGTCGGGCATCCGACTCAGCGATCATCGACGCGCCGATTTCTTCATCCTCGTCCATTCGCCTACCAACATCGCCAACGCCTGCTCCGCCATCATTGCAATGAAGCGACCCGACGCACCTCTCCATCGCCTCCCTCTCCCACCCGAGCTCGCTCTCGAAATCTTTGACACCTACACCGCCATGACCCTCCCCGGCACACCCGAGTTCCTCACGCTCCTCACCCTTTCCCGATATCACTATGCCCTCAACATTCGCAGACTTTACCGGGACCTCAAACTGAAGGAGAGTATGGCGGATCGGTTTGCGGATATGTGGAGGGGATGGATTTTCCAAGCGATGCAGCTCGTGGCCGAGGCTGCTGAGCGCAGCATGGAGCATGTTGTGGATGAGGACGAGATTGTCGCTAGCCTCCTTTGCCCTATCAAATTCACTTCAGCAGGCTTCAACATCAACACCCTCACATTCCAGAACGCCATCTGCTTCGACAAGATCTCAGAGCTAGTCAACATCCCCGAGTCTTGCAGGTGGTACATGTGGGAACACCATCCTTCCTTGGCTCCTAATCCTATCCGGCTCTTATACGACGCCAAGACGGTTGTGTTTGAAGAACAGACGCTTGGAGGAGGGGAGGTGAAGATGGGGGGTGACGCGATGTATGCGCGGAGCGATGGGAATACGCATTATGGGGCAGAGAGGTTGGTGATCGTCATGCCGTCAAGGCCTTTTCACTGTATCTCACCTCTGGCACTAAACTGGCTTGCGGGGCTTGGCAAGAGGCTGCTGCCGCATGTGAAGCATGTGACGTTGGAGTATAGGACAGCGGTGGTAGGGGAGGGAGCTACACTGTTCAAGAAGAGGCAGCATAGGATGGAGCAGATTGATCAGGTTGAGAGCAAGATCAAGAGGTGCGTCTTGAATGAAAGAGTCAAGAAGAAGGATGGGCGGCTGACGAGGCATGTCTGATAGCTGGGATCACTCGTCACTTCAAGTATTCGTTGTTGAGCCTAGCGAGTCATGATGTTTGAGTTACAGGGATAGGCAGGGTACGAATGGAGGTATATGTTAAGGCCTCCACGTGAGAGCAAGGAAATGTCGGTTGAGTAACATGGTATTATGCAGTGTTATTGTGTCCTGTAAAAACTCGGTCTATGGGACCGCCCACCACTTTGGACTGATACTGCCCAGCCTAAAGAGTTGTAATATCGCGTTTGAAGATGGGAAAGAGTACGAGTAGTGTTTGCCCAGCGGGAGTTTGGGAAGGTGCGAGGGGCGACGGTTCAGCGTCTTCTCGGGGTTCTCGGGGTATGAAACAAGGTCTTTTGTAGAGTTTCGTAGTATGCGATGATGATTTATGTATGATCAATCATGCAGATCCCCTAATAGAGAGTTTGTGCAGGTGTACACAGTCCTTGGCAGATGCCGACGTGTCGTCTCTCATCAATTTCAACGATATCCCTCGAGTAGAGCGATACTCGTTCGTGTGGGTAGAGAGAGGGATATCCAGATGGCATCGTTTCAAGAATTGATTCTGCAAGGACATCGCAAGCAGCTCTACTCTCCTCGGATGCACTTACCCCTCACCAAACAAACACCGAACAAACCGAAGAGACCCAGAAATAAAGATTATTTGGCATTACATGGCGTAGGCTGGGCAGGGCTTGAGTATACGATCTACGGGTTCGTGGTATCTATCTGGCAACAGGGGATTGTAAGATTTGTGGAACGGAGCTACGCGCAAGTTGCTGAAATGACAATCTCGCGACGCGACGCGACGCGCTTATATATTTCCTCCGCGCACAACTTGGCCATACACCTCTTGATCTTGAGAAAAACCATACCAGTAGCTAGCTGCCACCGCTCAAATCACATACGGATATGTCTATGCTCAGGTTGGGGCTACAGGATTGCTCTTCCAACCAAGACAGTCGACATCTGCGCAAGTCTACACATCACTGGCGCTCCGTACTCTCAACAAAGCAATGACAAACGATCTATGCAAACTGCATAACCTTTCTGATAGTACAAATCTCGCCAACCCGGACTCTAGAACTGCTGAATCTTCTGCGACACCCTGTCCCTGATCGACGTATCTACCACCCCATTCAGCATTACCCCAAGAATAAAAAAAGGAGGGACGTACAAGCGCTCATCAAGGTCTGCTCGTTGATGACGATATCGGTGGTATCGGGTCTTGGCCGGGAGACGCGCGAGGCGATGGCGGCTGCGTCCGTCTCGAGGATGACCCTACCTCTCTAATCAGCTTTGAACTCAGAAGAAGGGGCAAGAAGAGTTTACCCATCGTCGACAGTCTCATCCGCCGCAAGCATGACCAAATCCAAACTCTCCAACACGTTCCTCTTCTCCACCGACCCGCGCAACAACAGATTCACACTATCCACGAACGCGTTCAGGGTGGAAAAGAGCATGAGCTCGTTGGAGGTGGACAAGGGACCGATGATGATGAAGGTGAGGTCGACGATTTGGCGGGTTAGCAGGAGGTGTGGAGGGAGGGGGTGGATCTCGCCTAGGAGTGGGTTAGTGGGGGTACGGCAACAAGGGTGAAGAGAGTAGGAAGGGAAAGAGAAAGGGGTTTGGGGGTGGGCTGACACTACTCGAGCGAGTGCACCCCTGTCCACTGATAACTCTGGGGGGAATACTCTTCCCAAAGAATATGGATCGAAGGATATACTGCTCGCTTCGCTCGCAGGCCCCCGTCCCACCCCCTTCCCAAAGAATAGACTTACCTCCCCCCCTCCTAATCTTCTCCCATATCCCCCTCTCAAACACCTTCTGCTCCTTCACCCCCCCCAGCCCCCCCATTCCCGGCCCCCCCTGCCCTACCCCCAAATCCTGTACTACCCCCTGTCCCTGCCCCTGCTGGTGCGGGGGCTGGTAGTATTTCGCGAGGACGCGCTGGCCGTCCGAGTCGAGGATGAGGAGTGCGGTGACGGTGTATAGGGAGAGATTTGACTGTGATGGTGTTAGATGGGGTGGGTATAGGGGTATAGGGGGAGGGGGGCTTACCATGATGGATGGAGATGCAAGGGGTATGCTTGAAGCTCAGCTGAAGCCAAGTCGCGCTGGCCGACGGGTGGATAGGCGTGCACAGCTAGGCATGGGAGATAGGCCCGCGGCAGAAGGCATGCGATTTGCGGGTGGGAGAAAAGTGACAAACTGAGGCACGAATAAATAAATACGACGGAAGGTTTTTTCCTGTCGTCATAGGCTCTGTACGTCATTTGTCATCCTCTCTTTCATCATCTCCTCCTTTCCAGCCTCTGACGCAGATTCCAGCAAACAGCCCAGGTCCCACTCAGCCAACCCCCAGGTGAGTACTCTGCCACAGTTCGATGCGAGAGGGGATTGCCACCCAAGACCCCCCCCTTGCCGCCTGGGCCACCCCTGTTTACGCCCCGCCCCACAACACCCACACCTCCACTTGCTGGGCGCTGGGGGCTTGCAGACGAACCTTGATACAGCATGTTGAACGATGAACCCATGGCTGACCACATCTCTCTTCGTATACAGTCAACCCACCGCGCTTTTTTATTATTTTTAAACCCCGCCTGTAGCCCTACCTGCAGTCTTACCCGCTGCTGTTGTAAATATTACCACCTCAGACACTGGAGTCTACCCAATCAATCCACAAAACGGGTAGCCCTCGACTCACCTCGACCCGTCCGACTCGTTACTCTTTCCCCTCCCCCACCCAACCCCCCTACGCGACCGTCTACGCGTGCTTACCAAGCAACTCCACAAAGGTTCGCCACAACACTTGCAGTACGATGGCCGCCGTCGCCCAAGCACCGTCTGCGATCCCGCAACCATCCATAGACAGTGGTAAGTCAACATTGCCACAGCCGATGGCATCATGCTAAACTGCCTACCAGCCCCCCGTCCATCGTCCGCCGCGTCGAATCCACAGAAAAAGGAGACTGCACCTGCATCCAGCGACAATAAAGAGCCGGCTGCTGTTACCGTCAAGGAGCCCACCCCTGTTGACGAGCCCGCCGAGAAGGACGCTCCTGGCAAGTACCCCCACGTCTATTATAACCCACGCTTACCCTGGTTTAGCCGAAGAGGGCGACCCCCAGAGACCGCCCATCCGACCGCAAGGCGTCCGCTCCCGATTCGACCAAGAACCCAACCCCTTCGAACAATCCTTCTCCCACCCCGCGCCCGACGACAACACCCCCCCAAGAGGCACCGACGCCACATCCACCCGCCACAACGCGCTGCCCCCGCTCTCATCCCTCACCAGCCCCGCCGCGGCCGACCCTACCCAGTTCCCCTGGCTAGCCAACCAGTCCCTCCGCGCCGGCCCTCTGAGCCCTGCTATGCTCACCGGCCCCCAGGGGCAGAACCAACCGAACCCCCAACGCCCTGCCGACGAGTCCAACCAGCCTTCCGAAGGCGCTTTCGAGCAGGGTTCGTTCCGTACCGGTTTCACGCCTGGTACAGGGACAGGCTTCACCCCGGGGTACAACTCATTCATCAACTCCTCCCTCAGCTCTCTCCCCATCCCTTCGCCAAACACCGCCGCATTCTTGAATTCCATCACCAACGTCACCCCCCTCGGGGAAGGTTCCGAAGTCGCCCAAGCCGCCCAAGCTGCTGCAGCTTCCACCACCAACCCTATGCACGACCACCCCCATCCCCCGTCCGCCATCCCGCCGCATATGCAACAGCACGCTCCGCCTCATCATCCCGCACACCACTCCACCCCTCCGAACCACCCCGCCCAGCCCTCGGGGGTGCAAGAGACCATCACGCCGAATACCCTCAACGCCCTGTCTGGCGTATTCGGCGACATGTCCCGCGCTCCACCTGGGGCACACGGGCAACCGCCTCCGGGGTTCTTCCCCGCGCCAATCCCGGGCCAGGGGCATCCGGGTCAACCGGGTATGCCGCCGTATGTCGACTACGCACAGCATAACGCCAATGCAGCGTCTCAAGCCGCGAACGGTCTCTTCCTCCTCAGCCAAGCGCACCAAGAACTGTCAAAGCGGGAAGAAGCCGAGGGCTCCCACTCCCCTGTTGGCGCCAACAACACCCGCCGGGGAGGCAGGGCTGTATCGCAGACTGCGCCGGGGAGTATTGCGGGGCAGAAGAGGAAGCCTGAGGCGGCACCGGCGACGAACGGGAATGGGAAGGCGAAGAAGGGGAAGAAGGGAGGGAAGGCGCAGGTTGTGGAGAAGGAGACGGCGAGTGAGGATTCGGATGATGGGGGGAGTCAGGGACGGGGCGGGGAGGGGGGCAAGTTTGAGACGGAGGAGGATAAGAGGAAGAACTTTTTAGAACGAAACAGACAAGGTATGCCTTCTCCTTCTTCTTCTTCAGCTCATACTAATTCATGTACTATCCAGCCGCGCTCAAATGCCGCCAACGCAAGAAGGCCTGGCTCACCGAACTCCAATCCAAAGTCGAAACCCTCACCATCGACAACGAGCGCCTCCAACAAACTGTGCAGCAGATGCATGAGGAGGTGGGGAGGCTGACGGCGATATTGATGCAGCATCGGGATTGTGGGTTGGGGATGCCGACGGGCTTTGGGGGACATCCGGGGGGGCATGGGCATGTGGGGGGGAGGTTGCGTTGAGCGAGCTTCTTCTTTTGCCTTTTGTTCTTCGGTCCTGTACCCCGGGTCCTGTCGTCTGGTCTGTCATCTTTTCGCGTTCTGCAACACAACTATAGTCTATCTTCGTCCCACCAAAAATCTGTATCGCTTCTTTCCCCTCTTTCCCCTCTTCTTTCCCTCTCCTCTTCTCTCTTCTATATATCCTCTCGACCGTTTTTGAGATTTAAAACAAAGAGTGTGATAATGCCTGTAACTCCGTAGCTGTGGTCTTTCTTCTTTTTTTTTGCTCTTCTTTTCTTTTCTTTAGGTTGTGGTTGAATGATCTTATGCATTCTTTAGAATCCTCTCTCGGCTCCAGTACCAATACTCTACCGCCCCTCCTCACTCCCACTCGTCTCAACATGCCATACAAGTCTAAATCAGTACGAGTACCACAACCCTTCCAATGGTAATTGCCCTCAACCATTTCCTGCTCATCCCCACTCCCATCCGCCCTCCTCGCCTCATTCTTCCTCTGGGATTACACATCGGCCACCTTATCCGAAGTCACACCCATAGTATCGGAGCTCGGAACAACAGTGTGTACTGGGGTGTCTTTGAGGAAGGTGTCGACTCTGTTCGAGAGAAGACAAGTTGCAAAAGCAAGGAGAGACGGGTTTTCCGTTGGATAGCTACGGCCTACGGTGCGTGTTGATGGTAGACGCTTAGGCACTCGCCTTCATATTGCTTTTTTTTCTCGCCTTCATATTGCCCCCAAAGCAGTCATCTCATCAATACAGTACACGCGATGAAAGCATAATCACGAGTCACCAGTCCTTGTATCCACATTACCAACGTCCACCACCGCCCCCTCCACGTCCACCACCCATACCACCCCCGCCCATCCCTCCTCCAGGCCCTCCAGGCCCTCCAAATCCTCCCCCAACCATACCGCCACCTAATTTAGACTCCAGTCTCTGGTTCCCGCACGATCTGCCTCTTATGAATCCTGATTACCCTGCTGGTCCTGTACAAAATCCTGCTGTCCTGAAACAAATTGGAGTTCCGCTCCCAAGTTTTCATGTTCGCCAACCGAGCAACAGACGTAAGTTCGAAGGTCGTCCTCAGTCTTCTTGCCGGAAGCCCACTCGTAGAAGGCGGCGACAGGGGTGTTGAGGGACTCGGGCCAGCATAAGTGCTTGGCGGCGACGCGTCGCACTAGCCGGTGTCTCTCAACTTCAATGTGGCAATGGTAAAGCGGGCCCTCAGGACATGATGAGTTGGATGCTTGATTAAGATGCTTCGTATAGCAATCCCATATTACGAATGCATACACGATGCTGAACCGTCATCTTTGCTGCTCACTCTCGACGGCTTTCAAAACTTGTCTGCAAATCTCTTCTGCAAACTCTCCGTCATCTCCACAACGGTATCCTCGAATGTGTTGTATTCAACACCCAGAACCTTTGTGGCCTTTGCTCCATTGAACACGTTGGAGTCCTTGACAATCTCGTCGTGAGTTCCAGGCTTGCCCACTGGAATATTCGGCAGGTCAGGGAAGCGTTTGTGCAAGACATCCACGTAGTCTTGTCCGGCAAATGGACCAGCGCCAACAATGAATCTGTTGCCTCCGGCTTCAGAGACGGTAAGAGCTCGAACGTGGGCAAGGGCGACTGTATAATGTGTCAGCATTGAACACAAGTACTGAATCAATGAGCGCACCGTCTTTCACATCAACCCAATTGGCGCCAGGAGCTGGGAGGTCAGACTCGGACTTTTTGCCGGTGAGCCATTCCCAAAAGTAATCTGCAAAGCGTCAGAGCAGTTTTCTTGACGGGGTGGCGCAGAGTCACTCACGGACAGAGGTGTTCAGCTTCTCAGGGTCATCGCATTGGTGGATGACTTCACCAATCACCAGAGGGGGGTTAATGGCAGCAGCATCCCAGGTAGGCTTCTCATCCTCGATGAACTCTGTTCGCACTATCAATACTGTTTCCACTCCTGACCCGCAGATGACTCACTCCAAAGTGCCTTTTCCGCCAGAGTCTTGCTTGCGCGATAAGATTCACCTCCGTCAGAGTTGACGCCGTTCTCCTCAACATGTTTGATGGAATCGACGTTCCAATCTTCCTCAGTGTAGATCACAGGAGTCTTCCTGGATCGCACAGACATGACAGATGCCACTGAGGAGGTGATAACCACGCGCTTGATTCCTGGGCTTGATCCCGCTGTCAGCATATCATCACGGCGGGCCGAGAGGAGGCGAGACTGACTTGTTCTTCTGAATACTTTTGAGGATACCGGTAGTGCCTTTGACGGCAGGACCGATAAGCTCTTGCGGATCCTTGACATTGGCCGTGTAGAAAGGAGAAGCGAGATGGGCTACAGCGTCGACGCTCTTGACGGCCTCGTCAAACACTCCGTCCTGTAATGTCGCTGGTCAGCTTCTGGTTCGTCGTCGAGTGATCTCTGTGTCGCCTCACCTTGGCAATGTCCTCGACGACAGCATACTCGAACTGGCCAAGCCCCTCGAAGAGGTTTCTGAGATACTCGCCCTTCTCCTGAGACCGGACGGTCCCGCGGACTTTGTATCCCTGCTTCAGGAACTCTTTGGCGGTGTGGCTGGAGATGTATCCGCTTGCACCTGTGACGAGGATGAGGTCTCCTTTGGTAATGGGGGCCATTTTGCTGTCAGTGGAATGTAATGCAGAAGAACATGTAATCTATGCTGAGGTGATAGTGGTCGGCCTTCAAATTGCATGACGCCATGAGCCGACATTTCGCCGATGTTCGGAATTGACCGACGCCGTTCTGACGGACTCCAGCACAAAATCTTGCGATAAGGCAAAGCTCTCCAAAAGTGTAAACTCCTGATTCTCTGCATAAACTATATACATGTTATATATATCTACATTTCTATCAGATGGTACTGAACCTCTTCCTCAAAGATTCAAACATCTGGATGATAGTGTCGTTCAACGTAGTGTACTTGATACCAAGCACCTTCTCAGCCTTGCTTCCATCAAAGATGTCAAGGACCTTGCAGATCTCGTCGTGCTTGCCAGGAGTGCCCACGGGGACGTTCTTGACATCAGGGAAGTTCTTGTGGATACCATCAACAAAGTCCTGGGCAGCCAAGGCGCCCGCTCCAACAATGAACCTGTTGCCTCCGGCCTCGGGGACAGTAAGAGCTCGAACGTGGGCAAGGGCAACATCCTTCACATCGACCCAGTTACCCATGGGAGCGGGAAGGTCGTCCTCAGTCTTCTTGCCGAAAGCCCACTCGTAGAAGGCGGCGACAGAGGTGTTGAGGGACTCGGGCTTGTCGCACTGGTGGATGATCTCACCAAGAACGAAAGGGGGGTTGATGGCGACGGCGTCCCAAGAGGGCTTCTTCTCCTCGATGAACTCTGCCCGATTGTCAGTTCTTAGATCTCCTGAAAAGAGTCGTACTCACTCCACAAAGCCTGCTCGGCAAGGGTCTTGGAAGCGAGGTAAGAGTGGAAGCCAGAGGACTGGAGACCATTCTTCTCGACGTGGGCGGCGCTGTCAACGTTCCAGTCCTTCTCAGTGTAGCTAGGGCGACAATCAGCGGAGAACATTTTCGTGACAAAAGCTCAACTCACGTGTAGGAGACTTGACAGAGTCCATGGACAGGATGGAGGCAACAGAAGAGGTGATGACGACTCGCTTGACGTCGGGGCTACTGGCTGTCAGAGATGCTTCGGCCCATTCACGACGGTAAACTCACTTATATTTCTGGAGGCTCTCCAAAACACCGGTGGTACCCTTGACGGCGGGACCGATGAGCTCCTGGGGGTCCTTGATATTAAAGACGTAGAAGGGAGAGGCCAAGTGCGCAACGGCATTGACGCCCTTGACAGCCTCGTCGAAAGCACCATCCTGATGACATCAGTCTTCGCCCCTTTGACGATTCGTGAAAGATAAGCGCACCTGGTTGACGTCCTTGACAATCACGTAGGTGAACTCGCCCAAACCCTCAAAGAGCTTGGTGAGGTATTGGCCCTTCTCCTCGGATCGAACGGTACCACGAACGCGGAAGCCCTGCTGGAGGAACTCCTTGACGGCGTGGGAAGCGATGAAACCGGAGGCGCCTGTGACGAGGACGAGATCGCCCTTGGTGATGGTTTGTGCGGAAGACATTATGGTGGAAGGTGTTTTGTTGGGGTATGTTGTTTGAAGAGATGCAAGAACGAGCAGGACGACTTATATATGCGACATCCACAGCCGGCACCATGCACCACGACCTCGGCCTCGGCCTCGGCCTCCACTCTTGGAGACCCAGAAAGTTCTTTTGTTGTTGTTGACTTTTTTTCCTGATTTGGCATCTTCGCTTGGGCGAAGCAAATACATAAAATACATACCTTACTGACGGCCGGGATGACGAGAAAAGACGCCGAGGTGGAGGTAGCTGGCTGGCCGTCGGCGTCGACTTTGTATGCAGGCCCGTGCATGGATGACTGTTTTGAGGGACATGCTGGCAAGAGCCAAACACGGCCATCGGGCATCGATTAACGTTCCCGTAACGCAAAGTTAGATGCTTGTACAGTTCAAAAAAATGATTTAACGCAGTTAGGGTCTTATCGGCTGTGTTTCCCCGGGGCAGAATCGGGAGAAAATATCTAAAACCGCCAACTTGCCTCTTTGGGGCATTCGGAGTATTCTATCGGCGGAATCAAACGCACGTGACGCTCTGCCCTTTTTGACACGTCATGCATCTTCTTTCAGCTCCCGCCGGGCCGCGCCGCCGCCTATCAGTCTCTCCTCGGGCCGTGCGTACTTGTAACTTGTAATCATGAATTTCGCGCCGCCGACAAACCACCTTGTTTGGTTCTCGATAAGGCGCGCGGAGCTGGTCAGGTCCCGCGCTTCAATTTCTCGATCTGTTCTCAATTTCTATTAAAGTCTTGCGCATACATTCCGCATACACCCTATTCCTATCAGGCAATCTCTTCGCAATCACCCGCCACACCCCTTCAATAGCTTGCTCATCACGACCTCAAGACGACTCCGCCCGAGCCGTCTGACTTCTGGCTCTCAGCTCTGACCTCGATGACATTTGATGTCTCTACCGATACCCCTGGTGGTCATGGTGAGCCATGCTATTCCCAATCCTCTCACATAGCTCCTTGGTAACACCAGCGTAGCGCCGCAAGAACACTCCCTCGACCCCAGTCCACTCTCCCTCTCAGCTCTCCCCTCCGAGATTCACTCCCTCGTCTTCTCATTCTACATCTCCACGACACATCCCGGCAGCAAAGCCTTCACCAACCTCCTCTGCCTTAGTCGCGCTATCCACGACGAGAATATCAACAGAGTCTACGACAAGATTGTCTTGACGAAAGACAAATGTGGAGGCGTTCTTCCGGCCTTGGAGGGACTGGTGGGACTGGTTCGAGAAAGCTCAGACCGGGTTGAGATCGCATACCAAGGCGGAAGGACGCGCGACTGGTACTGGCATCTCTGTCAGAACATGGCTGGGGCGAGAGGCGAATCTGGATCGGAAGAGAGGCGTCACCTTTGTCGATGCCTACGCTCTGCTCGACACTGCTCGTTTCTTGATCGAACACGGCTGGGCGAGATGGCAGCGAAGTCTCTGTGCCCAAGAAGAATATGTGAAATCGCCCCAATGTCTCTTCCAGGATCTCCACCATGTCACCTACCCCGCATCACTCTTTGATGGTACGCCCGTCTCTCGGGTAGCTTGGCAGACGTATCATGATCGCTCGGTGAATGCCCGTCATGTGTGTATCGAGCTGCCTGCTGTGCTGCTACCCAAGACAGCAGCCGATGCGCTGCGATCCTCGATTGTTTATCAGACACCCAATCCTGTGACGCTGACAGTGCACAATTGCTCCTCACCTTACGATATACCGTTGGTGGATGTGATCACATCTAACATCCGTGTCGGAATATTCTTGCAGAGTCCGAGGGGCATTGGATTGCGTCCCGAGGATGTTTGGGCAGTAGAACAGTCCCAGGAAGACGAGCTCTACGAGTATTTTGAAAACGTGTTTAGTAAAATGTCACTACCCAGAATATCTTCATTGACACACGAGCTGATATAGATATAGCGCGTTGGTGTACCCCAACTTCGTCGTTCATCATTCGCGCTCGAGCAACTTTGTTTATCACCTGGTGGAGGAGGCCGTCGGTGAGGCCGGTGAGGTCGGTCTGGATTTGATAACCCAGGACACATATGACATGATTCTGGATGAGAAGAAGCTGTTGGTCTATTCAAATGAGGAGTGTGTGGCACATGAGGCAGTGGAATGTCTCTGTGGGCTGAAGGTGTATCGGTCGGAGGCGATAGAAGATTCGGACGTGGACGAGTGAGCGTGAGGCTGCGGCGAGGAAGAGATACCATACCAGTATGCTGCTTGCGGCGTCCATGCGATGATGATGTATGCAATAACTATACATTTATACCATACTAGTTCATTGATTATGCAGTACGTCTTTCAATGCGAACATTGAACTTGTCCGATGAATGGGAGATGGGAACTCGGATCTGAACTCTTCGACGCGACGCGACGCGTTTCCGAGGGATACTGGATTGGTTCAGACGGATGTTTGGGAGAGAGAACAGTCCTAGGAAGACGAGTTCTGTGAGTACCTCGGAGAGGTTTTCAGAAGAGATTGAGTACACAGGCTACCGTATCGGCGCACGACCTGATTAGATATAGCGGGGTGATGGTGCACCCCGACTTTGCTGTCCATCATGCGGCTTCGAGCGAACGTGCTGACTTTGTAGGAGAGACTCTCAGCGAGGTTTACGAATCCCCGGAGATATACGACATGATCGTGGAGGAGGATAAGCTGGTTCCCTATTCGAATAGGGAGTGCGTGGCGCATGAGGAAGTGGAATGTCTATGTGGGCTGAAGGTGTATCGGTCAGGGCTGAGACAACAATGAGCGGTGAGAGACGAGTGCCGTCTCAAGATCATTGTAGTCGCGTCCATTTCATGACAGAATCTGTTGAAGTAAACCTTTCCCTCGCATCTAATGCATGTCTATTGCACACTGCATGCCCGACGTTTCACCAACATTGGCCCATCTCAGTTATTACCCGATTTGGTGTTAGAGCCTCGTCCATCGCCCATTTAGTCTTGGCTCTTTGATGCCCACATACGATACCCTGACAATATACTCGAGTACCCCATGTAAAGGATAGACAGTGCAGGCCATACATAAAGACAAGATCCAAAGACTACAGCTTCAACCGCTTCCCATCCTGCTGCTCTCCCTGCCCCTCCCCACCCCTCTTCATTGCCTTCCCCTGCTCCTTCCCTCCCTTCCCCACAATCGTCACCCCCTTTCCACTCTTCACCAACCCCTTCAACGCCTCCTCCTTCTGCTCCTTGACACTCTGCTTCTTCTTCCCATACAACTCTTCCATCTCGCCGAGCTTCTTCCTGTCGGCCTTTTTGTGCCTGCGGTGTTTGGTGCGCAGCGCTTGGGCGTCTTCGGATGTGAGCTCGGAGCGGGCGACGAGGGAGGAAGAGGTGGGGGCGGCGAAGAGTTCTTGAGGGGCGAGCATTGTGGAAGCGGCGGATGTTGGGGGGAGGGCAGATTCCATCGACGTCGTCGGTAAATCCGAGATTGTCGAGATATTCGCTTTTGGCTGTGTACTGTATCAGCCCACACCACATCAACAAGAAGAAAGGACTTACAGCCTTGGGCACAAAGTTCAAACTACTCAACGCATCAAGCTTATAACAGATATCATTCCACAACCCATCAATCTCCTCATGTGCCTTATTGAGCTTTTCATCCCTCGCATCCTTGACCTTTTCACCCGACGCGGCAGCTTGGTAGTCTTCTTCGTAGATTTGTGCGAGGGATTTGGCGGATTGGGTGTCTTGGAGGTCGAAGAAGCGGGAGGGAAGGAAGGGGGTGGGTTCGTATGCACGCACGCGGACGGGCGAGTCGAAATTGTTCTACCTTGCATCAGCTCCCACCTCTCCCAGTGGAAAGAGAACACTCACATCCAAGATCCTCTGCTTGATCAACTCTTCCATACTCTTAACTGAATCTTCCGTCACAACAGGCACAACTTTTCCAACCTGCTCGAAATCCAAATCTTCCTCCAACAATGAGTTTTCAGGCCGGGCTTTACTGGAAGCTTCACCGAGGAGGGTCCATTCTTTGGGACCGACGGCTTGGTCTTCGAGCTCGGCGATTTGGAGGGCGAGTGCTTTTTGACGTTTTTCGTGTGCGGAGAGGACTATGACGGGGTCAGGCTTGATACTATGGGATGAAGTATGTGGAATGAGAAAGATACCTTGTTCCTCGACTTCTCCCTCGTCATCACTATCAAACAAATCGCCCTTAACACGTCCCATAACACCAAACGCCTCTTCATCATCATCTACTTCCTCCTCCTCCTCCTCGTCTTCGTCCATATCCTCGTCTTCGTCATACTTGGGCTTCTTGCTCCTCTTGCCTTTCCCCTTCTTCTCCTTCGAGCCGGAGGAAGAAGATTTCTTGGCCCCACCTTTTGGCGGTTCAAAAAAGTCGGCATAAGTGATTTCTACCCCTCAAATCAGCTCCACCCCCACTACACACACGGAAGGAAGAAGAGACGTACCATCATCATCCCCAGCTCCATCCAACATCAAACTCCCAAAATCTTGCAACTCCTCCTCCTCCTCTTCGTCGTCGCCGCCCAAACCGCCAGAAGTAAGACGGCCAGCTTCGAGTTCTTCTGTTTGACGGTTGAAATCGTCGATGGAGAAGAAGTCGTCGTCGAGAGTTGGGTGTTTGGATTTTGATTTGCGGGCTTTGGAGGGGCCGGGGGTGGAAGAAGAGGGGGCGGAGCCGGAGAGGAGGGTGGAGGAGTCGTCTTCGTCGTCTGAGGCAGAGAGGCCTGCTTCTTCATTGTCCTCTTCTTCAGAGGCAGAGCCGGAAGCGGAAGCAGAGAGCTCGTTGTCTTCACCAGAAAGCATCTCCTCATCTTCATCCTCTCCTTCCTCTCCCTCTTCGCTGTCACTCTCCTCCTCATCATCTTCGCTCCCACTCTCTTCACTATCAGAGTCAGAGTCAGACCCTCCCTCCATCTCTTCCATCCTCTCCCTCAGCTCTTCTTCCGTCATACTATCCACATCTTCCCCCGCCTCCCTATACATCTCCCTAAACTCATCCAGCGACATCTTTCCATCTTCTCCATCATCCCCCTCCATCTCTTCTTTGAGTTCTTCCACTTCGTCGTCAGACATCTCGTCGATCCCTTCGTAGCCCGCTTCTTTCAACATCTCCCTAAACTCTTCCAGCGTCATGTCGTCAGAAGAAGCGTCCGAAAGTTCTTCAATACCCTTAGGAACTTCCTCTTGCTCCCCCATCTTCGACAAAACTGGTACAAGTCCCTCATTCTTCAACTCCAATTGCGCCCAGATCTGGTCCGGGTCAAAACCCTCAACGGTCAAAAGGTCGAGCGGGGTGTAGGGGAAGGTTTCGTTAGGGTCCATCGGCGTCTTGTCTGCTTGAGCAGAATTGGATTGGGATTTGGAGCGGGTTTCGATGGAGGGGGGTTCGAGGATGGATACGAGGAATGGTTGGATATGCGGGTGCGACAATTGCTCGCACTTTACGCCTACCCACTCTGTCAGCCCTATACCACTCTTGTACATTCCCAAGCTTCGACCAAACACTTACTGAGGTCAAAAAGAGCCTTAGCAGCCTTCAAACTCTTCGCCCTAACGCTCTCGTCGTTTTCTGAAGCCAAGGCCCATGGCCGTTCTTCGAGCTCTGTTGCGAGCTCGCCGAGCACTGTGGGCGCAGGGGCGGAGAGGGGGGAGTCTTCGGTGGACATTTTGGACCTCCTATCTTGCTTTTGGAGGGGGTTGGATAGGGGAGAAGGATAGATATAGAGGGTTCAAAGATATATAACAGGCTTTCGGGAAATCTGCGTTCCATAATTTTTGAGCGGGATCAAATGGGGTGGGCGCGGGGGGCTTCTCTACGTATCTCGATCACTTCTGGCTATGCGAAGAGGATGCAAGGGATTAGGGAATGCATGAGGATGCATAGGAATACTTGGGTATACCTGGAGTGGCCTGCCCATGGCCCAAGTGCATGCAAAGCAAAGAGAGCCCTCCCATCTTCATCTCTGCAGCCTGGGCCAACGTTTGTCGGTGTGCCTCCACCGTGGCCTCCACTTTGGCGACGTCGTCAACAAATCACCTTGTCCTCTGACATTTCCATTCTGTCTACATTTCCATATCTCAAGCTTCAACAGCACCCCAAAAGAGCACCTCAGCTCAGCGGTCAGGATGACCCTCCACCCCGCAAGATCACACCATACTCACAGGAACACCCGTCACCGCTCCGTATCACGCTCATCTTCTTCGCCTTCTCCGCCCCCGCCTTCCTCTCTGTCTGTCCACGGCCACCCACCAAGAACAAGCACGCCACTGCATAATAGTAGAGAAAAGCGGAAAAGCTTCAATTCACCTCGGTCTTCTGCTACCGGATCGGTCGGCCATAACCACGGCCATAGTCATAACAGTCATCGCACGCGTGCCCCAAGCCGCAGCCCCCTCCCTCCCTCTTACAATCCCCCCTCCGACCTTCCCTCCTCCCCACTAGCATCTCACCCAACACTTGAAGACCAGCAAGACCACGAAACCACCGACGTCGGATTTTCGACGCAATACGGTGCTTCGGCGAGTAGCGTCGCCGGCGCGGGCAGCGGCAGCGAGAGAGAGTATCTGAGGGGGGATGAGACGGAGGTGGAGAGGGCTAGTAGAGTGGTTTGGAAGAAACAGATAGAGGAGCCTGTTGATCGGACGTAAGGCTTCCTTCGTCATTTTACCCTTTACTTGCAGCTGATCTGTTGACAGACCAACACCGCTCGGCTCTGCCCGTACCTCCAACTCAGCCCGACGGCAAAACTCGGCACCGCCCTCGCCGTCTCCTTATACCCTACTCCCATTCATGATCGGTCTCAACCATGTCATCGCTTTCAATTTAGGCGGTAAAACCCGGCGCATAGGACTTTCTATCTCGATGACACGACGCAAATGCGAGAATCTTTTGGTATTGTCAGCAGTGTGTTGGGGTATCTGGGTGCTGGGGTATAGATGGGGCGAACAAGCTATTGCCGGTGGTGCGCCCCTCCCTCCCCTCTCACCTCCCATCAACTCTGCTAAAACGTATTATAGAAATCGGTTTATTAGTAGGCTTGACGATCCTCTACTCCGCCCTCCGATTCCGACCAACCCCAGCCCGGGTCTTATCCACATACCTCCCCCCAACCCGGCCCCTCTCCCCCTCTCCCCTCCCACCTTCCACTTGGGGGAGCACATATCCTGCACGCGAAAGGTCTGCTCGATCCAGCGTCGGCCATACTTCTCTTTTCCTTGCTGGCGGTCATGCAGGGTACGCCGGGTACTCCGGAGCTGGGGGTGGGGGGCAGACGTCCCCTGCGCTGCCAAAGGATGATCCTCGGGCGAGGATGTTGTTGCCGGACGAAGATGGGTATATAGGGATTGGACATAAGGGGAGTATATGGGGGACGGAAGAACGTGAATATCGGTAAGCCCTCTACCTCTACCTTTCCCTCTCCCTCTCGCCTCCCCCAACATGCACTTTCAACCAAACGATACTAACGATCACAAACACAGCGACTGCCTCGACGACGGCATATACTACGCCCTCCTCCTAGGCCCCCTTGTAGCTTCCGCCCTCTTGCACGCCTCCCTCTCCCAACTATTCTCGTACCCCTCTTCTCCATTGCCGTATGGCAATTGGAAGATTGAGAATCCTCTTGTGCTGCCCACAACCCCGTTGAGGCGGGATGTCGACCCTACAAGGGGACCTATTGAGACGATCCGCGCCCTCTCAGCACTTGCAACTTCACGCCGGAACCTTGTACAACTCTTCACATTATGTTCATTCGTCCTTCTCGTGCATCTTGCAAGGTCGTTGCATCTCGAGATCAAACAAATGCGTCTCCTCTGCCCCCCTCCTAACGACCCAAGCGTCTCAGAGCTCGGGGAGCCTCCCGGTATCCCGAGTGGTCATGGCGGTGGCGGTGGCGGTTCCGGTAGCATTGGCGGCAGGTTCAGCGCCCAACAAGCCGGCTTTGGCACCTTTTGGTTAAGGAAGGGTGAATGGAGGAGGACGGGGAGCGTGGTGGGGTTTTCGGGGTTGGTTAGTGCGGGGTGTTTGGGGGTTAAGGCTGTTACTGCGTATGTCGGGAGAGGGGTTTGGAGTGGTACGTCTCTTCTGATTCTTCCCTTCCCTTCCCCTTCCCCTTCCTTTTCCTCTTTCTTTTTCGGGGTGAATCAGGGGAAAGGCATGGTACTGATGGGATGGCAGATATGTCGCCATCCGATATCGTCATCGCTACCCTTTTCTACCAATTCAGTATCTACGTCTGTGTCAGACTCGCCCGGAAGGGGTTGACGTTGGGGGAACTGGCTTCGGTGTGTAGTGCGGCGACGGCAATGTTTATGGAAGTCGTCAATTTGACCCGTATGAAGGTCCGTCGCTTCCTCCCTCCCTCCTTCCTCAAACGCTTGTGCTGAGATAATTTGATGTCTACCAGATCGCAATCTTCCGCACCCCCTACATCAAAACATACCGTCTTCCCACCCCTCTCCTCACATTCCAACTCGCCCTCATCCCAGGCTCCCTCCTCGCCGGCTTCCTCCTCTCCCCACTCCTCTACCTCTCCCGCAACCTCGCCCAAAAACCAGCACACCGCCTCCGCCTCCCACACGAAAAACCCATCCACCGCCGCTTGCTCGCTCTCGGCTTCTATGGTGGTTCGGCGGTTGTTTGTGGCGGATTGGTGGGCGGGTGGACATGGTGGTGTTTGGGCGGGCGGAATCCGTATAGTTGGGTGTTTTGGTTTGTGTTTGGGGGGAGGCATATGTGGACGAGGTTGGGGCTGGTGGGGTATTGGGTTGGGTTGGCTGTTGTTTCGGTGGCGGGCTGGGAGAGGCAGCTCAATCGTGCTAGGAGGCATAGGAGGTATACCGTCCCTGGTACAGCAGCTGGCAGAGGCGACACTCTTTCTTCCTCGAACTCAAACTCCAACTCCAACCATACCCACCCGTCCGTCTCAACCTCAACCTCAACCTCAACCCTCCCAAACGTCCCATCCGCACCCGGCCACCCCGGACAAACAGCAGGACAGGTAGAAGGAAGAGGACAAGCAGGTTTCTCCGGAGCAGCGACGCAGATGATGGATGCGGCCGATCAGCGGATGCCGACATTGTCTGTGAACGCGAGGAGGAAATCGTTTCATGCGTTGGCGGTTATCATGTTTATCCCCGGTATCGCCGTCGACGTACGTCCCCTTCACATTCTATCCCCCAACTTGCTGACGCTCCAAACAGCCAGCATTCACCCACCTCTCATTCTCCGTCGCTTTCGCGGCCTTCAACTTTGCAGAATACATTCGCTATTTCGCCCTCTGGCCTTTTGGCGTCAAGGTGCACTTGTTTCTGAACGAGTTTTTGGATGCGAAAGATTCGGGGACGGCGATTTTGAGTCATTTTTATTTGTTGGCGGGGTGTGCGTCGCCTTTGTGGTTTGAAGGGTGAGTTGCTCCTATTCTTGAAGAGAGGAAGAAAGAGAGCTGATGAGTTTGGGAAAGGCCAAGCGAATTGCTATCCTACTTTGGTGTCCTCTCCCTCGGCATAGGCGATGCTCTCGTACGTCCTCCACCACTTTATTCATCATATCTCAAAGCTGACACCTTTCTCTCTCAGGCATCAATAGTAGGAAGACGAATCGGAAGACTCCGATGGTGTCCAGCATTCGGCAAGACGGTCGAAGGCAGTTTGGCATTCTTCTTGTCGGTGTTGGTCAGCTCGGTTGTTATGTGGGCTGTTGGGGCTGTTGATTCTTTCAATGTGAGCCTTCTCTCTGTCTCGCCCCCTGCCTGCTTCCCTCTCGCGCTCTCTCCTTATCTCGCTCCCTCCCTCCCTCTCTAAGTCTCAAGACCAACAGCTGACACTTACCAGCTTGTACCGTATACGATCACTGTAGCGTTTGTCACCCTTCTCGAGGCGTTCTCGGCGCAGAACGATAACCTTATATTGCCGATGATTGGGTGGGCTGTGGGGACGCTGTTGGGTGTATAAGCTAGGGTGAGGGCGAGGGATGGGATGGAGGGGGCGTATGGGTCGTCACAGGGCGCGTTTGTCTTGAGCATTTGTATGCATATATTGTACCATATCAAGGGGGAAACAGCACAATTCAGATACCTTCCCTGCCACCTTTAGGTCTCATCTCTGCCACGGCTCCGCCTCACACACACTTCCAGCCCACAACAACAATTGATCTTCTCGTGCTTCGAACACTCTTCGTGCGTGACGATCACGACTCTCTTTTCATAGTCCTCCATCCCGACATCCTGCTCGAGTTCCTCGATCAGTGGTGGACTTGGTGCGGGTTTGAGATGTCATTGAAGGTCGAGAAGATGGCGAAAAGAGAGTGAAAAGAGAGTGAAAAGCGAAGAGTCAAGAACGCGCGGAGAGCCGAGCGCGATGAAGTTTGGTTCTTGCCCTTGAAATTGAAAGAAGTTGGAGAACCAAATATGCGATGCATGCAACATCGATATGCAATGGATAGGAAATAAAGGTGATAGCGATATATACATGAGAGGGAGAATCATCCAGATATCGGACTGTCTTCCCCACTGTCCTCGAACCCTTCTGAGTCCTCGTCGCTCGTCAAGTCGTAAATCTCCGCCTGGCACACTTTCAATCCACACATACAATCCAGCTCCTCATGTGCCCGACACTCATCGTCTGTATAGATTGTCATCTTCTCCCCATCATACATATCATTATCAAAGTAAACACTGCCAATGTCCTCTTGCGTTTGCGCTGCATGATGTACAACAAAGTTGGGTCGAGTTAACCAGCTAGAAGTTCATCAGCTTTCTGACCAATGTCAAGAGATTGGATGCTCACCCCGTCCCACCAAAGACTTGGCTAAAGTAATTAGTGCGAGTGTGATCCTGTAGGAACTCCATGTCTTCCACATCCACCCGCTCAGACCCCGACGTGTCCTTCGGACTCCCCATGAAAACCTCAACCCAGGTATCTGACTCCAAATCCAACAACGGCACATCGATAAACGAAGAGCAATTATGCACTGTCAACTTCCATGGAGAAGATTTGCCGGTAAAGGGGCTGCGTAGCGCATCGATTGCCACCTTAGAAATCGGCCAAGGAGGCATCTCGATACAGACGTAGCGAGCTTTCGTTAAGGAGGCCCTGTGCATGCCCCAAGCTACGTGACAGATTGACGTGGGTTGGAAGAGAGAGGCGGGGTAGGTGATGTGGTGGAGGTTCTCGAAGAGACGTTGGGGAGATTTCTTGAATTCTGTTTGGCGGCAGGAATCGACCCATCGTTCCCACGGGTTTCGCTGCAGGAACCGAGCTGTCTCGTAAAGAGCGCACGAATCGGCAAAGGTGATATACCTATTCCTGGCGACATTCTCTTCGGTACCCAGCCACGTCCTAACAGACATGCGACCGTCATTAAGCGGGCCATCTGGATACTTCCTTTTGTAGTCTCGGGTGTCCTTCCACTCAGCCATCTCGCACCAATCCCACCAAGGCTTGAAGAACGCGTCGACATTATCTTTCGTCAATGTAATCCTCTCATACGCCCTGTTGATGTTCTTGTCGTGGATTTCTCGGTTGAGACAGAGGAGGTTGGTGAATGCCTTGCTTCCGGGACAAGCAACAGAGACGTATAGGGGAAAAATGAGGGCGAGGATGTCTGAAGGGAGCGCTGGGCCGGAGAAGGGGGTGGGGTCGGAGGGTAGAAGCGGGTGATCTTTAGGCGCTAGTTCAGTATCAGCTAGAAGCTATGACAATGGAGTGGGCGCGCTGTAGCTCACCATGGTTACTGACGACCTCGCTGGACACAGGCGATGGCATCGCGCTCAAGAGACTGCACTATTGTCGCGTCTCGACGAAGAATAAACTGCAGGGCCTGGAGAGTGATTGGCCGGGGAGGGATCGGAGGGGTTGTTGAAAAGTGTATACGTGTGATATGTAGACAGAGATGTAGAACAGAAAAGGGGAAGAAACGGCAATACAATCCGAGAATGGTTCAAATTCCAGGAACGTAGCGCACATAACAACGTCGGTAAGCCGTAAGACGGCGCCGGTGACTCTGACTCCGCCTCCCAGCCAGCAGGAGCAAGAGGCTCGTCTTATATGCATGCGGGTGGACGAGCATCCGAGGAGGGGTGAGACTGATACGTCTTTTCATGCATAGTGTAGCACCTTAAATGCATCACGAAGGCGGCACCGAAGCAGTGCTGTCTGATTGATGGTACCCGCCTCGACCATAGCCTCCTCTCCACCCATCACCGTTTCCTCTCCAAGGTCCACCGGACCCTCCTCTGGCATATCCTCCTCTTCCTCGATCTCCTCCCCAGCCTCCCCTTCCACGCCCATTCTCCCAGCTCCCTCGATAACCACCTCTGCCCCGTCCTCTTCCATCTCCGAATTCTCTCGGCTTTGGCTTGTAATCCTTCCTCTCCCCTACCTCCTGCTCCCCTTCTCTCTCTATCTTTGCTACCACTTCCCGTGCCAAGTCTTCTGTCCATCCCTCGGCTCCATTCGGTTGATCTTTCTCGTCCAGTATCAGGACCTTGTGGAACCCCTCGCCGGATTGGGAAGTAGGCGGTTGCCAGACTTTACCCATCTGCCCAAGCACTCGAAGACCTTCTTCCCCGCCAGTGATGGTGGGGTGAGATTCACGAGACGTGAGTCGTGTTTTGAGGGTCTGTTCAGAGACGGCGAGGACGAGAGCGTATATCCGGATCTGGGGGTTGATGCCTTCCGCTATCGATATGAAATGGCTTCTTTGTCTACAGCGGTATGTCAGCTACCTAGTTGTACACATCATGCAGGAATCTTACACAGGATCGAATCCACAACGGTCCACAACCACATTACACCCCTCCCTTAATCCCCATCCCACAAGTGCTTCCACCTCCTGCCTTCTCCGACTCGGCGCATCATCTTGCGAAGCTCTTATCCACGGTCTAATGCCTCCTTGTATCGAAGCGTGCAGGGGTTGATATGGGTTGGAAGGGTCGGAAGTGAGGAGAGAGGCCGAAGATTGGCAAAGAGAGGAGGCGAAGGTGGATTTACCGCTACCAGGGAGTCCCACGAGGAGAATCAGGGTCTGAGGGGGGAGGGCAAGGGTTGGCAGAGGGGCGAGGGGGTCCATTGTGGTCGAAAGAGGGGATGCATTGGAATTCTACAATTGATTACAGTCGAAAGAAAGATCGGGGCGGCCTTCGCCGCCTTATTCGACCCTGCCCTTGTAGGAACCAAACACTGAGTGAGATTTCGGGATGCCTTGGGCAATGGAGGGAATGATGGAAATGGAAAGACACCAATGGAAGGACAGATTTTCTACAGGAACCCGTCCGAGCAGGTTATGCCTGGTCAGGGTCAGTCGGATGTCGACGCGGTACGCTCTAAGAACCAAACAACGCATATTCACCCCGCCCCATGGCAGAAGAGGCAATCAATATGTAATGTAGTAACCCGTATCTCATTATACATGTACTTGTGATTCATTCCAATATCGTAACGCAATGCCACACCACCACCGTCGATAAGTCTCTCCGCCAGCCCTTCGCTCACTCCTCGTCATCGCTCTAGTCTCCTCCTATCGACATTTCTCGAGTCCACACAGACACTCCACCTTCTCATGGGCCACGCAATCCTCGTTGGTGAAAATCAACAGCTTCTCGTCCCTGACCAGGCCCGGAATATCATCGTCCAGACCTTCACCTTCGAGACCTTGGATGATGTTGGAGACAGGATCGCGACCGTGTGGCTCTAAATGATGGACGATACAGCTGGATAAGTTCTCGCTATTGCCAAATCAGCTGCTTGCTTGAACGAGACCAGTGGCATACTTACTTGTAGCTGAATATATCCACAATACGATCGACGAGTCCATCCTGCTGTGCGATTTCTATTGCTTCTACATGCGCTTCATCCATGCCAGTATCTCTGGGACTCTTCATGAAGATCTCGAAGATCACTTTGGGATCGATGGCCAACAAGGGAAGATCAGAGGTAACTGAGCAATTATGCACGGTCAACTTCTTGAGATTGGCCATGGTATTCTTGAGCATGTCGTTCAGTCCATCGAACGCCACCTGGGGGAGAGGACCCAGAGGCAACTCAATGCAGACATGTTGAGCCCTGACGTAAGAAGTCTCATACATTTTCCAACGCCTATACTTTTCCCAAGCTATCTGATAAAGCTGTGATGTCGATGTTGATATGAAGAGAGAGGATGGGAAGGCGACGTGGTGGAGGTTGTTCAACAGGTAAAAAGGTGATTTTCTGAACTCTTCTTCAGAAGGGTAGGAAAATACTCCGAACGGCCCCGACCCGTTTTCATTCTTGAATTGACATGTCTCGAGAAGGGCACGCGTGTCGGCAAAGGTGATAGACCTTTTTCGATCGAAGTTCTCCGCATACCCCATCCATGCTCGCGGATAGATAATGGTGTTATCCAGACGCATTTGGCTCATAATGGACCGACCATTCGAGCTGGCACTCTTTTTTACCTTTGCCGCCCATGCGATCCAAGGCCGGAAAAACGCCAGCACATTGTCTTCCGTCAGTGTGATCCTATCATAGGCCCTATTGATATTCTCGTCGTGGATAGCGCGGCTGAGGCAGAGGAGGTCGGTGAAAGCTTTGCTGCCAGGGATTGTGGAGGACGCGTAGAAGGTGAAGATGAGGGAGATGAGCTCTGGAGGGAGGGCTAGGTCGTATTTGGGGTCGGCCTCGAGGGAAGACATTTGACAGTCTTCGGATGTTGCATCGGGGTCAGCTGGGGCGGAATGATGACGCTATCACTCACCTCGGTCTTTAGCGACCTCAGCTGGAATAGGGGGCGACATTGAGAGTCGAGACGATGAGGTGCTGTCGCCGCAGCCTCAGAAGGCGAGAAGACGAGCGAGGGGGGCGGGGATTGGCAAGGCGATTGGCCTAGAGGAGATACTGGGTGATATGGGAGAGTTGTGGTTGTGGCACATATAGCGACAGCGAAGAAGACTGGGGAGAGCGGGCCACCAGGACTTGACCAGGACTGGCGGGAGCGATTTGGGGCTGATGGCGGCGCCGGCCGACTCTCGCGCGGACCTCACAGCTAAGGAACCAAATAAACGAGCGACTCTGCACAGATCAAGCACATATAGTGCGTGGGCAAACTATACAGAATAAGGCATGGGCAATGGTTCTCGTTTGGCCTCAATGTGGGGTATATGGCTGCGTTCCGTCAGGGTGATTCTGTCGTATGCCCTGTTTATGTTATCGTCGTGGATAGAACGGTTGAGACAGAGAAGGTCGGTGTAGGCTTTGGCAACCGGATGAGCGGCGATGGTGCAGAAGTTGAAAATGAGGGATAGAACCTCTGGGGGGAGGGTTGAGGAGGACATGGAGTCGATGTCAAGGGGATGGCTTTGGTGTTCTTGTGACGCAGATCCCGAATTAGCAGGAGCCTCTATTGAGGGCGTGATGATCGGACTCACCTCCGTCATTGGATATCTCCTCGGTAGTGAGGTCAGATGACGGCATTGGAACGGTTGAAAGAGAAGATGCAGTGGCCTATGCGAATCCGCGTCGCGAAGAGTGGATCTGTCGGTCGTCCGTCTTTTCCACGTATAATGCATTCAGTCATCAGGCGTCGTATTCGCTGCTGCCTTCTTCTGTATGAGCAACGCTGTCGGTGGGCTGTCGATGAGTTCATAGATCAAAAAGAAAGAAACTTGAACACTTGTGGACGACAAAATCAAACACGACAGATTCCGAGGTGTTCCTAGCAGTTGTTTGGTACGGAGGTCGCGGGGGAGCTATGGTATAGATAAACCTCGGTCAACGTAGATGGTTGGTTTGATTTGGTTCGAGACATATCTAGAAGAAGTTTCCAACCTTGAATATACCTGACTGGTACTCAGATATATCAGCATCGCATGAACTCTAGACGTATACAGTTACAACGTCCCACCAATCCCAAAGCCACATCACAGAAGCCTGGAAGTCGTTCGTCCTAACCCTCGAGACCCCACTCCTGATACCCCTCGCTTCCCATAGCCTCCTTCACCCCATCCACAAACGCCCCCATACTCTCAAACTCCAATTCAGGCTTGGCATCTTCCTGCCCTTCGAGTTTCAGTAGCGTGGTGTTGGTTCAGACGGCTTTGAGGTTCATTGTGCGGGCACTGTTGGGACAAGGTCAGCTTATACTTGCGAGGAAAGGGAGGAAAGAGGATAGGGAAGAGGGATGAGAGAGAGAGAGGAGACGTACGTGCGTATATCGCCCAACTTACTCGGATATTGCGATGCCGAGCACCGCATGCGGCTCAAGGTCAATCTCTTCTTCCAGCTTTGCGAGCGCGTAATGGACTCTGCGCAGATATGTCTCGTAGCTCCCGACTGCTCTCGCCATCAGCTTCCACCGATAGAACAAGAGGAAACAAGCAACGCACTCTCTTCTGCAGTCGAAACCCCATCAAACGCATTCCATCCCTCTCCTGATTCTTCCTTGCCGTCCCAAAACCCCCATTCGACCTCACTCGGCATGGATGTACTGATCAGACTTGCCGGCGTATTGTGGGGGTTTTGGCGGCGTTGACAGCGTTGAGAGAAGTGGGTCATGAGCCTCCGGAACCGCCGAGAGCGCGAGCAAAGGCGGCGTCGTGACGAAGTAGACTGTTTTCGGCGGTGTGGTCTTTGTGAAATAGCTCGAGTCTGTGTCTATCAGCATCAGAGCGGACATGCCGAATTGCAAGGAGATGGCAGGAATACGTACACTTCCGAAGAAGAGAGTCAATATTTGTCCTCTCCCCGAATCCTGTTCTCGATGGCGGCCCAGCACCTTCTTGGCCCCGTTCTCATCATCCGCTCACTTCACCTGTACCTCCGACCGACAAACTTTCAGCCCACACATACACTCCAGCTCCTCATGCGCTACGCAATCCTCGTTGGTGAAAATCAACAGCTTCTCGTCCCTGACCAGGCCCGGAATATCATCGTCCAGACCTTCACCTTCGAGACCTTGGATGATGTTGGAGACAGAATCGCGACCGTGTGGCTCTAAATGATGGACGATACAGCTGGATAAGTTCTCGCTATTGCCAAATCAGCTGCTTGCTTGAACGAGACCAGTGGCATACTTACTTGTAGCTGAATATATCCACAATACGATCGACGAGTCCATCCTGCTGTGCGATTTCTATTGCTTCTACATGCGCTTCATCCATGCCAGTATCTCTGGGACTCTTCATGAAGATCTCGAAGATCACTTTGGGATCGATGGCCAACAAGGGAAGATCAGAGGTAACTGAGCAATTATGCACGGTCAACTTCTTGAGATTGGCCATGGTATTCTTGAGCATGTCGTTCAGTCCATCGAACGCCACCTGGGGGAGAGGACCCAGAGGCAACTCAATGCAGACATGTTGAGCCCTGACGTAAGAAGTCTCATACATTTTCCAACGCCTATACTTTTCCCAAGCTATCTGATAAAGCTGTGATGTCGATGTTGATATGAAGAGAGAGGATGGGAAGGCGACGTGGTGGAGGTTGTTCAACAGGTAAAAAGGTGATTTTCTGAACTCTTCTTCAGAAGGGTAGGAAAATACTCCGAACGGCCCCGACCCGTTTTCATTCTTGAATTGACATGTCTCGAGAAGGGCACGCGTGTCGGCAAAGGTGATAGACCTTTTTCGATCGAAGTTCTCCGCATACCCCATCCATGCTCGCGGATAGATAATGGTGTTATCCAGACGCATTTGGCTCATAATGGACCGACCATTCGAGCTGGCACTCTTTTTTACCTTTGCCGCCCATGCGATCCAAGGCCGGAAAAACGCCAGCACATTGTCTTCCGTCAGTGTGATCCTATCATAGGCCCTATTGATATTCTCGTCGTGGATAGCGCGGCTGAGGCAGAGGAGGTCGGTGAAAGCTTTGCTGCCAGGGATTGTGGAGGACGCGTAGAAGGTGAAGATGAGGGAGATGAGCTCTGGAGGGAGGGCTAGGTCGTATTTGGGGTCGGCCTCGAGGGAAGACATTTGACAGTCTTCGGATGTTGCATCGGGGTCAGCTGGGGCGGAATGATGACGCTATCACTCACCTCGGTCTTTAGCGATCTCAGCTGGAATAGGGGGCGACATTGAGAGTCGAGACGATGAGGTGCTGTCGCCGCAGCCTCAGAAGGCGAGAAGACGAGCGAGGGGGGCGGCGATTGGCAGGGTGATTGGCCTAGAGGAGATACTGGATGTTATGGGAGAGTTGTGGTTGTGGCACATAAAGCGACAGCGAAGAAGACTCACTGCAAAAAGACAAAAGACGGGAGCTAATGGCGGCGCCGGCCGACTCTCGCGCGGACCTCACAGCCAAAGAACCAAACAAACGAGTCTGCACAGATCAAGCACAGATATGTAGTAGTGCGTGGGCAGATTATACAGGATAAGGCATGGGCAATGTATATCGTTTGGACATAATGTGAGGTATTCCTTCAGGGTGATTCTGGCGTATGCCAGTGAGGAGGACGAAGGTCAAAAAGTCCGGGACTGGCAGTAAGGGAGACCAATGGGGCCATTAGGAGATCCATAAGCGACTCTACAGAACTGATATGCGCAAAGCATCACTCGCTCATAGACAATGGACATCAGACTCCTAAAAGACTCACACCATCAATGATGGCAATACTGTACAACAGGCCTCCAATAATCCAACCCCAAAAGCTCATCCCTCCCTTCCTCCTTCCTCCTAACTCCCCAAAACCCCAACACCCCACTCCTCAAACTCCTAATACCCCTCTTCCTCCATAGCCTCCTTCACCCCATCCGCAAACGCCTCCATACTCTCAAACTCCCACTCAGGCTTGACGTCTTCCAGCCCTTGGACACCTATGATGGCGTGGGGGCGATTGATCCAGACGGCTTTGAGGTTCATTTTGTGGGCGCTGTCCGCTCATTGTCAGCTCTTTGGATATGTGAATGAATGAGAAAGGGGGAGGAGGGAGGAGAAGAAGGGGGAGGGGAAGGAGACGTACGGGCGTATATCGCCCGACTTGGAGTTTGCAACAGCGAGCACCTCATGCGGCCCGATATCAAACTCTTCTTCCAGCTTTCCGAGTGCATACCGGAAATTGCGCAAATCCGGCTTGTAGCTCCCAACTATCCCCATCCATCAGCTTTCACCCTCATACAGTACTCGAGTACATAACAAGAGAACAAAAGACAACTCACTATCCTCCGCCGTCCAAACCCCATCAAACTCAAAGCCACCCACTTCCAACTTCTTCCTCGTCACCGCAAAACTCTCGTTATCGACATTACTCAACACAAACAGCTTCAGACCCATTTCTTTGAGTCGTTTGAGGGCTTTGGCAGAGTCGGGGAAAGGGGGCCATGAGCCTACTGAGTCGCCGAAAGCTTGGGCTGAGGCGGGGTCATACCAGAGACGGTGTTCGGCGGTGAGTTCTTTATAGCTCAGCTCGAGCCTGCATACGCATCAGCACGGAACGAGAGAGGCTGAATAAAGTGGCTGGAGTGGAGGGGCACGTACACTTCAGGATAGATCCGATCCTTGTCTTCTTGCTGGATCCTGTTCTCGATGACACCCAGGGAGCGAAAGATCTTTTCGGGCTCGGGGCATGTCTTTTGGGAGAAAATTGATTCTTCCAGAGCTTCGTATTTGCCTCGTTCCCAGTCCTAGAATATGGATGTCAGCTATCAGCGCTTGGGTGTCTGAGAAGAAAGACGTCGACTGGCACAGTACGACTGTCGGTCCAGCGGTCTGGCGGAAAAGGTACTGACGATGAGTGTCTACAATACAATCCTGCAAGTCAGCACCCCGGCATATGTTCTGGCAATCACGATAACCACCCACTCCATAACAGTCGAAAATCAAAGCCCTGCATACGTCGTCCGCCGTCGGTCATCGGCTCTCCTCACAGATGCTGTTTGTACCCACTTTGTAGTTTCCAATTGACACATAACAACAGCGTATCCTTCTTGTGATAAGATGGGGATGAGAATAAGGAGGAGAAGGCAAGGCTATATATAGAGAGCAGGGTGGCAAAGGTGAGCACCAGCGGCATGACGCAGATCGCAGGAACAGGTGTCGACCTCCACATCTTCCACGTGGCTTTACATAACCCCTGCGCCCGTCCGCCGCCTCACAACCAAGCTAAGGCACCCCGCTGGCTGCTGCCAACTTCCGTTTTCCAATTTCTCTTTTCTTCTTTCTGACTTGTCAATGCTCACAAGACGTCTTACGCCTCTTCTTTCTCGTTCTCTCAGACCCATCCAAAGTACTACCCGAAGAATGTCTTACACCACCATCGCTACCGACAGTGAGTGTGACTCTTGTCGACACATGGAGGACGGTCGGTGGCTGATATGACTTGTAGAGGCTCCCGCTGCTATTGGTCCTTACGCCCAGGCTGTGCAGCACAACGGTGTATGTCATCTTTCTGTGTGATATGGTGCGAAGAGCTTATGGCTTGTGGCAGGTTATCTACTCTTCTGGTTCTATCCCTCTTGACCCCAAGTCTATGCAGATCGTCGAGGGCGACATCTCCGTCCAGTCCGTACGTACCTCCCCTCCTCTCCCCCTTCCCTCACAGCCCACTAATAGATGAACAGAAACAAGTCTTTGCCAACATCTCCGCCCTCCTCGAAGCCTCCAACATCACCCCCGCCCAAGTCCTCAAGACCACCTGTTTCCTCAAAGACATGGGCGACTTTGTCGAGTTCAACAAGATCTACGCGGACTTCTTTGGCGAGAGCAAGCCTGCTAGGAGCTGTGTTGAGGTGGCTAGGTTGCCCAAGGATGTGCTTGTGGAGGTCGAGTTTATTGCTGTTGCCAAGCAGTAAGCGGTAATATTCTTTATGTGTGGAAATGGGAAAGAGGGGAAAAGGAGAAGATGCAACTCATATGGCATGTGCTTGCATCGCTTCAGATACATACTATACTCCTTTATGAGCACCCATGCGTCTTGGGTCTTCTCTGAATTTGACGGTACTTTTGGCTGCGCCCCGACTCTCCTGCGCAAAGACTCTCATGGCACTGTCACTGTCGCTGTGGCCTTTTCTCCATTCGAACCATGCAATTGAATGCCCCTAATCACACTTCTCCTTCATCGACACTTACACTGAATGGTCCTGTGTCAGTACCGTTCGCAACAACTGATCGATGAAGAAGACACCATTAGAAGAAGCCATCGCGCGCGCAACCACACGTACTGCCCATCCCGAACCCTCCTCTTACCACCACCACGATGTCTCCTCCCACCATCACCATCGCCATCTTCTCCACATCCCATACATACACAACGCCGTCGGCCGCCCCTTATCGGCCTTGCTCGGCTTCCAAGGCTTACGACAGCGGTCCGGCAAGCACCGGAAGAGTGGAGGTGATTTGATCCCGTCGATGTTTGCTGGGATATTCTCCAATCGACGTCGGTCATTTTCATCCATCGCTTTCATCTCTATCCGTTTACTACTGCAGATAAATCGAACAAAATGCCCCGATCTGTGAGTGCCATTCATGCTATAAGGGGGGATGGTTGGGAGAGAAGAGTGGGGGGAGGGGGAGGAAAAGAAGAGATCGCAAAAAACGCCACATTTCCATACTAACCTTGCCACCCCCCACCCACAGTCCCGTTCCTCCGCCCGCCCCTCCCCCCCCCCCTCCCAACAATCCCGAGGCGCCCACACCGCCGCCTACCCCGCCCAACACGCCCCCCCTCCCGCCGCGCAGCACGCCGGTGTGCAGCAGCAGCGCCAGCCCGGCATGCTCGCCCAGGCCGCGTCCACCATGGGCGGTGCCATGGCTGGTTCTGTCGTCGGGCATGGTATCAGCAACATGCTCTTCGGTGGGGGTGGGGGACAGCAGGCGGCACCTGTTGAGCAGGCGCAGGCGCCTGTCAACCAGCAGCAGGCTGGTATGAGCTGTGATATCCAGGCTAAGGGTGCGTTCTGGTTTTTCTTGTGAATGTGGTGCTGACTTGGGGATAGACTTTACCAAGTGTCTCGAGGCTACTAACGGCGACATGCAATCTTGTGGCTACTACCTCGAAGCCCTCAGTACGTCCTCATTCTCTCCTTTGTTTTCGAGATGGTTGAGCTGATTAATGTACTCTGTAGAGGCTTGCCAGGCTGCTGCCCGACCTTACTAGGCTTTCACTCTAGGGTGCTAGGCTAGGAGGAGCTTGAGAAAGACGAACAGAAAAACATATATTGGCATAGGCTTCTTTGGTTTCCGGGCATGAATATTGCATTACTCCCCCTGTTACTTCTTTCTCTGCATCTAAGGGTCCAGTATCCGTATAAAGCTTTTATACCGTGGTCTGTCCTGGCGAGATGCTAGCCTGGACGTCTTGTATCGATGTTCAGAAGACAACAAGAACAAACAAGAGCGCCCCCCTCCGCCCACCTCCACCTGCCCCTTCCACACCCATTCATCACTCTCCCCTTTATCACTCTCAAGTCTCAAACCATCAAACAACCATGCCCCCATCTTCCCTCCTAATAACAGTTGGCTCCACTCTCTTCCCAGCCCTCACCGACCCCCTCCTCTCGCCCTCTTTTCTGTCTTCGCTTTCAGGGTTGGGCGTTGGGAGGATTGTGGTGCAGTATGGGGGTGCGGAGTTGCCGGCCGAGTTCCTTCATGCGCTCCAACCCCAGTCACGATCACCATCACCATCTCCTGATGAAGAGCAATGGCGAGGGGTGGATGCTCAAGGAAAAGGCAAGGGAAAGATAGGAGATGTGCAAGTCGAGGTGATGCGGTATACAGATGATTTTGAGGGGTTGGTAGGTAGCGTGGAAGCTGTGATCAGCCATGCTGGTAAGCGTCTCCCTCTCCCCTCCCCTTTCCTGCTTTACCTTCTCCCCCAATATCTTCTTCTGCGAATCCCTGCATGAAGGCAGTGAAAACCGCAAGCAGTGAAAGCCGAAAGCTGAAAAGAAAGATGCAGGCTCAGGCTCGATCCTCACCACCCTCCGCTCCCGTCCCCCCAAACCACTCATGATAGTCCCCAACACGGGGCTCATGGATAATCATCAAGTCGAGCTTGCGGAGGCGTTGGGGAGGGATGGGTTTTGTGCGGTTGCGGCGGTCAGGTACGTCTTCTTGTAATCTTGTTGACGTTTTCTCGAGGGGAAGTTGAGGCTCTGTTTGGAGAGAGGATTTGGAGCGGGTGTGGGAAACTTGAGACTAGAGGCTGATGGGGCTATAGCGAACTACAAGAACAAATACCCCTCTTTCTCCAAAAGACCGATGCTCTCAAGACATTCCCCGAGAGAGATACACATGCCTTCTCAAATGTTGTGGACGAAGTCATGGGGTTTGTATGAGCTCTTTTGACTGACCTTGTATAGATGTATAGATAGTGGAGGGAAAGAAGAGTTGTTTGTATTGATTTGTATATAAGAAGAGGGTGACATGTACGCATTTACAGGATCGCGCCCGTTTTCTCTTACTGGCAGCTACTCTCCCCTTCAACGATGCCGCGCAGCAGCGCGCCGACTCATCCCAGCAGGACGCAACGACGCCTGAGACAGCCCATGTTCATGCAAATTAGTGTACATACGAAGTTACACGAGACTCTCCCTCGCAATTTGAGGCAGAATTGTCCCTAAGAAACCACAACATCCCCTTGCTCTCATCTCCACCCCCTCAACGCGCTATCCTCCATCCAGCTTAGAACATGGTATCCTCATCACGCAAGAACTCTCCAACATCCGCCTGGTGGAACACGATGATACCAGTAGGGTCCAGTTTTCGGGTATCCAGTGTCGATCGGGCAGTCACGCCAAAGCCCTATCCCCTTCATCAGCTCTTCATCCTACCAAGTCAAGGGCACTGCAGGGTAAGAGGGGGTGGACGTACTAATGGAACATCGGACATGTTGTACACTATAACACCTTGGTGTTCGGGGGTGTCTTCTGTTATACGACCAAGGTGGGCTTTGGCGACGTGGTTGCCGTACAAGAAAGGAAGTTCTCCGGAGGGTTTGATCCACACCTGTTCCCCATCAGCATCCCCTCTATACATACTCAGCCACGGATAGGTACACACCTTGTACTTGGCATACTTTGCCAGATAATCCAAACTCGCAATACCCAACTTGAACTTTCCAGTCTTTGAAAACTTTCCAAAGCACGTGCCGAGGGAGACGAGGTTGGGCCGGGCGACAGAGGTGGCAAAGTGCAGCATGGGGAGGGGGAGGTAGTAGACGCGGTCTTTGTGGAGACGGAAGCAGTACTCGTCGTCTTCGTCGCGGTCGATGAGGTGCACGAGGTTTTTGCCGATGTAGTTGGCGAGCTCTAGCACCAATCATCAGCCCCTTTCCACAGCTATCCAAGAGGGATACGCACTCTCAAAGACGGACTTTGTCTCTTCTTCTGTTAAGGGCCGCATTGTGGGATGGTATAGATGTATTAATTCGACAACAAAAGTCAGAGACGATCCGGAAATCTTTGGGCAACCTCCACTCGCTTACGTAACCTATGGAGAGGAGCCCATCGACGCGCACGCCTCGCATTGAACCATCTCCTCTATCATTTCAGGATCTCTACTCGGCAGCCATGGTGAGTGCATGCGAGGGGGGTAGAGGGGGGATAGCTGATTACGGGGACAGTTCCGCAATTCCTACGATTCCGACAACACCACTTTCGTCAGTCCACTTTGGTTTGGGAGGTTGGTGATGAAAGCTGACACGGTGTAACAGTCGCCCCAGGGAAAGCTCTTCCAAGTGGAATATGCGCTCGAGGCCGTCAAGCAAGGTTCCGCCGCTATCGGTCTCCGCTCCAAGACCCACGCCGTCTTGCTCACTCTCAAAGTCCGTCCCCTTCCTCCCCTCCCCTTCCTTCCCCGTCTTGAGCTGACAAGCCTCTAAATAGCGATCCACAGGCGAACTCGCAACCTACCAAAAGAAGCTGATCCGCATTGACGACCACGTCGGTGTCGCTATCGCCGGCCTGACAAGTGATGCGCGAGTGTTGAGCAACTTTTTGAGGCAGAAGGCTATGCAGTCGAGGATGACGTATGGGAGGGCTACGCCGGTTGCGAGGTTGGTGCAGAGTATTGCGGATCGTGAGTTGTCTCTCTTCTCTGGGTCTAGCTGGAGGTCGGGGGAAGGAGCGAGGCGCTTGAGAGAGCGTAGACAATCGACAGGAGCACCGCTAACACTACAACAGGAGCTCAAACCAACACCCAAGAGTACGGTCGTCGCCCCTACGGTGTCGGCTTCCTCGTCATCGGTACCGACGAGACCGGTCCCCACCTCTTTGAATTCTCCCCCTCCGGCACGGCATTCGAATACTACGCCCACTCTATCGGGGCGAGGAGCCAAAGTGCCAAGACGTATCTCGAGAAGAACTTTGACAAGTTTGAAGATGGTCAGTCTCCTCCCATTCCCCTACTTGGTATTGCATGTCGCATGGAAGATTGGAGTTGACAAAGAGAATGACAGCTTCTCTTCCCGAACTGATCAACCACGGTCTCTCCGCCCTCCACGACACCCTCCAACAAGACAAACACCTCTCCGTCCTCAACACCTCCATCGCTATCATCGGCCCCGCTTCCGACGAGAGCGCAAACCTCGAAGACGTGCGCGCTTCTACTGCGGCGCAGAAGGGCAACTTTAGGGTGTGGGAGAATGAGGGGGTGGATGGGTTTTTGAGGGCGTGGAGGAGGAGCAGGGGGGAGCCGGAGGATGGGCCTAGTGAGGAGCCGGAGGAGGCGGCGGCGGGTGAAGGGGCTGAAGGGGCTGCTCCTGCGGCTGGGGAGGGAGAAGGACAGCAAGGGGAAGATGTTCAGATGCAAGAGTAGAAAGATCTGTGGTAGAAAGATAGGAGTTGTAGATAATGAATCATTTTTCGCAATGCAAAGGTCAATGAATGAAGGGGGTGTTACATGCTATGTGTGAGATTGAAATGATTGGGTATATGGGAAACTATATGCTGGATATCCAAGAATGCAATTTGACCGTGGCTTCTCGTCCTCTCATTCTATGTTGGCAGACGTTGAGCTGCGAGTCGAGTCAGCCACGGCCAGTACGCGCAGGGGTATAGAACGTACCTGTGGAAGGATTAACCCCTCCGCTGACAAGAATCAAGATGCGATACGAAACGCGCAAGCCTGCTTCTGCTCGTCAGCCACATGACCAATCGTCGCAAACCAGTACTCACATCAATCACTCCTCCTCTCCTCCTTTCTCCGCCTGAAATACCTCACCAACTCTACAGCTTTCGCATACCTATCCTCCAACCTCACCCTGAACGCCCTCGGACTGATGGGCAAAGGCTTGCCCGTCTGATAATCCTTGATCGGGGTGTTGCCGTAGAGAGGCAGGACGGTGCCTTGGAAGCCATTTTTCTTACGAAACTGGCTGGGACTTTGACTCTGCTCGGGATCTTCGAGCTGAGGAGTGGTGGGGGCTTTTTCTTGAAGCGAGACCCAACCGCGGGAAGCGCCATAATCCTCCACCTGCCCAAAGACACTATCCAGCACGTTCATCAACAATATACTCGGTCGCCAGAGCGTATCCCTCGGTCTCCACCTATGCAGCAGAGCAACCGTCTTCGGCACCGGGTCCTCTCCGCCCATCTTGTCCACCATGCCCAAAACTGACTCTTTTGCGTCGTGCACAGAAGAGGAGGGAAGGTGAGGGGGCCGGAAGGGGGAGGAGGACGAGTGGTACTGGTGTCGCCTGTTGGGTGGGCCGAGGACGGGGTCGACTTTGAGGTCGAGCACGGCCGACATTTCTTCAGGGTCACTTCGAAGATCTTCATTCTCCCCTTCTTCAAACTCGTAGTCCTCTTCCTCCTCTTCTGGGATTTCCTCTACATCGTGGTCCCAGCCGTCCATGGATGAGACGGCAGGACGGATGAATTGACCTCGAGAATGACGGCGCAGATCCTTCTTCTTCTCGCGCAGAGCAGCATCGCCGCGGAACTTGATCCTCGCGAACCGCCGCATCAAGACTCTCTCTGTGATCCTGAACGCCCCTTCCACATCCCCCGTCCTCGCCAGTGCTATCGCATAGTGGTTATAATTCGCAGCGTCAAACCCAAAGTGATAATGGGAAACGCTCGACCACAGTTTGCGAACGGCTTTGCCATCACCGACGGACGATACAGAGTCGAGCGCGATGGAGAGGGGGATACAGAGTATAGACTCGGGTATGCGTTTGCGCGAATTTTTACCGCCGCCGGGTACATTGATATTACTCCCAGCAAAAGCCCGATTCATATCAGCCTCTTCGCTTTCATTCCTCGCGACAAGCGGAATAGCATCGATGGCGAAACGGAAGAGGTCGCCCCAGATCTTGACGACCTGCTCGACATCGCCGGCACGACGGTGCACGTCCATGAGCTGAGACCAAGTGATGATCTTTTGCTGAGGCGACGCCGCCAAAAAATTGTCTGTCTCTGGCTCGAGCGATTCTTCGGTGGGGTCGATGAGGTCAAAGTAGGACTGGGCGCGTTCCCAGTTTTGTAGTTTACCGTGTGCGATGGCGAGAGGTGTAAAGATGTTGCGTCGCGTGTTGAATTTGTCGGATCGGACATCTGCGATTTTGCCTTTTTGCACTTCACGATAGACGGACGTGGCGAAATCGTGCGCTTGCTCCAATGCACGCGCGCCACGGGTGTCGGCAAAGCTTTGTATGACGATACCATACGTGACAGACGATGGCAAGATGCCCCTCTCGGTCATCTCATCATAGACTGCTCTGGCAGAGGCCGAGTCGTCCCCGCGCATATACCCATGTAAGAGGATGGAGAACGTATAAACGTCCGGCGAGGGGCTCGTACCCCTGCGAGAAGCGACGTCCATCTCATTATAAAGCTCTCTCGCAAAATCCATATTCCCAGAATCACACGCAGACTGGATGACCAGCGCCCAAGCATGCTTTGACGGATTCCGAATCCTGCGGAATATCCCAACCACATGCTCCGTCGGAGCAGGTAACCAAACAAGCGCTTTCAGCACTGCCGAAAGCACCGTCCGATGTTCCCTAACCTTCACAGGCGCCTCCGTCCACGACCTCGCAGCTTCCGACCAGTCCCCAGCCTCCACCTCCGCATTGATCACCGCGGCGTACGCCAATGCGTCCGGCTGGATCCCTGCGTCGGCCATACTCTCAAACACATTGTGCGCATTCGTTGGGTCGCGGCGGTTGGCAAAGAGTGTGATGAGGGCGGTGTAGGAGTGTTTGGTGGGGCGGAGGGTGGGGTGTTCGAGGAGGCGGTCGAAGAGCTCGAGGGCGGGTATGAGGTTGGCCTGGTCGGCGTACAGTTGGAGGAGGGTGTTGTAGACGTAAAGACGTGGGGAGAGGGTATCGATTTGGAAAAGAGTCTCCTCTGCCAGAGCAGCCTCGTTGTTGTTGATGTACGCCGTAAAGAGCACTTGTAACCCCTCGGCATTATCTCTCCATCCCGGGAACCTCTCCCCCAACACCTTCTTCACCAACTCCACCCTCCCCTGGAAAGCATACACACTCGCCAAAATCGTCTTTTCCCAAATCGTCGGCACACCCTTTTCGCTCAACAAATCCCAAGCGTTTGCTTCTTCCTCCTCCCAGCCCACTCTAGCGGCAAAGTGCATGATGCGGCGGAGAGATGTGCGGGGCGGGTTGGGATGAAGCTCCAACATGCGATGGAACGTGGCCCGGGCAGAGGGGATGCGGTAGATGGCCATTTGTTGGCAAATGAAGAAGGAGATACTGGGAGTGATGTGGATCTGGCGCGAGATGATTTCGTCGTGCAGAGCCAGTGCTTCTCCAAGCCTGGTCTTATCCTGCGATAGAGCCGAGACGATGAAAGAACCCATCCACACCATGTCTTTGGTAGGCGTCGTGATGTATTCGTCGATCCACCACTGCGCAGGGTTCGTGATACGAGATACCGCCCGGCCAAAAATGTCGACGACCTGTAAAGCAGATATCCTATTATCGAATCGAGCTTGGCCGAGAAGATGATACCGCATACGCGGCGACGCAGAGTGGAGTATGATATCGACGAGATCATGATTTCTACCCGCCTTGAGCACTACAGATTCGTACAGATACAGCAGTCTCCGGTCGATAGCAGGATACGGCTCGACCTGCATGTCTTCGCCCATAATGAGGGCAAAGACAATTTTCAGATTCCGCGACATCTCTTCTCTTGCCAGATCCCATTCATCCAATTGCGCGTATAGCAGGCCGGCGATGGCATGTGGCAGGGAGTTGTTGGAGGGGAGGACGCCTTGGAGGACGTCGATGACTTGGGGTCCGGGGGTACCGAGCTCAAAGAGGGCATAGCCTTTGATGGCGGTTGCGATACCTTGAGACGGCGTGTATTTGGAATCCAGCACCTTTCTCATCTTTCTTTCCAGCCAAGCCCACTGCGTGTCCTCGGCCGTTTTGCGAAAGAGGTCGAATATCAGACCTAGCTGTTTGACCCCTCCCATATCTGACGTGCTCGAAACACCCTTTCCTTTTCCCTTTTTCACTTCGCCAGCAGGCGAATCGCCTGCGTCGTACTGTTCAAACAAGCGAACGAATTCTGAAGCGCTGGTGAGGGAACCAGAGGCGAGAGCGGCGTGCAAGGGCGGGGGAAGGGAGTTGTCTTGGACTTCGGAGGCTGAGGCAATGAATCGTTCCAATTCCGGCTCTTCGCCCTGCTGGTCTAAATCCTCGGATTGATAGGGCGACAGATTATCGACTGTTTGGGCAGCACTAGTAGAGTATAGCCGTATACGATCCTTCTGCATGATCGTCAGTCCATATTCAGGTTGAATTTGGACCTTTTCAGACTCACGGGCAATGCCATAGATCCCATTCTTGGCTCTAGACTTCGTATTACTCCTTTCCGTCTCATGATACTCCCTCCAAGAGACCACTGGTCACTTAAAGCAGGACGAGCAGTATTGGAGTACGATCGCATCGGCCGGTTGGCTCTCTTTTAAGATTGTCAGCTCCCGCCATCCGAAGCTTGTATATCAAGAACTTACAGGGGATAGCATAGACCCAATTGGACGTTCACATATTCCCACCCGCCCCTGCCGACGCACAGCACATTCTCTCAAGGCCGCCGTCGCCCCTTGAGCAGATGATTCGCCAATGTACCCGTTCGACACGAGCCGGAAGACATGGTGCGCGAGGGAGGAGGGGGGGAATATTTGGTGGAGCCTCGGAGGGGGCATGGTGGTTGGGGAGAGGGGGGAAGAGGGAAAAATGGGCTTTGGATAGAGGCGAGGGTGGATAGAGGCGGTGAGCGAGGGAAAAAGTCGCGCACCAAAAGTTCAAAGTCGGCGGTCGGCGCTCCTATCACAGAAGGGGCTTTGGGGGTATTCAACGATGTTTATCGGTTGCATGCATAGACTCGAGTCATTCAAGAGGAGGGCAGGAGTGGAGATACATGCGCAAAAAAAAAAAAAACTCTTATAGTTCACATGATACATTGCAATGCAGCATGTCCGACTCACGATGAACATACGTCGCTTGCGGACCGGAAGACAAATCATCGTGGGCAAGTCAACATCTTGTCCTACTACTGGCCGCTTTAGATCTCATGGCATTGATTTTTAATTGCTGAAAATTCGAAGGTGCATCATGGGTAAGCTTCTGTCCCAAGGCGGGCTGACTCTGAACGACGCGGCGTCACTCGACACCTCCCTATAGTACGTCTTTCTGACACTACATCTGGATTACTTGCAAAAGGGGCCTGGTGCTATACCAGACGAGGAATTATATAAGCTCTGACACGGCCGTTGCTGGAATCCCTCCACAGCGACTGGTGGAACATGTATCGTGAATTGCACCAAGTACGTTGCAACACGATCAGGACACGGCTGCTTTTGGCGTGCCAGATGCACCATGTCCAGTGTCCAGTCCACCCTGTAACCCATCTCATGCCAACCTTCGCACGAAACCCGAACAAGCGTCATAACACCATACATCCGAGACCTAGATTATCCCAAATGCACCCCATCTCCCTCTCATAGATCACTCTGAAAGAGTAATTTACTCGACGTCAACGACAATCTCCTCAACCTCCTCCTCGGCGGCAGCCTTGCCGACGGCGGAAGGAGCCTGCTTGCGGCCACGCTGGATGGTCTTGGGGGGGTTGGCGGTTCGGCGTTGGGCGAGAAGGAGGGCGGAAGTTCGGGCGACGGCGACCTGTAAAACCACAAGGGTCAGCTGACGTCCTTCTTCTTTCACATTCTTGTTTCCAAATCAAAATGAAATGAAAGCAAAGGTAAGGAAAGGTAAGGAAAGCAGAGGAATGTACACAACCAGCACAAAGAATCGCCCACCACGGGAGAGATAGGTGGTAGAAGGAAAAGGTTGAAATGGTTTATATGGCAAGCATAATACGCTCGGCCCTTCATACCGCTCCAGCATTGAATGATGGAGGAGATTCCGGGGAGTTCTAGCAGCTGCGTCGGTTTGGGAAAGTCGGGGGAGGGAAGAAACAGGTGAATTGGAGAGCTCTCGAGCACTCCAAGAGACACAAAAGAGATGCGAAAACATGGAAGTTTAGAGGACACGTACAGCTCGGAGGTCGGCTCGGTAACCCTTACCGGCGGTCTCACCGGCAACGATCTTGTTAGCTCGTCGGGGACCGGTGGATCGCTTGAGGGCGACGTGGGATCGGGCAGAAGCGACCTATCCACATCCATCAGCTCCGCCATCACACCTGAGATACACGGTGAGGAGGAGACGCACCTGGTTGGGCTTGGCGTCGGCCTTGATCTTGGTGATGGTCACACCACCGTTGGGGGAAGCAGCGACGGCGACGACCTTGGAGTTGGCGAGGCCGGAGTACTTCTGGGAAGACTTGTTGAGGAGGTTTCCCTGGGGACAGTGTCAGTTTAATGCCTGGGGTATGTGATTGGGTTGGTGGATAGGGGCAAGGGATCGAGGGCGATTCGAGGTTTTGGCGCGACCACCAAAGGCTAGCTCCACGCTTCTCTCCAAAATCCGCCAGATTTCCTCCGCCCGTCTTCAGGACTACCCCATTCTCTCCATCATCCAGTCCTACACTCCATATCCTTCACCCCCCGCCCCTTCCCTAAGCCTACACGCCCCCCACAAACCGCCCTCAAAATTCCAGCCCCCATCCCTCCAACCAAGTATTCCAAAACTTACCTTCTCCTTGGAGAAAGTGGGACCGTGGCCACCCTTGACCTGGAAAGAGTTGTAGTTTCGGAGAAGGAGCCAAGTGAGGTCAGCGGACATTGTTGATGATGTTTTTGGTGCACAGGGGCTTGGGAGAAGAGGAATGAAAGAGGACAAGAGCGCGTGCGGGACGGGATCAAATGAAGGAGGGCTTGGGTTATCGCCGATGGATGCGGGGGGTGCGTAATTACGCGGCGACTACTGGCTGCGCGTTGTTTGGTTACCGTCGTCTACTTTCATCACCCTCGGGAGCACTTTCGCTCCGGACTCGTAGCCCACCCCACCCGTGACTGCATCCCCCATCCCTTTCATCCCATCCATCTCTCCCCCCTTATGCCGTATCCCGTCTCATCTCCAGAAAGGATCTCTCTCCCCTTTATCAACCTCTTCGGCCTAAGGCCGCTCCCGGCACCGACACGCTCCCTTGCAGATCTTTTGCCTTGCTTTCTTTCTGATGCTGCTGTGATGATGGAGAGGGAAAGGAATCATCCAGAGTCAATGGAAAGAACCGTTTGTTTGGTATCTCTCGCATGAAAGGTCTTTCCCCGCCCACCCGCTGGGAGTCCTTTGAATTGCGCGGGAAAGGTGGGAGATTTATGCTGGGTGGTGATGTCATGACCGAGCCGTAGCTCGCAGCAGACTAAAGGGAAGAGCTAGTTACAATGGTCAGGCGATATAGTGGTTTGAACTTGATCTGTGGTTGTTTCTTTCCATCGCAACCTTTCATCTCATCTTCCATCTTTCGCCCTACGTTTTCTTTTGCTCATTCTCTCAATCTCTGACAGCAGGTCTGTCTCATCAATATCTCGGGTCAAAAGGGGTACCAGAAACATAACAAGAACAAGGAAACAAAACAGCAACGCCCGTAACCCGGTACCCTTTCTTCATAGCAACGCCCGCGCCGCTTCAAGCTGTTGATCAGCGACCGCTCATTGCTCAGTGCACTTATCGATAATCCCCTTGGCAGCACTATCCATCTGCCTCCAAGATTCACAATCCGAGGTATCCGCTGGACTTGAAACAGGAGATCCTAGAGTTTGTCTCTGCCAAGACGAGCTGCGCGTTCTGCGGTCTGCGGTAATCATCTTGTACCCCCCGCCATTCACCCGGAATAACTACCAGCACCGTGCCCTTGAAGGGAATCCGCCACTCGTTTGAACTCGACATATTAGATACAGCCCTTGATAAACAACCTACAATCACGCATATATAAGGACCGGCTGGACTGAATTCCGCCCTACCACTGCCTCACTGAAGAGTCAAGAGAGCCTACAACAAGATGTCACAAACGCTCAAACTGCCCGATACCCCCCACCCCCAATTCCTCATCCCCAGTCCCCACACACTCCATCACACCAGCCTTTCACCATCCCCCTGCTCATTCGCCTCCGTAAGTTCCCCTCACTCATCTTAAGCTCTTGCAGAAGAGAGAAAGAGGTATTGATGTGGGGTTTTAGACGACAAAGGTCCCGAGGTGTTTGACACCTTACCCGACTCGGTTCTCGTACTCGCCGCTGTCTTCGCCGCTGACGGGGGTGAGCGGGGTTTCTTTGAGGTCGCCTGTTGTGGTGAGGGCTTCTTCGCCTCTTAGTGCTGTGGGGATGGGTTTTGAGGGTGGTGACGGAGAGGAGGAAGAAGATGAAGATGAAGGCAGTGATCTGGAACGGGATGAGAGAACAACTGCCGCGACAAGAGTCTCTGTATGTCTTTGTCCCCATTCATCTATACTAATGTGAACCTTTACTAATATCCCCCAAGGCTCCCGTCCCAATCACCCTCCCCACCACCCTCCCCCCAACCCTCAGAATGTCCAAGCTCTCCTCCCTCTCCCCATCATCATCCTTCAACACCCGCCGTCTGCCGCTTTCGCCTGTACCGCCGAGGATGCTGATGAAGCGCCGGACTACGCTGCCTTTTTATGCTCCGAATGAGGGTGTTGATTCTCGGACGGGAAGGAAGAGTGGGTTTGGGGGGGTGGAGAGAAGAGGGGAGAAGGGGAAGGGGAGGAAGAAGGAGGAGAAGAGGCCCGAACCGCTTTCCTTACCAAAGCTCAAGCAAGCACGGGTACGGATCCTTACTCCATACCCTTCCCCCAGCCCTGTCACCCCTTCTCCATCGTGGTGCTCGTCTGGTATCTGGCCAGTGCCGTCACCTTCTCCGATGAGCCTTGTCTTTGCAGACGATTATGCCGATATCCCCCCTGCCCCCGCTCCCTTGACTGAGTCGGAGGTGAAAATGGGGATGGGGATTGTCACAAGTATGAGCAAAGTCGACCTCCGTATGAGGGACGACGAAGACGTGTATACCCTCGTGCCCGCATCAGATCCACCTGTAACAGCGACAGGGGTACAGAGCGGCGGTGGGCTGTTGACGGCGTCGTTTGAGACGCCGAGAGTTGTTATTAGTGGTGCTGGGGTGAAGTGTGGTGTGGGGCATGTTGATTAGCCTTTGTATGAGATTTGTAAGCATGGTGTTTGTAGCTATTATATCCTGTGAAGGGGAAAGCTGTGGATATGTATCAATATACTGCACGATATCGTTGCCCGGCGTGATGATCGAGTGATTGTGCGAGGTGGATGCTCGATGGTATCGCTCTGATCATACCATTCATGCTTTTGTTGCTGCTGAAGACCTCCAGTGCTTCGGTAGCTACACTTCTGCCGTGCTCTGAGTGTATGGAGAGAATAGAAAAGCTAGAGATCAGACCCCAACAATCGATGCCTCTGACGGCGCGGCTTTACTGGATTGGTACTGCTGTTTGCTCACCGTGCAGCTGATATATATCTGCCTAGCATCTGTATACATCTGTGTATAAGCCCGTGCTCCCATTTTGAGCCCATGAAACGCTTACGACATGCCGAACAGGCGAATCGACGGCTGTGAGAGAAGGTTGATTGATGCCCCTGACGTGGCATTATTATTCGCGCCCCCTCTTCGCTGTCATCGACGCGCCGTACCCATCCATCCATCCTCCCCATCTCTCTCCCCGCCCCACTCTCCCTCCGCTGCCCCCCTCCCCACCCCCAACGGCCTCCTCAAAGCGCGTAAAAAGAATACAGCAGAAATAAGTGGGCTCAAGATGGTACGTCTCGCTTCAAGGGTTCCACGTAGGGCACGATAGCTAATCCCAATTCGCAGCCCATGCTACTCGATATCGCCGTAAGCTTCATCTGAGCTGCAGCAAGACCAAGGGACAAGGCTTACCCGTTTGATTCTGCAGAGGAAGCTCTTGGCCCGCTCCGACCGCGTCAAGAGCGTCGACTTCCACCCGACCGAGCCGCATGTCATCTGCGGTCTCTACAACGGCCAGGTCAAGATCTGGGACTATGAGTCTGGAACGGATGTAAAGACGTTTGAGGTGACGGATGTTCCGGTGCGATGCGTAAAGTATATTGCGAGGAAGAACTGGGTGAGTGCACCTTTCATGGGGCTGAGAGCGTGCGCGAGGTGGAGGGGGTGAGGACGTATGCGGCAGGCGATAGGAGAGTGGTGGAGAGGGCTTGTTGGATGGAAGACAGATGGCGGCAGATCCATGACAGCAGAGACTCTGACGGGACGCGCTGACATCTTGCAGTTTGTCTCTGGCAGCGACGACTTTCAACTCCGAGTCTACAACATCTCCACCGGCGAAAAGATTACTTCTTTCGAAGCTCACCCCGACTACATCCGATGCCTCACCGTCCACCCCACTCTCCCCCTCGTCCTTACAGGATCCGACGACATGACGATCAAGTGCTGGGACTGGGACAAGGGATGGCGATGTGTCCAGATCTTTGAAGGGCACACACATTATATCATGGCGTTGGCTATCAACCCGAAAGACCCTCAGACGTTTGCATCGGCGTGTCTGGACCACACTGTCAAGGTGTGGAGTCTGGGGAACCCCGTGCCGAACTTTAGCTTGGAAGCCCACGAGAAGGGTGTCAACTATGTCGACTACTACCATGGTGGAGACAGGCCTTACATTGTGACTACAGGTGATGATCGGTAAGTCTTGTTTCGCTGTCAAGACCTTGCCTGACGATTCACAGTCTGGTAAAGATCTGGGACTACCACTCCAAGTCCTGCGTCCAAACCCTCGAATCCCACTCTGCCAACGTCTCATTCGCCATCTTCCACCCCTCGCTTCCCATCATCATCTCTGGCTCCGAAGACGGTACCATCAAGATCTGGCACTCTTCCACTTACCGCCTGGAAAACACACTAAGCTATGGCTTGGAGCGTGCTTGGTGTGTCGCATACAGGAAGAGCGGGAACGAGGTTGCAGTCGGTTTCGACGAAGGCGCCGTCGTGCTCAAACTCGGCCGGGACGAGCCCGCCGTGTCCATGGACACTTCCGGTAAAGTCGTCTACGCCCGCAACACTGAAATCCTCACCGCCAACCTTTCTGCCCTCTCTCCCTCCGAAATACCCGAGGACGGCTCCCGGCTCCCTCTTTCCCTCCGTGACCTCGGCACCACTGAAGTTTACCCCACGTCGCTCCAGCACTCTCCCAACGGCCGATTCGTCACCGTCTGCGGAGACGGAGAGTACATCATATATACATCACTCGCATGGAGGAACAAGGCCTACGGGTCGGGTACTTCCTTTGCCTGGGCGGGCGACTCAAATACCTATGCCGTGCAAGAAGGCAAGTCGAAAATAAAGGTCTTCCGTTCCTTCAAGGAACGTCCCAACTTTTTGCACTCTGCTGGCAACTATGCCATTGAGGGTATCCATGGTGGTACGCTCTTGTCGGCTAGGGGCGATGGGTTTGTGATGTTTTGGGACTGGGAGACGGGACAGGTGGTGAGGAGGATTGAGGTGGATGCTACGGCTGTTAGCTGGAGTACCAGTGGGGAGAGAGTGGTGATTACTGCTGAGGAGGGGTTCTATGTCTTGGCGTTTGACAGGGACGCTTACGAGGCGAGGATCGCCAGTGGGGAAGACGTGGGAGATGAGGGTGTGGAGGAGGCTTTCGACGTCATTGCCGAGATCAGCGAAACGTCAGTCAATTCTGATACCATGAGAACTCTACTGATATCTTGACAGCGTCAAGACCTCCAAGTGGGTCGGAGACTGCTTCATCTACACCAACTCTACAAACCGCCTCAACTATCTCGTCGGCGAGCAGCCCCACACCATCAACCACTTTGACAAGCCCGTCTACCTCCTCGGCTACCTCCCCGCCCACAACCGCATCTACGTCGCCGACAAGAGCCTTGCAGTCTTTAGCTACAGCCTGTCTGTGGCCGTTGTCGAGTACCAGACTGCTATTCTGAGAGAAGACTATGAGGCTGCGGAAGCGCTTTTGGAGAGTGTTCCTCAAGAGCAGAAGAATCGGTTGGCGAGGTTTTTAGAGAGTCAGGATCAGAAGGAGCTCGCTCTCAACTTGACTAGCGACCCCGACCACAAATTCGACCTCGCCATCGCTCTTTCCGACCTCCAAACTGCGCTCTCTATCGTCCGTGCGCAGGAAGACTCGGCGACGAGCGTGAGCAAGTGGAAGGTCGTCGGCGACCAAGCTCTGAAGAGCTGGGAGATGGATCTCGCCAAGGAGGCGTTTGAGCGGGCAGGCGATTTGCCCGCTTTGCTACTTCTCTACACTTCCATCTCGGACCGTGCCGGTCTCGAGTCTCTCGCCCAAAGAGCAGAAGCCAAGGGTCTCTCCAACCTCGCCTTCTCCGCCTACCTCTCCATCGGAAACACGTCCAAGTGTATCGCCATCCTCGGCAAGACGGGTCGTTGGGCCGAGGCGGCGTTGTTTGCGAGGTCGTATGCTCCGACAGAGATGGATGGGGCGGTAAAGAGCTGGAAGGAGGAGCTTGAGAAGGATGGGAGGGGGAAGGTTGTGGAGAAGATTGCGGAGCCGGGGGTGGACGGGGAATTGTTCAGCGTGCCCGAGCCCGAGCCCGAGCCGGTTGCTGCTGTTGAGGAGGCCGCCGGCAGTGCGGGCGAGACTGTCAAGGAGAATGTTGAGGGACTGGTGGAGAAGGTCAAGGAGCTTGCTGTTGGTGACGGTCAGTTTTCTTTGCCTAAGCGTATTGGTGCCCAAGCTGATTAAAGAGTAGGCGCTATTGAAGAGCCCGGGTCAACACCCGCGAACGGCGCTGCGCCAAAGCCCAAGAAGGGCAAGAAGAAGTAATCTACTTCTCGCCCACGGGTAAATAGATCTTGCAAATCAAATGATGGGGTGATGAAAGAAAAGTCGCAAAGTAAAAAGTAGTGTTTCGAGAGTTGTCATCATCATAAAAACCCTCCACAGGCAATTCTCATGATAGAGCGTTGGCTGGTTTTCCTTATTTTCTCTTTTCCCCCCTCTTCTGCATGAATTTGATGTGTTTCAATGACAGCGGTATATATGTTGTACTCGCGACGTCAAGGATGCAGTAGCAGCCACAAGGTCATTGCATCAGATACTGGTCGCTGCGCTGAAAGAGAAGTATAATTATGTCAGACAAAACATCTGCGATGCATTATTGGTGTCAATACTCTTATGTTTGCACAAACGAAGGATGAGCACAGAAGGCAGGTAGGGCGTGGGGACACTTGTTGCACTACACAGTCATAGGCTCCTCGACAACGCCTCGCCACATCCGCCCATCCTGAATCCTCAAATTAGCTCCTGTCCTTTGTTGATTGTCCACAAGCGCCGTACAACATGGGTATCTGAAACCCCCCTGTGAAACAGTTCTATTTTCTCTCGAAATGTTATTTCTTCCTGTGGCCTGAACTCTGCCCATACCCAGGTTTGGCACACTGTGCTCTACATACACATAGAGGAAATATCACAGACAGAGCTTAGCTGCTGTACTTGTGGGGTATTCTCCGATCCTTGAAAGCCTGTCGAGACAATGGATATGCATATCTCCAATGACCATCGAATAGATCGGGCTTACGATCACATACATATATGTCGAGATATTCGAAGAGATGCACGCACAAGCACAGCTGCAAACCACAAAAAAGCGACGACATGAGCGACCGCCCCTCTGAATCTAGTAGCAACTACTGTCCGTCAAATGTTGAAGAAGTGAGCAATAGTTCCTACCATACCTCACCAAATCAACGTGGCTGACGATAACAATTCTGTCTGGGGTTCAGCTATGCGGGAGATTGGGCTTCCGATCGCCGCGCCATGGACCAGACAATGTTGGAAGCCGGGCTTTTAGAGGAATGTGAAGAAGGTGGCGAGACTGACTTTGACTTTTCTGTCGGATCGGAAGATCTTGCCTTTGATGATTTCAAGGATGATGCCGAGGACGTGAGCGAGACTGGTAAGTCGCTGGAAGAAGAGGAGGCGCGTGCGGACTGTACTCTAGGATGCCCAAAAAGATGAGATGTTTGCACACAGTGATTTCCGCGTTCATCAGCCCAGGAGGATGAAGAAGCCAAGCGCGAGGCAGATGAAAAGCGAAAAGCGCGTGGTAAGTCAGAGGCATGTGAGTGTACATGCTTGGGACCGATAGATGACTCTGGAAACCAACAGGTTCTCAGGCCACTCGAGAGTCGATACAGCGTATGCAAAAGGTAATGGACGAGATCGACCGACGCACTGAGGCAGGCTCGTCGACAAATGCCGGACGTCTGAGAATGAAGGATCTGAAGCATCAAATACAAAAGCTGGACGAATACGACGCGGAGATGGAGGCACAGATAACAACAAGCTTACTGTCAGGGGCAACAATATCTTTGCCAGGAACAGATGCTACCCAAGCAGAGGAGGCTACATCTGAAAACAAGTCCATGCCCAGCAGTGTAACAAAGAGATTGTGTACGTGTCATCTCTCAACGTGTGAGAATCATTACTAAAAGACTGACCATCTTCCCAGCTGGAGACAAGGAATCAAGGCGCAGAAAGGCGCTCGACCTATATAATGCTAAACGTGAGCCTTTGTCTACAAGTAGGGAGACATGTGTATGACTGACACACGGGTGATGGCTCAAACAGAACGTGCAAGGAGAGCCATCAGCCAACACGAAAAAGACTTGTTGATGGCCAACATCAACGAGCGCACTTGTGGATCACGAAAGGCCACAACACATACGAACATCGATGAACTGAATGCGCAGTTGGTTCGGCTGGACGATAGAGACAAGAAGAGGGTGGAGAGTGTGAGGACAAGACTGATCAGTGCAAGATCAGTGAAGGGAGGCTATGAATGTTACTGTCTACTAGTTGACTGCGAGAGAAAGTCGGTCTTTGTCCACTTCAATGGACCACATGTCTGCTCATGACGAAGAGGAGGACGACTCTACCCATCAAGATCGAGAATAGTTATGGTCGCATCATGTGATCAATTATCATTTATGTACCAAAGACTCAAGTCATTACGTAACCACTTTCCATCCGCCGCCGCCACCACCCACGCAAAAGCGTCAATTCCACAGACTTCCCAAACCTCTCTCTCCCTTACATCCCACTTCCCTCCCCGAATTATATATCAGGGGGATTCACTCGCCATGTCCTTAGCAGACGCCCTCCTGGCCGACTTTTCCGATGAAGAAGAACGCTCCCCTTCCCCCGCCCCCGAGCAATCCTCATCCTCTTCCGCCGCGCCTCCCGATTTGTCTTTCCCTGGCCCTGGGACCAACAAGAGGCCGGCTAGCGCTATGGACCTCGACACCGTAGGCGAGGAGGACGGTATCAATGAAGGCGGGGAAGGTGATGGAGGGGAAGGGGAAGGGGACGGACTGACATTAGAAGACGGTACCAGCGCCGTGGGGTACGTGCCCGAAGGCGGTGTGAAGCCTGCGGAAGAGCTGGACAAGGAGGATGTGGAGCGGACGGATATGATGGGGTTTGAAGATGTTGGCAAGGTTGCAAAGTTGGCGGGGAGTCGGAAGTTGCAGGATGTTATCAAGGTAAGTCCAGAGGATGGAGGTTTGGGGGTGAAGAGATGAAGGATGATGGGATGAAAGCTGATGTTTGGGTAGGATATTGCAAGATTCACTGAATCGCCTACAGACATGTCAACAGCCTCTGGACCCTTGGAAGAAAACCCCGAGTATCACCTCGTCGTGACCGCCAACAACATGTCTGTGGAGGTCGACAACGAAATCCTCATCGTCCACAAATTCATCCGCGACCACTACGCCCCTCGATTCCCCGAGCTCGAGCAGCTCATCGCCGAACCATGGACCTACATTGCCGCTGTCAACGCGATCGGCCAGAGCGAGGATGTGACGAAAGTCGACTTTTCAAAGACGCTTTTGCCTGCTACGATCTTGTCTATTACTTTGACGGCTACGACGTCGAGGGGGAGGATGTTGAGCCGTGCCGAGTATGAAACTGTGCAGCGGGCTATTACGGTCGCGCAGGATTTGCGGGATGCGAGGGAGAAGATTTTCAACTTTGTGGAATCGCGTATGGCTGCTGTGGCCCCCAACCTGTCCATATTGGTGGGTACGGGTATCGCCGCCAAGCTGCTCGGTCTTGCCGGTGGTCTCGCAGCTATCAGCAGGCAGCCTTCCTGCAACATCATGCTCTTTGGCGCTATGAAGAAGACTCTAGCTACGAGCCACTTGTCAGCTGCTTCGCAGCAACGGCACACGGGATTCATCTTTCAAAGCGCGATCGTGCAGAGCGCCCAGCCCGAGGATAGACGCCGGGCGCAGAGGGCTGTAGCTGCCAAGGTGGTGTTGGCGGCGAGGATTGATGCGGGGAAGGGGAGTAGGGATGGGTCGTTTGGAAAGACGACGTTGGCGCAGTTGCAGAAGAAGATTGAAAAGATGGCGGAGCCGCCACCCAATAAGCTTATCAAGGCTTTGCCGATCCCGCAAGAAACCAACAGGAAGAAGCGAGGTGGTAAAAGGTCAGTCCTTGCATTCAACTCTGGAGTGTTTAGCTGACGAGTTGGGACAGAGCACGAAAACAAAAAGAAGCGTATGCCCAGACCGAGCTGCGCAAGCTGCAAAACAGAATGGAGTTTGGCAAGGCGGAAGAGGAGATTGGGGTGGACGACGAGACTGTTGGCCTGGGTATGATTGGCTCTGCTGGAAAGGTCCGTGGCGAGATGGCAGACTCGAGAAGTAAAGGTGCGTATCTGTCCTCCATCTTTTCTGTGCTCTGCTAACGCCGCATACAGCCAAGCTGTCTAGAGCAAATAAACTCCGTACTCAACTGCTCGGTCGATCCCAAGCATCCAACGATGCCGCCTCGGGTATGTCTACATCGCTCTCGTTCACCCCTGTGCAAGGTCTCGAGATTGTGACGCCGAGTCTATCGGCGGCGCAGAGGGTGAAGGCGGCGAATGATAGGTGGTTTGCGGGTGGCACGTTTACGCATGTGAAGAAGGACCAGAGTAATCTGCCGGGGCAGTAGGCCCGATGTAATGCATCTTGTAACACTCCATCGACAACTTTGGCTCTCTGATGGTGCCTGGTGACTTACCCGTGACATCATCGCCACCAAGCGAATTGTGAATTGCATTCTCTTTTCCTTTTATTTCTCAACAACTATCATGATCCGCCCAAGACACCTCCCCCTTCGTTCCCTCGCCCGCACTCCCCTCGAACGACCCACATACCGCCCCGCCCCCCTCGCACGCCGCCTCCTCTCCACCTCCAACACCCCCAACACCCCCAGATCCACCGGCTCCTTCTACATCTCCAATGTCTTTCCCATCAAATTCGGCCGCTTTGACCCCCGCCCTGCCCTCGCTTCTCTAGAGCAAGAGACATTACTGGACCAGCTGCATGCCATAGCGAGTGGCGTAGACGCGCATGGGTTTACGGTGGAGAGTTTCGAAGTCAGCTGGAAAGATGGAGGTGTGTTCATGCACTACTCTTACGTGCCTCCAACAGAGGACGTGACGCCAACAGCAGATGCTGAGGCTGCTGAGGAAAAAGTCGCCAGACTAGGTGTGGAACCTGGACTCGCGAGCTGGACGAAGAACCTCCCTGGACGGCTGTTCATCCCGCACCTCGAGGAGAGCGCCAAAGCGCACGGGGGATGGCCGAGCTGGTTGGGCAAGTACTGGGCAAGCAAGCAGTGGAGTGATAGGAATAGAGAAGTACCGGGGCATACGCTGTACTCGGCTGTGGAAGAGGATGTGGATGGGACGGTTGAGGAAGGTGGCGGCTTGAGAAAGGGAAGTGTGGGGGGCGTTAGGGGGCTGCAGGCTGCTGCTGGTGGCGGAAGAGTATGGGTGGTCAAGGGCAAGCAATGGACAGAGGTAAGCACCCCCTCAACTCTTTGTTAACATGCTGACTTGTATAAGGATATGAACAGGTTCGCCTCGAATAGACTACGGGTCGAGTTTGAAGGCCCCGACGTCTCTCAAGAGATGCTCTACACCCTCTTCAGACCCTACGGCCGCCTCGCAGACATAACCCCCCCTTCCCCCGTCCCCTCTGGCTCCCTCCGATACGCCGTCGTATCCTACTCCGGCCTCACCCCCGCCGCCATCGCCATCAACTCGCTTCACGGCTATTCTACCGCCACCAACAGCGCCGACTTTTCCCTTAGGGTATCTTCTGCCAGAACACAAGGGGAGGGGGAGGAGAAGAAGCCGATACCGATGAGTCGGCTGAGGCTGTATTATGAAAGACCGTTGAAGGCGCATGCGATGAGGGATTGGGTGAGCTCGCATCCGAGGTTGGTGTTGCCGGTGGTAGCTTTCTTGATTGGTACTCTGAGTTACACTGTGAGTGAATCACTTACTCAGGGTGGTATGTGTTGACTTGTCAAGTTCTTCGACCCCATCCGAGAATTCTTTGTAAGGTCCAAGTTGGAAGGCGTGTGGGATATCGAAAAGTATTCCTTGATCAAGAGTACGTCCTCCCCCCATCTTTCCCCCAAAGTCATACTAACATCTCCCAGCGCTCCGCTCCAAATTCTCCCTCCCTACCTCCTTCTCCTCCTCCTCCTCCTCTTCCGACTCTTCAGACGAAGAGGGTCTAGGCCGCAATGCCTGGAAAGACCGTGTCGAAGCTGAAAAGGGTGTCGAATCCTGGCTCGCCGAGTATCCTAGCACGTTTATCGCCATCACCGGTCCTCCAGGATCTGGGAAAGGTAGTCTGGTGCAGAGAGTGTTGAAGCAGCAGGACAAGCCGGCGATGGTCATTGACTGTGAAGCTATTGCAAAGGCCAAGAATGATGCGGGGCTTGTGAGCGCTCTGGCAGAACAGACTGGTCAGTCCTCTTTTCCTTGAGCGATGGCATGGGCTGATAAAGTACAGGCTATTACCCAGTGTTTTCCTTCATGTCCTCCATCTCTGGCTTGATCGACCTCGCCGCGGTCGGCCTGATCGGCCAAAAAGCAGGCTTCTCAACCCCCACCGACCAACAGCTCCGCCAGATCCTCGAAACCGTCGGCTCCGCCCTCAAAGACGTCACCGCCCACGCCCTCAAATCCCACGCCGACGACGTGCAGTACCAAAAAAGCAACCTCGAGCTCGAAAAACTCAAGGACAAGAGAAGGGAGATGATCAGGAGGGGGTGGCATGATGGGAGGTTGGATTGTGTAGCTGGGAATGGACTGAGTGAACTTGGGGGTGGGGAAGAGCCGTTTTGGGAGGATGATATGGATCAGGTGGAGCAGGAGAAGGTGGTGGTGAAGGAGATCGGAGGGAATGTGGCGCCGATTGAAGGGGAGACGGTGGCTGTGACTACCGAATCTCTCGGTACCATCCCTTCTCAACCCATCATGCCCCAACCCGCCTCAGAAACCCAACAGTCGAACGAGCTTGACCCTGAATCAGACGCCATCAAGTCTCTCCCCATCATCGTCCTCAAAAACTTTGCCCAAAAGACAGCCAAGGGCGATCTCTGGAACGTGCTCGCTGAATGGGGAGCCAGTCTTGTCGAAAACAAGATTGCGCATGTGATTGTTGTTACGGAAGGACCGACAGCGACGAAAGCGCTGACAAAGTCGTTACCGGCCAAGCCATTGAACCTTGTCGGGTTGGCAGATGCAGACGAGACGAATGCGCTCGCATACGTCTCTGAAAAACTCCGGCACCACTCTTCTTCCGCCAGATCCTCCCTTTCCGACGACAAGAGCGTCAACACCCTCTCCGCCGAGGACAGCGCGCAAATAGCCAAACTCGGCGGCCGTATGGTCGACCTCGAAACGCTCGTCTACAAAGTCCGTTCGGCAGGGCTCAAGATCCAAGATGCGGTGGATGATATCATTTTGAGGAATGTGGTGGAGCTGAGAAAGGCGGCGTTTGGGGATGATAGTGTTGATGCGAAGGGGTTGGCGTGGACGAGGGCGCAGGCTTGGAAGGTTGTGAATGAGCTTGCAAAGAAGGGCGAGGTGAGTCGTTTTACAGGTTTGATGGTGGTGTTTGCTGACGGGAGGTAGATTCCGTATGCCAACTTGTTGCAAGAGTTCCCGTTCAAGGGGAGCGAGCAGAGCTTGAAGGCGTTGGAAGAGCATGAGCTGGTATCGGTTTCGTATGTGGACGGGCGGGCGTCGATGGTGAAGCCTGGCAAGCCGGTGTTCCGATACGCCTTCCAGGCTCTTGTCAATGGTGAGTCCTCATCAAACATTTTGCATAGCATAGCTGACATACAAGCAGACCCGGTGTTCAAAGCTTCATCCCAGATCGAGTACAACACCGCCGTCATCGCCAAATCCGAATCCGACATCCAGAAGTACGAGCAAGAGCTCCAACAGCTCAAGAACATCACCTCCGACGGCGGTTCCGAGGCTCTGGGTATCTCTAGCGGATGGCTGAGTTTGGGGCTGGGTGGGAATAGGGCCATTAGGGATAGGGGACGTTGGTTGTTGGATAAGATGGGTGATTTGGTGGATAAGGTTGGGAATTTGGAGAGGGAGAATAAGGAGTGTGTGAAGGTTTTGAAGACAGGGAGATGAGCAGGCGTGTTGAGGGAACGAAAGAAGAAGTACAGTACTGGAGTCGCTATCTTGATGCACCACTGCGGATCCAGCAATGTTGTTTTGACGAAGCAAAGTTCCGTCCGATATGATATGTACATGGTATGCCAAGAAATCTACAAGACATGGCTATATGACGATACAAATATAAAACCTGAGAAGGATATACGTACAGATCATCGTGTATTTGGGCTTAGTGGGAAGCACCATACCGGGCCAGCAGTTCGTCAAAATGCTGAAGGGACACAAGCACATACTTGGTGTTGTGCTTTGTCATGTAGTCCTTGATCGCCTTCTCCTTCTCCTCATCTTCCCGCTCAACAATGCGATCTCCCAACAGCCCCGGATCTAAGCCCCCGTAGCTCCGACGATCTCTACCCCTGAGCCGAGGGGCAAGTGCTGGACCGTCTATCAGCACTCTCTCTTCCAAATTCGACGACGATGTCTTGGAACAATTTTATGAAGTCTCGTCTCGCATGGCCAGAAGCTCGAAGGCTATGACAGTTTGCAAGCGCCTACCACCGGGTGCTACCTTCCATTATCTGCTTTCCCCGAGATGGTGGTCAGTGACGAGATGAGAAAAACGAGTAGTCTTTGGGGGGTACATATGCAATGCTGGCGAGACATATCGGGGAAGATGTAAGGGATTGGTACAGACTGGTCAGTAGGAGGAGATGTAGTGACGTGTACGTTGGAACGCAGAGCCTGGTATTATGGGTTGCCGCTATGTTCTCAGGGACGAGTTAGGCGCGGAGGCGAGAGGAGGCTCCCCGTACATACATCCTGCCGCGTCTCATATCCTTTTCCTCATAGATGTATTCTCGTAAGAACCTCCTCACCTATATCCATCCTTCATCCCTCCAGTCTATTCAAGGTCGACATCTGGCGCCCCTAGTCAGATCCACCACGTAACCGCCCTTAGGTTACGCCTCACCTATCCTACCCTTACAGAGAAATACATCGACATCTGGCGCCCCTAGTCAGATCCACCACGTAACCGCCCTTAGGTTACGCCTCACCTATCCTACCCTTACAGAGAAATACATCGACATCTGGCGCCCCTAGTCAGATCCACCACGTAACCGCCCTTAGGTTACGCCTCACCTATCCTACCCTTACAGAGAAATACATCGACATCTGGCGCCCCTAGTCAGATCCACCACGTAACCGCCCTTAGGTTACGCCTCACCTATCCTACCCTTACAGAAGACTACAGCGAGTGGATGCTCTTCGATGGTTCTTATTGATGCAGATTATATTGCTATTGCCGAATATTAGATCGTAACATAGACAGGCTCCTTATAGCATATGCAACCTATCCACGAGTGCTTCATATACGGGCGAATGACAGCAAACGGAAAGGCTGAAATTGATCCCGCGGCGGCGGCCCTGTCCGCGCCCAAGTCAGCCGAAAAGTCGTCGACTCTGTGCTTTCTGCGACTTTCTCTCCCACCTAATCCCCCCCAAAAGCACCAGGATGCACTCCCGCCCCGTCTTCCTCCGCGCCCTCAGACTACGACAAGCCCCCCTCCAGCCTCGCCTCCTCCCCATCCGCCCCCAGTCCCTCCGCCCCATCTCCTCCACCGCCCGCCTCCTCGACGACAAAAAGTCTGAAAAGAAGCGCCAACAACCTGAAGACAATGGTCCTCCCCGGTCTCCCTGGGCTGTATTTACCCAGGTGCTGAAGGAGGAGATTGACAAGAATAAGGGATGGCAGGACAATGTGAAGCAGCTGCAGGGTGATGTGGACAAGATGGCCGACTCGGCGGCGATGAAGAAGATGCGAGAGAGCTACGAAAAGGCCAGGGTGAGTCATTGCATGTGTCACAGGGGGGATTTGGTGCTGACATGTACTAGCTCGCCAACTTGATCAAAAACAACCCCCGAATCCAATCAGCCGTTACCGACCTGCAAAAAGCCGGTATCTCTGTGCACGACGCCGTCCAACACGCCCTCCGTGACTCTGAAGTGCTCAGGGCCATCTCGGCCGCTTCCAACCGCTTCGTCTCTGCCACCTACGACGCCACCGCCCCCATCCGCGACACCAAGGCCTACAAGCTCATGGCCGAGTCGATCGAGGAGGCTTTCGACGATGAGACGGGTGTGGGAAGCAGGTACGGCGGGTACCAGGAGAAGGAGGCCAGGAGGAAGAAGAGGGAGATGAGGGCGAAGAAGGCTGGGAGGACGGCTGTGAAGCGGGTGGAGGAGAACCCGGAGGCGGGCGAGGCTTTGGTGCTTTCAGACAAGCCCGAGACACCGTCTCGACTTGCATTCATCAAAGAATCTGCCACGTACCAGCGATGGGCTGAGACCTACTACGAGTCTGAATCACCCTTCATCTCTGCCATCCGAACTGTCGGTACCAAGGTGGGCTCGCTCTTTGAGGAGAACGAGACCGCCCAGGTCATTCGAACGCTCAAGGCTATGGACCCGAACTTCAACATGGACCGATGGACCGGAGAGCTCAGAGAGTATATTGTGCCGGAAGTGGTTGACGCTTACCTGTCGGCGGACAGGGAGAGCTTAAAACAGTGGTGTGGCGAGGCTGTAAGTGCTTCACATTCATTCCGATCTCGACTAATACTTTGACAGACTTTCAACGTCCTCTGGGCAACCATGGGCCAGTACATCAAGCAAGGCCTCGTCTCGGACAGCAAAATCCTCGACATCAAGCACGTCGACATTGCCAACGGCAAGATGCTCGAGAACGACATTCCCGTATTCGTCATCACCTTCGCCACCCAAGAACAACTCCTCTTCCGTTCAGCCCGTACAGGTCAGGTCGTGGTCGGGTCAGAGGACGATGTGGAACAGTGCAGGTATGCGATGGTGGTGACGAGGTTGGAGACGGAGTTGGAGAATGAGTTGACGGGAGGGTGGAAGGTTGTGGAGGTGAGTTTAAGCGCAAATGTGAATGGGGATACAGCTGATGGGTTCGGTAGATGGCTAGGAGAGGTGCTAAGGGAGGGTTGTAGACGATATCATGAGCATGCATTTTACACCATTCGGCTTGCATCGCTTCTTGTCAACTTGTGTCGGCGCCTCGGTCTACTGAGGGAAGATATCACCGCGAAGGAAGCTGGGCGATCCTTCCGCAAGCACTCTCCGAATCGTCCGAATATCGAGATCCTCTCAACGGTTACTACAGGATCCGATACGCGGGGGCTTCAACAATGACTACGACTGACCGACAAACGCTATGATCGGCCTCACCTCTCAATCTTCCGCGCTGCCCAATTACCATACATACACACGCACCCACCAAAATCTTCCTCTTCCGTCAGCGCGCGATCTGCAATCTGCAAAAGCATGGTCGCCGTCAGCCTCGCGAATAGCATGCACATGACGAGAGCATGAGGTTTTCTGCTAGTCGGCGTTTCGGGCTATAAGTATGACCACTGTCGTCTGTCTTTGAGGTCTCCTGATAGCATGTAGTCGCCACTCATTTGCCGACATACCACAGACGGCAAAGCAAAACAGGAAACAGACAGCAAAGCAAGCGATGTGCAGTATCTCACAGCTCCCACCCGTCCTCCCCCAGCATGACCCAGAGGCCGCAGAGATCAATAGAGATTGGGAAGAAGAAGATCGGACTGCCGAGGAGGTATTGGAGGAGGAGTTTGGGAATCCGCTCTCGGGGGGGACAGGCAGCGTTGCATCTGTCGTTAGAGGGGCGTTGGAGATTTTGACGGGTTTGATGAGTACGGAATACCATAGGACTCATTTGGTATGTTCTGACTCTCATTTGGCCTGCTCCTTGAAATTACCCCTGGATCTGTGGCTCACACTGTCATTGCTACCACCCACATCACCGTCACCACTTTGGCAATCAGATCCAAGATATCACCACCACCTACCTCGAGCTCGAAGAAGATATGCGCCTCTCCTACGACAATAACGGGGGATACATGGCACCCTCTCGGCACGCGGCGTTGATGCTCACAAAAGGGTGTGTCACTGCTTTCATAATTTCCTTATGACCGCGAGCTAACGATGCTGGTAGTCTACTCATACAAGACTATGAGAGTCTACAAATGCTTGCAGAAGAATACGAGACCCCCCCAGTCGATAAGATGAATGCCGACGCTGTCAATGCTCAAGCTGTGGTGTTCAACGATCATCTTCTTGGCTTCTATGTAAGCTCAGTCCCCATGTCTCACTCTTACATACAAAGGTGGTAGATAATCAAATGTAGCGGCTGTACGACATCGAATATGCCAAGAGAGAACAACAATTCCAAGTGGAAATGAAGAGAAAACTGGAACAGCTGGCGTCAAAGTACCGCGAGAGGTCTCTATCGCTCTCTCGAGATATATTTCCCGTTGGAGATGAGCTTGAGGATTGTTGGGAGAAGCAAGGGAGGATGATGGAGATGTTGGAGGAGGAAGAGCTGTCCATCGCTTCTAGAAAACTGGTGGAAGCTACGGGGACGAAGAAGAATAGTCCCGAGGTGATTGATGTTGCGTCGTGTAGCTTTCATCCTCTTCAGTAGGCCAACTGGGAGGTGGTCGCATGGAAGCCGTTTTCATCATGCATGGGCCCTCTGAGCGCCAGCTGGACAAGAATAACAAGATACAGACGTAACTCCTGCATAAGAATGGGAACCACATACGAGGCAGCGGAGATTGCCGCCTAGCTGCCGCCGCCGGTCTTCCGTCAAAGAATTTTTGAAGATTGTCAACATTCCTCAGGCAGCAGCTCGAACGAGCAAAATTGTTTCAGAAACTGGATTACCACGACAGTCCGGCTCATTCTCATTACTCGACAAGTGTTCCGCCTCTTTAGCCCCAAAAATTGCTCCACAGCGAGCTCATATTCGACATGTCCGCCTTTCCCAAAGTCTACACCGTCAACGGCCCCTCCTCCACCTCCGCTTCTGCCCTCCCCTCCTGGCTTGCCGTCAAATCCAAGCCTACCGGCAAGCACAAGAAACGCACAAAAACCCAGCACACTGTCGGCGACCTCGAGCTCATCCAAGACTTCAAATTCCCCGGCCAGGCGATCAAGATCAAGACGACCGAAGATGGGTTGCATGCGATTGCGACGGGGACGTACAAGCCCATGATGAAGGTGTGGGATCTGGAGGCTTTGACTGTCAAGTTTGAGAGGGTTACGGATGCGGAGAATGTGGATTTTGTGGTGAGTTGCATGCCTCTTGAGGCAGATTGATATTGACACGGCGTAGATTCTGTCACAAGACTGGACAAAGAGTTTGCATCTCCAAAGAGATCGTTCCCTGCAACTACACACCCAAATGGGACTCCACCACACTGTCCGCCTACCCATCTATGGCCGTGCCCTCGGCTACCACTCCCCCTCCGCCGACGCCATCATCGGTGCCACCGGCAACGAAGTCTTCCGCTTCAACCTCGAAGAAGGCCGATACATGACTCCGCTGAGAATAGCGCAAAACTGGGGTGACGGAAACGAGGACGATGTGGAAGGTGTGAATGTTGTCGATGTAAACCCGAGACATGGTCTCTGGAGTTTTGGACTGGATGGAGGAGGAGGTGTCGTCGAGTTTTGGGATCCCCGATCCCGCTCTGCGCTTACCCGCCTTGTCCTCCCAGCTAAGGACCTCCTCCCCGCACAATCACACGACCCCAACGCCTACATCCCCGCTCCATACCAAAAACTCTCCGTCTCCGCCCTCGCCTCCCACCCCACAGATGGTCTCTCCTTTGCCGTCGGTACCTCCACCGGCCACACTTTGCTATACGACCTCCGAAGCCCCACGCCATTTGCCGTCAAGGACCAGGGTTACAGCGAGCCCATCCGTAAAGTCGACTGGCTCCGAGGCGGCGGTGCGCACGAAGACGGCGGCCGCGTCGTCAGCTCCGACAGCAAAGTCATCAAAATTTGGGACAAGAACGCTCCCGCAGACAACCAACTCTCCCTCCACCCCCCTGCGTCCATGGTGGACCTGCACCCCGTCCCGCAGTCGGGTCTGATGTTTGTAGCGTGCGATGCGCCGCAGCTGTCGTCTTACTACATCCCTGATCTTGGGCCGGCGCCAAAGTGGGCGAGTTTCTTGGATTCTGTTACGGAGGAGCTTGGGGATGACTTTACGGGTGGGGCGGGGAAGAGTGCTTATGCGGATTACAAGTTTATCGACAAGCCCGAACTCGAGACGTACGTCCCCTCCATCTTCTTTTTCTTCTCCATGAGCTTTACTGACTTGTAGCAGCCTCGGACTCACCCACCTCATCGGTACCCCCGCGCTCAAGCCATACATGCACGGCTACTTCCTCTCCCTCAAACTATACACCACCGCCCGACTTATCGCCAACCCGCAGTCATACGACGAGCACCGCGACAGGATCGTCAACGAGAAGCTCAAGGCGAAGAGCGAGTCGCGTATCAGGGCGAGGAAGGAGCAGCCCAAGGTCAACAAGGCGTTGGCGGAGAGGATCAGGAAGGTGGAGGAGAGGGAGAAGGCTGTGGAGAAGAAGCGGAGGGAGAGGAGGGAAGCGAGGGGGCTGGCTGAGGGAGAGGGAGAGGCGGAAGAGGAAGAGGAGGAGGAAGAGGTTGAAGGAGAAGAAAAGGCGGAAGGTGCGGCTGGCTTGTTGTCTGATCCTCGATTCAAGGAATTGTGGGACAACCCCGACTTTGAAGTGGATGAGGAGAGTCGAGAGTTTGCTCTCATCAACCCCGCCACTGCCAACAACAATGTAAGTTGTCTTGAGCTTTGATGGAAACGTATGCTGACTTGTCACAGGCCAAGCGAGCCAAGACTGCTGTTGAGGATGAAGATGAAGAGAGCGACAAGTTCTCATCAGACTTGGAAGATGATGAGGAGAGTGATGAAGGGTCTGAGCCTGAGCAAGAGGAAGCGGGAAGCGACAGCGAAGAAAGTGACGACGGCAGTAAGTGTTTCATCTCATCGCGCTACGGTAGACTGATCATCTGTCAGACTTGCTGTACGACCCCCGTACAGTCAAAGCCGCCGAGCGCCGCCCCATGCCCCGTCACAAACCCACCCTCATCTCCGGCGACGTCCAATCCTCCACCCTCCCCACATTCGGCCAACGCCTCCACTCCCAAGCTTCCAAATCTTCCAAATCCTCTGCCCCGGCTCACGACCCCTCTATCCTTGCTATGCGCAAGGCGGCGGACGGTGGTATGGAAATGTCCTTCATTCCTTCTTCCAACTCTAGAGGCAGGAAGGGCGGAGATGAGGATGGAGATGATCAGGATGAGTACTCTGGAGGGACGAGGAGGAAGGATAGGGTGGAGAGGTTTGGTGCGGGGATGGAGAAGGGTGGGAGGGAGGATGAAGAGTTTGAAGACAGAGGAGGAAGGACACAGAGGAGGAGACCGGATAGGAGTGCTTCGAAGAATGCTTTCAGGCGAAAGTAGAGGACGAGTAGATGTTTCGATAGTGTACACCATGCATGCCACGGCTTTCACTTGGTTTCTTGCTTTCCGTGGACGTCTGAGTGGCCCAGACCTAGATCGGGTTGGATGATATTCCTTATTCTTTGCTTCAATACCTTGAGCTCTGGGAAGCCTCCTTCTGTCTATAGAGATATCAGCACCAATCCCAAGCTCTTGTTTCGGTGGCGCTCACCTTTCGGTCCCAAGCAAGCTGGTCGCCCTTCCCATCCCCGTTATCAACCCATACCCTAAACCTTCCTCCAGTCTCTGGCGTATTCCCGGGCATGAGAGTAATGGTTCTCAGTAGGGGAGTAGGAAAGGTGAGGAACAGTTCAGTCTGGATCCATGTCGCTCTTGGTGCCCTACGGCTTTGTCAGTTTTTACACCTTCTCCTGAAGACTGGGAGACGTACCATCGGCAGCGGTCGCAGAACTCTATGACCACACTGGGCTTGACCTGGTTCAAATCAGGTGCAATGAAGGGCTCTTCGGCGGTGTTGCCACTCGAAGCAGGAGTAGGAGCAGGAGCAGGGGCGGGGGCGGGGGCGGGCTGGGGGGGCTTTTCGCAGTCTGTGCAGGTGTCTAACATGGTGCTGATTGATTGTATAGAAGACGATTGAAGAAATGAGGATAGCTGAAGACTCTACTCACGCAATTGTATTCGGTGATGAAAAGTGGAGGCAGAGTGGAGGTCGTCGTCCTCTCAGTTGAATGAACTAGGCCCAACCCTGACTGCTTTGACGGTTACCCCAGACCCGAGTTTCCTCTGAAAGTGGTAATCTACCACGTCGACTCCACTCCCTTGGAAGTATTTCAGCGTCTGTAAAACTCCTTCTCTCAATGGGAGATTACCCGCCAAAAGTCAGTAGACCGCGTGGTGAGGGTGAACAATATAATCCGCCCAGAGTCGGAGAGACGCCTGATTGTGGTTCAGAGAGAGGAAAAGTGCAAGTATCACAAGGCGGGAAAATGTTTAGGAGGAAGGGCAGCGTGTCAGGCGAATCGCAATGATATCGTGGGAAGACCCGTCTATTACTGTCTTTGATGTGAGTGCTTCTGTCCTTTTTTTGTAATTTGATAGCAGCTGATTGTTGGAAGAGCTGTAAGGGTGCTGCTAGGGCCGATATTGGTCGACGGCGTCTCAACTTTGGCTCATCTTTACCTGCCATTTCCCTTTTGTACATTACTATCGACTCAAGAGTACGTCCTTGATGGACCGCCGCTATAGATATCGCACGAGTGGGTGTGAGGGTCATTCCTGCATCATGAACTATACTACACAACGACTCTTCTCCATCAAACCTCTTTCTATCCGACATTCCTTGAGAAAAGAGGCTCTAAAAAAGATAATATACACAACGAGAACCTCTGCGCCACCATCTTCGTAAAATATCTATAGTTCAACAGAGGACATGTAAAAGTAAAGGTAAAAAGCGACCAGGCTTGCTATAGCACACAGCCCTATTGTAGAGAGGAAAGCAAGAAAAAAGGGTGGTGGGAAAAGACATGATTTTTCGATGGGAGATAACGTGATATGATGATGCGTGAAAAAAAATGGTGATAATTGGCGAATGATGTCTCCCCTCTCCTCTCCTCTCGTCACACTAGACCACTTCAAAGGGTACAGACAGCGCAAAAGCAGCTCAGTACCCCCCAAAATCTCTCGTGACACTACTAAACTCTCCAAACGGATTCTTCTCCAGATCATACGGGCTCAGCGCCTGCCCACTCTTCTTCCCCAGACTGCCACTGCCACTAGCACTCGAATGCTGTCCTCCATTTGTGGGAGCGGAGCCGGAACCGGAACCGGGACCGGAGCCGTCGGTGCTCACGGCGACGCTCGCGACGCTCCCTGCTAGACTCGTATCGCCCCCCACTTGACTGCTCGTCGATGAGCAAGGAAGTGCCGAAGGGAGCGTGGGTTGGAGTTCTTTCGGCGTGAGCATGCCTGGAGTGCTTCCGCCGAATACCGAGGGGTTCCCCGCTTGTGCATGGATGATATCCGCCGTCTACCCAAGCCCATCAGCATCTTTGATTTCGATAGGATTGAAAAGCATGTCAAGATGAAACGCACCAGCTCATCTTTATCAAAGTCCAAACTCTTACTCTCCCTCAACGGCCTAAAATTGATCGTATCAATGCCATTCGACTCTTCCGGTATAATCGGCGGCGTCATATTCCTCAACAGTCCCCAGCTCAGATTGCCAAACCACTTGTGCTGCTTGACCTCGCTCGCGCCGCTCTGCGACCCGAGTCGCTTGTTTTCGTCCTTGATGAGCAGTTTGCGGATACAGCTCTTGCAGGAGGAGGAGATGGGGGTGTTGGAGCTGGGGGAGGAGGAGGGGGGGTCGGGGAAGAGGACGTCGTTTTTCATGACGTTTGCAAAGGTGGCGTTTCGGTTCGGGCCTTTGAAAGGGGTGGTAGCGAACTGTCAGAATGTCAGCCTTGCCCTCTGAACGCGACATGAGGTGTACGCACAATCATCTCGTATACCAAGATACCCAAAGTCCACCAATCAACAGCCGACGAATGACTGTTCCCCTTGATGACTTCTGGCGCGATGTACTCTTCTGTACCGACGAAAGAGTTGGTTCGAAAGTCGGCGATGCAAGAGCGGGTATCCACCAGGATCGTTTGCTGTAACGAGGTCAGCGAAAGAGGCACGAGAGAAAAGATGAAAAGACGTACGCCGTTGGGACCACCATGCCTGATTGTAGCAGGCGCACCACCAGCTTCACCAGACTGCTTTGACAAGTCGAAATCTGAAAGCATGATATGCCCCGACTGATGCAAAAGAATATCTTTTTCCCTCATCAGCTCCCTTCCCAATGCCCACGAAGAAGAAGAAGAAGAAGGACTCACTCTCAGGCTTCAAATCCCTATAAATATACCCATTCAAATGCAAATACTCCAACGCCGCCGTCACCTCCGCCGCATAAAACTTGGCATGCTCCTCACTCAGACACTTGCCCGGCCTCGTCTGCAGCGCCCTAAAAAACTCGCCGCCCATGCAATAGTCGAGTACGAAGAAGAGGTATTCCTGGGATTGGAACGAGTGGAAGAGGGTGACGATAAAGGGGTGGTTCGCTGTGGCGAGGATTTCTTGTTCGGCGAGGGCGCGTTTGATCTTGTTGCGTTTGATCATTTCTTTTTTGGACAAGACTGCGGCAGGTGTTAGGGTTGGGGCCTCGGGAAA